ATGGCTTAGAAATGGCTGCTGCTGTCGTCTTTATTGAATGCTTCGGCTATGTAAACTCCAGCTGCCGACTAGCAACAGCAGATGGGACTGTTTCCCTGTGGCCATATTTGATTTCTGCAGAGAAGCCTCTGTCTTGCCAAGGTGATTGCTCACGGTAGAGCAGAAGCAGCAAGGCCCAGGCATCTCCCAACCTAGGTCCTCTGCCTGCCTTGTCTTCTGTCCCTTATGGCAGTGCGACAGAACGCAATTAACATGGCTAGTTTCTGGGCAAGATCTGTTTAATTTGTACATAGCTTAATCTTGTATTTTATATTTTGAATCTTATGTCATATAGTATGCCTTATTTTAATTATGAAGTTTCTGACCCGAACAAGCATATAATATATCAATCCTCAGATGTTCCTCATTGCCTTTGTTTCAACTTGTGCCAATTTCTCTGACTCCTCCTTGACAGTGTGGCTTATGGATCTGAACCTAATATAATAGAATACTTACTTCCATTATTTTGTTATTGCATTTGTATAGATGCAGCCTAAAACTGCATGTTTTGTAGTCAGATCGCTCTTCTAGCTCTTTTTCAGTTTGCACGCAACCACTATTCCAAGATTTTTTTCATAAATACTTTTATCTATCTACTAGACAATCTGTGTCACACTGGGTCATTGTTTCAGAGGTATTTCCTTACCTAGACAGAAAAACAGAATGGCCATTCAGCTCACCCTTGAGAAGATAAGAAAGTCTGAAATATAAAGGTCTCAGCTGCAGCACTCCGGTGCCCTCCCCAAGGGACCGGATGGTGCGAGTTGCCTCCCACTTCTTTTGGAGAAACTGTGTCCTTATTAACTTTTTAATAGTTGCTCTTCTCTTCATTGATTTCATTTTTAGTGAACTTTTTTCAGTTACATAAAGCTGGGAGAAAGCAAGGCAAAACCCCTCTAGCTTCTTTGCTGTAATTAAAATAAATGTCTCACTGACTGAATTAAACCAGGAAGTAGACAGGATGCCTCTTTCCCATTTTGGATTTTGGAGATCTGGTCTTGGCAGTTATCCTTTAGATGTCTGATGTTTTCTGATAACATCCAAGAGGGGATTGGAGTCTGGTTTTAGGGGAAAACATCTTCAGATTAGCGTTTGTTGAAGGCTCCATACCCTTGAGTGGAGACCAGAGTTTATTTATGGACTTAGCGATATGATCCAAAGTGACATGTTTGAACATTGTGCCACAGCCGCTGCCAAAGAGCCTCCTGGCGTGGCCTGTGGCTCCCCCTGATGGCAGTGAATTTCCACCCTGTCAGGAAGTGTTAGCGAGAACCCTTCCTCCCTCTCCCAGGGGCTGCCTGGGCATCCGTGCGAGTCAGCAGAAGGAACCCACGGACAGTCATCCCGTGACAGCTCAGCCTTGTGAAGGACAGCCAGGATGCTGCTCTGAGGCAGCTGGTAGAAATGGGGTCGGTGTTCTTTTGTAGGCAGTCATCCACTTAATCACTCAAACAAGCTTTGGCTCTGGCTTTGCCCTAAGGTGCTGTGTGATCAGTGGTGTGTGGCTTAATCGAGGTCAGATTTGGGCTTCAGCCTCTCCAGATGATGGGCAAGTGCCTTAACCTTCACACTTGAAGGTCATATAGTTTTATCTGGCTTTAGCTTATGTGAACACGATTGGTAAGCTGTGGTTTATGCCATAGCTACAATTGAGAGTTGTTAATCAAACTATTCCTTTTAAGTTAGCTCATTTGAGGTTTCATCATTGGGGCAGGTGTGATCTGGAGCTCTTGACCATTTCTGACCTTCCAGAAGAAATTTTCTGGTCTGGTGGCTTTGTGGCTAGTACACCTGTGTGCCATGGAGACCTTGGAAAGGAGGCGTGGGAACATTGCGGAGAAAGGCAGTGGCAGCACCTATGGGAATTGGGGGCAATATGTTAAAAATCAGTAAGTCCTGCTCACTTCCTCATGCCTGAAAAAAATAGCCATGCTGCCTCAGGAATTCTGGGAGTTGAAGTCCACGAGTCATAAAAGAGCCAAGGTTACCTACCCCTGACCTAGACCCACTGGATTTTGTGTGCAAACAGAATAACAGAGTTGAAAGGGACCTTGGAGATCTTCTAGTCTTACCCCATGCAAACCTAACGTGCCAGTGCAGGAGATGTATTATTTTCCCGGTGGCCGTATCCAGGACATGACAGAGAGGTTACCCAGACTATTCAGATTCATTGTTAACTAGCTTTTCCCAAAGGAATATTTGGGAATATTCCCAAGTAAAAATAAAAGTATTTCTTTTCATCCATCTTTCCACTTGAGGGGACATCAAAACTAAACACAACTTGGTTCTTGGCCACATAGATAGTATTGTCAAGAAATGTTTGAATTCTGCAACAAAAGCCCCTGGTACCTCTAGAGAGATGAGCTACATGGTGCAAAAACTTGAAGGAAATACGTTGTAGGCACTTCACCAGTCTCATCAGGAAAGTTTAAAACTAGAATAAGCAGGAGGTAGCAGAAGCCCAGAACCAAACGTGCAGCCAGGGATTGGGGCCACAAATGCAGGATCCAAAAGCAAAAGAAGAAGGTCGAAGTGGGGCATTTCTCAGGAAGCTCCAACTATAGCTTCCAGCCAGTAAATGGAGCCCTCCAAATTTTAGCTATTTCAGGACCAAGTGAAATAAACAGGAAAACTGGAGTCCTAACTCAGGAAGACAAGTATGATGCCAAAGACATCACTAAAATTTGGAGGAAAGACACTCGTGATGGACACATAGCCCAGAAGGTACAATTTATTTAAAAGGAACGGAGCAACAGACAGGGAGGAAGCACTGCAGTTTACACAAATAGAAATACAGAAACTGGAGCATAGAAATGCAGCTGAAACAGCCTGTAGAGAGGAACCGAAGGGAAAAGAAGTTTCTCACAGACCCTCCTTTGGCTGGCAGGATCTGGCTTTCAGAGAGGCAGGTGGGGAATGGCAAGTATCCTGATACCAGCTGGGAATCCATCTCTGCGCAAAGAGATGTTGCGGGAAAGTCTTCCCTTTGTTGCCAGACATTTTATTTTCTTGGGACAAGAGTTGGTTCTGTGTAGGTAGAGACTGTAAGTCTGCCAGCCAGGTTGCTCTTAAGTACTCGGTGTCTTGTAATGTTGAAGAAATTGTCTAGAGTTTGCTGCAAGGCCTGGCAAGGAGAAGCAAATGAAGAGGATTGGGAAGAAAATGCTGCCAGGGGCTGATGTTCTTTGACCCCGTCCCACTGGGCGATGGGTCCTGGGAAAGGAGGGGCTGGCATTGGGCTCCCCTTGCAGTTGGGGATTCATCCCAGTCACCCCAACAGGTATTTCCTTGACTCTGAAGTGGGCAGCCTCCAGGAAGGGTCACAGTGGAGTAGAAGAGGCACTGCTTGATCTCAAGCAGGCTGCAGGTTCTGTCTGGCTTGGAGAAAGGAGGACAGGGAGCAGTCAGCACCACATTCGAAGTGGAAGGAGAGGGGCCGGCCTCTATTTACCTGCCCAGGAGCTTAAGAGATTTGGACCTTGTCTGGCATTCAGACTGGCAGGGAGGCTGCAGTATAGTGAATGCCACAAGACTGTGTTTTTTTTATTGTTCCCAGCTTCCTCTCTGTCCTTGCAAAGTGTCCACAGCTTCAGGTAACTCTGGTTACCAGAGCAGATGCTTCCTGGTCCCACTTTCCACAGAGCTGAGCTCGATGGGTGCTGATGTGTCCCCAGAAGCCCCTCAGCACAGGCCATCTGGAGGCTGCAGTTGTGAGTGTGAGGGCTCTTTTCTTTCAAATATGCATCATGGAGAATCCCCCTGTGTTCAGTTCATTATGAATATTTGAATGGTGTTAAGTGGTTTGTTCTGACACAAGCATGTCTCATACTTGTTGTTAATTGTGGCTCATTAAGGCATGTTTGATGTGAAGAATGTGTTGATGTGAGGAGGAGAAAACAGATGGTTCCCTTTGCAGAGGCCTGGGTGGATTGGGTGGAAGCACAGAAGACAGATGATCTCCAGTTGCTTCAGCTGACTGGAAATTTTTCTTCCCTTCCCTTCCCTTCCCTCCTTCTAATCTTTTTGGATTGCATTCTTCCATCTCTTGCTTGTTATTAAGAGATCCTGTGTTGCCTGCTGGTACCAGTCCTACTTCCCTGGGCTTCACTTGCTCAGAGGTGGTCAACTCAGTTTTAGGGAGGAAGTTTAGAACTTTCAGTCCCAAGGCTGGAAGAGAGATTGTGGTGGAAGGTAGTCTGGATTCCCAGCTGGGAGGGAGGGGCTGCCTTCCAGAGGAGCAAGAGGCAGAGCAGCCTAGATAGTTTGTGTGGGAGAAAAAGGATGAAGACAGCTCCTCCCTAATAGTTCCCAGAGACTATGTTTAGTGGGGCAAGGAGACTGTTTGGCAAAATTTCTGACGGTAGGTGAAGAACAAGAAAGGAAATTGCCTTGAAATAACTCAGTGTATCTTTGGCTTTTGGAGCCTGGCAGGGACTTTCAGGGAATGCTGCAAACCTTTACAGGCAGTCCTTGACATATGACCGCACTTGGCACTGGAATTTCAGTCGTAAGTCAGGACAGTCACAAATTGAGGCACCCATGTGATCAGATCTGTTTTTTTGACTGTTTTTACAGCAGTCGTTAAGCTGTTGCCTTTCTCGTCCTTTGATGGACGAGATCTGCAGAGGTTCTCGTGACTCAAGAGGTGCTTCTGGCCAGCGTCTCTTCTGCCATTATTGGTGGAAAAAAATACTTCACACAGAAGAAGACTTCCGCACCACCATCCAGCATGGGAGGAGAGGGGGGGCTGCATCTGCCTCGCACTACCTGTCCCATCTCCTGATGCTCTAGGCCACACAGTAGCGTGTTACTTCTGGGAAAGTTGCATCTACTGCTGCGGTTACTACCTGGTCTGGGTCCATCCCTGGGAGGAGGAGTCTTCAGACCTTCCTCCTGTTCCAGGCTCCCTGCCTGCCGGCTTCTGGCCGCTGTCCTGACTGATTCCAGCCCTTCTTTTGCAGAGAGATGCCAAAGGCCAGTTCCTCTTTGACCTTCTGTGCCATCACTTAAACCTCCTGGAGAAGGACTACTTTGGGATCCGCTTTGTTGACCCCGACAAGCAGAGGGTAAGTCCCAGCTTGGTGCTTTCGGTCAGCTGAGCTCCTTGCCCTTCCTCGTGCCCGGTCTTCAGGCCCGCAAAGCAGCTGCAGGTGGAGGGACTCCTGCTTGTTGGGCTTTGAGCTCCAATCCAGCAACTGTTCCTGCATTATTCTGGAGAGGGAGAAGACCAGAGAAGAGCTGCCCTCCCTCCCCCCACCTCACTTAAAAGACTGGCGTTGCTTTGCCCCAATTGTCAAAAAGCCTCCTAGCTTGGGTTTATACCTGACCACACTTTGAGGTCAGAGATATTCAGCAAAGGCCCTGGGCTCCATGTGGCCCTGAAAGCCTTGGATGAGACACCCACATTAGTAGATATTATATGGTTATGTGTGAATGGAGTATCTTTGAAATTAATCTGATTTAACTGAAATTAAATGAAATTCTACCCCTTCTCAGTGCTTTTTGGAGCACAGTTCAGGCTGGAAAAATTGAATCTCCCAACCCCATTCTTCTGGTAACCAGAGCAATAGATTCACACACACCCCTATTTTTTTCTCTGCTACAGTGCTGGGAGTCAAAGGAGGGAGCCAGGCAGAGCTTGACCCTGCCTTGTCCTGGCCAGAGCTGCATTACCAGCAAAAGAGCCCAGCCTTGGGGCAATGCCTGGGCGTCAGATAATTAGAGGCCGGCTAGAAAAAGCCACCCCCTTAGGATCACAAGAACCTAAGAAAGGGACTGTCCTATGCTGAGCTTCTGGGGCAAAATAGCCAGGGGTGGAAAAATCGTCCTAAATATTGAAAGCCCACCACCTGCTTGATTTGTGCCCAGTGATTTACAGGCACAAATCTCGCTCGCCTTGTGAAGATCAGGGTTCCAGGCTTTTGAAAGCAAGCTACCCCAAATATCTCTACAAGAGCTCTACACGGTTTCTGCTCAGCTCCAACCGCTTTGCAGCTAGTGCAGTTTTATAACTGAAGCCAGGTTTTTTTTTGGGGGGGGGGGCGAGCAGAAAGACAGTGCAGCCACCCTCTGTTTGCCCGCTTTTGAATCTCTCTCTCTCTCTTGCTTCAGCACTGGCTGGAATTCACAAAGTCTGTTGTGAAACAAATGCGATGTAAGTATTTATCTTCATGATCGCTATTCAGTGAGCTGGCACGTCTGTAACTTGGCAGTGTGTGAGGGACTGGATCTCTGAAGGGGGAGGTGGTGGGTGCACTGCAGTGAAGCAGCAGTTTCCAAAGAAGGAGGAAGTACGTGCTGGGGTGGGGGCTGACAAGGGGCAGCCCTATCCCATCCCATCCCATCCCTATTCCTAATCCATTCTTATACTAGCAAGTATCAGAACCTCCTCAGGAGTTTAGAGGCCATTTCGGTGATCCCATTCAGAGGATCACAGCCAGTGGCAAGGTTTGGAAACTTCACTATAGTGCATCATACAACGCTGTATTGTGTTCTGCATGTTGGTGGGGTGGTCTGTGCTGCCATCTGAACCTCTGTGAACGTGATGTGTTAGTGGAATCTGGTTCCATTCATTCTTCCTGACTTGATGGGATCCACTGAGTTGAGAGAAGTGCAGACTTTTCCAAATGGATTCTAGCTGGATTAGTAGTAGCTGAGCAACAAATAATGTCTGTTCCTAGATGTGGCTCCCTTCCTCTTGTCACATTACATTCTCCAATTTCTGATGAGCAGTTGTTGAATTTTCCTTTCCTCTTTTTGCCCTGGAGGAAGTCTACTTTTGCTAAGCCAGATTGGAGACGCAGCAGGAGGGTGAAGGAAGGCTCCCCTGGGGGGCCGATAGGCTCCTGTAGACCCCCCAGCCCACCTGAGACCTTTTTCTTTTCTGCAGCTCAGCCCCCTTTCACGATGTGCTTCCGGGTGAAGTTCTACCCCACTGACCCAGCTGCTCTGAAAGAGGAGATCACCAGGTAAGAGGGGGAGGGGCCTTGCCCCACTTCCGGCTGGCCACAGGAAAAGCTGCTGGGGGCCGGGGGGGGGGGAGACTGAGAGCATCAGAGGCTCTTGGCTTTGCTTGTTGCTCTGATGCCTCAGTGAGGAAGGAGAGAAAGGAGGCAGCGATGACAGCAAAGAAACCTGAAGGAAAAAAAAAAACTGGAGGTTACTTTCCAGCAGGGTCTCTTTCAGGACCTGCTTTGCCAGCCACAGCTTCCAGGGAGGGCTACATTCTGCTTCTGAGCCTCCCGCTGGAAACAATTGGAGGATGAGATCCGTTAGAACTTTGGGACAGGTTAGGTTGCCAATCTCCCCCTTTCCACTAGGTATTGTGGTGGTTTCAGGTTGGGCTGTCTTCTCAAGGGCTGCTGAGATGCCTTCAAAGCCAGGAGCAGTGGATCTTCCGTTTTTACAGCTGTCATCTAGCTGCACTTGGTCCATCCCTTGGTGGCATCCCTGTATGATATACCCATTACAGGTTTTTCCTTGCTGCTCACCTCCCCCTTGGATCACAACTTGGGCAGCCTTCTCCTGCTGTCTTCAACCCAACTATCCCACCCCAGGGGTTACAGTATTGTTAAGAGGAGCAGAGTTTAGCTGTACATCTAAAGGGCTGGCTGAGGCATCGAGCTCAGAAAGGGAACAGAGGCGTGTGAAGGCTCTCCTCCAGGCTGCCTCCCTGGCAGGGGTTGGGTGGGGGTCAGAAACGGCCTTGCCTGGGCATTTTTGAACGGAGCCCTCTTCGGACCCATTTGGGAGAGGGAAGCTTGGTGAGGATTGGCCACCGGAAGAGGCCCGGAAGGGATTTGGGAAGGCCCCGAGTGGCTTCTTTGGATGGTGCAGGAAGGAAGGCACTCACCGCTCTCGCTCTGGTTCCCCTGACAGGTATCTCGTCTTCTTGCAGATCAAACGAGATCTGTATCACGGGCGCCTCCTGTGCAAGACCTCCGACGCTGCTCTGCTGGCCGCCTACATTCTCCAAGGTAGGGAGGAGTTCAGACGGAGACCTTTGGGGGGGAGGAATACGGGGGGGCCACCAAGGCCTTCTTGAAGCTGCCCCCTGCAACACAATTAAGCTGGGCTGCCTTTAAGCCCTTTTTCCCCCAGGCAGGAGCTCTTCAGTGGGCTTTTGCAAAGGACTGGCAAAGGAGACGTGGCCTTGGGGGTCCACTTGTACCCCGACCCATTTTCTTCCCAGGGAAAATAGTTCAAGGAAGAGAAGAGAGCATCTCTGCCTTTTTCTGGCAATCCTCCTGGGGCGGAAAGGGGTCCTCCAAATAAACGTCAGGCATTGCAGCCAATCAGCTTCCTGGAGAATGTATTTGGTTAAGGGGCTATTTCTAAAACAACAGTCCCAGATCCCCTTTGCTTACATTTGCCAAAGTCAATAATTATTGGTAATTTCTGTTCTTGCTTACAGCTGAAATTGGTGACTATGATCCTGGAAAACACCCAGAGGGATACAGTTCCAAGTTCCAGTTTTTCCCCAAACACTCTGAGAAATTGGAGAGGAAAATTGCTGAGATCCATAAAATTGAGCTCAGGTGACTCTTAGTAGCTGCTCTGCTTGTTCGTTTGTCTCCCACACTGTGCAAAGCCGCTTCCTGAAGTCTCCCGTAGCGAGTCTTGCGCTGAGTCGGGAGTTCCGATCTCTGATTCAGCTCTCCAGCTCAGCATTGCTGGGGGGAATTGAAGGACCTTAGAACAATAACCGAGATTCAAGGCAGAGGAAATGTGTGCCTGGAGCTGCTCAGGGAGAGATCCTGGCTTTTGTCCTTTTCCTGATGGCCTTGGCCATTTGCTAGAGCAGAGGAGATTTCCCGGTACTTGATCACAAGGGTGAAGCTACCCTGCAAATGGATCAACCCTGCGTTGTGGTCAGCTAATGGGACCGGCCTTCCCAGCAACTGGGATGGTTGGTTTTAAAGCTGCACCCAAAAGACGTGGTCACCCTGTTTTCTTCCAGCTCCTCAGAGGACCGTTTCTTGGTTTGGCAGCCTGGTGGACGCCTTCCAAAACAAAACATGGTTTAGTAGCCCCAACTATTTTTCCTGGCTCCAGGGCATCCCTAGAAGGAGGAGGAGTTAAGAACCAAGGCTCTCTCTAGCTCTGTAAGACTTCTGGGATCAGGCCAGAAGATGGTCCAACTAATAAAAGGCAGGGCTGCCATGAATCACCTCAGGGCATTGCCTGATCCAGGGAAGGAGAACACAGAACAGGGCAAGATCCACGAACGGGTGGAAGGGTCTCTGGAGTGGGGAGAAGCCGGCTAAGGAGAACACCTGGCTTGTGTGCAGACGAAATGGTCCCTTTGAAATACAAATGGCCCGGTCCAGCAGATGCAAATTCAGCCAGATGGCAATTTAATCCCATACAATGCCAACATTATATTGCAGTTGGGACTGAAAATCTCTAGGCCTTAGTTTGCAAGAATTCAGCCGAGCTGAGCTTGAAAACCGCTTAAGTTTTACCCCATTTGGCAGGAGGCATTCTGGCTTCCAGGCGCCCTGGGGAAAATTGCTCTCCCAGTTTGCTCACAGTTCAAGCAGATGCAAGAGGATTGGGACCTCTCTCGTCTTCTCCTCCCTTTCTTCCTTCTCTCTGCTGCATTGTTATCTATAGCCTTATATTACTGAGCAAGAAGATTGCATCTCACATGATTCAAGAGGCATCTAAGAAATCACATGTTAAAACCTGTCTAAGCACTTCTAGCTACTTAATGTATTAACATTTTGTCAGAACATTTAAGGCCGCCTTTCACCCTGACAGTTCTCTGGCTGGGCTAGGAAAGCAGGACCAATTAATAATGCAAAATGAAACCCATCAATAATACCAAATTAGGCACGCAAAGTTGACATCAGCATAAAACAATAAGCTGCGTCCTCCTGCCTCTGACGCTGGGCTGCTCCCCTGGGCCCCGGATGGCGGAGCCGCCGTCTGTCGGCGCCTTGCCTGAGCACACCCTTGTGTAGCTGTGGCTTTCAGAGGCAGCCAGGCCACGGTGTCTGTGCTCGGGCCTGCAACCAGGATGCCCCACTGGTTTTCTAGGGCTTCAGGCAGGGCTTGGAGCTCCTGGCGCCATGGGACAGCTGCCCTTCCCCCCCTCTTCTTCTCTTCCAGTGGGCAGACCCCCGCAATGGCAGAGCTGAACTTTCTCAGGAAAGCGCAGACCTTGGAGACGTACGGAGTGGACCCACATCCCTGCAAGGTACACGGTGGGGTCCCCGTCCTCTGCCTGACTGCAGCCGCCTTCCTTGGCATTCAGGCCCCACGCAAGCAGCACTGGCTGCCCTTGCCGGCTGTGGCATTGGCCACAAAATCCTCCTCCTGGGAGAGACTGGATTCCCCCGTGGAAGACAGGCAGCCCCTGACCTGTCGGCTGAGTCCTCCTCTCCACACCGTCACTCCCCCCCCCCCAGCACACCTTGGTCCTTTTCTGCTGCCCCCTTGGTTTTGTAGGGCTCCCCGGTTGAGCCAGATTTAAATTGCTGCTTGACAGAATCTGCTCAGCTCTGGAAGCGATACTGCCACCTCCCCCTTTGCCAGAAATGAATAGAGCGAAATGGGCGCAGCTGCATTTAAATGCTAATAGTGAATCAAAACATTTGAAAGGAAATTCTGCAACAAAAGCAGTTTAAAAAGGATCTGCAGCAGAAAGATATTTGTCAGATCAGCCAGATTGACTCTTGTGGTGTCTTTAATATTTAAGTCAGTGTCTAGAAGGACAACCTGCACATTGGTGTGTGAGGCTTCCTTGAGTGCCACACGGCATCTCCCAGGTCAGAGAGCTGTCTGTTTTGCACGCCTAGAGCATGGCCCACAAACAGCCCAGCTTTCCCAGTGGGATTCCTGCCTGCCGGACCATGGCTTTGCACGGCAAGTGACCGTTTCCTTGCCATGAAATAAGCCAGGCCACACTTAGAAACAAAATAAGAGTTTAAGAACTCTGGGATGAGAAAAAAGCCTGAGCAATTAGCAAAATCCTTCCTTCCCAAAATGGAGGGCAGGGATGAGGGGCAGACCTCCTATTACAGTGAGACCTCATTCTGGGCCTTAATTGTTGTTGTCTTTGGCATTGTCTTCATTTGCTCCAATTTTTAAACCACTTACTTAAACATATAATTTATGCAACAGAAACAACCATAATTTAAGGCTGGTGAGCACTGATTACTTGAGACTCAGACTTGGGCAGGATCCAGCTGTGAAAGTGGTGGGCAGCTGTTTCTCTCTCTTTCTCTTTCTTCCCATTGCCTTCCATCCAGCAGCTGGCAGGGAACTAACCACTCAACCCAATTATGGCAAAGATCTGAGCAATGATCCCAGTCTAAGAATGGTTCCCAGTTCAAGTTGAGACTTACTTTTAAGATGCAAAGGTTTTTCATGTCCCAGTGGGGCACAAGAGGGGCCCAGTGCTGGGCAGTAGGAACAACCAAGGCAGTGCTCAGAGAAAAGAAATTGGGGTCCAGGGCAGAAAGGTCATTTGAGAAAGGATCTCAAAAGCGGGGAGGGGAACATAGGCAGCCTTTCAGGATTCTGTCACTGTAAACCTACCGAAAAGTAACATTTGCGTGAGTGACTTTGGCCTCCCTGTCTGCTCTTCCTTGAAAGGTTGACAGTCAGTCCTCTTTTCTGGGACCTTGGGTGTCTGCATTATGTGCAGCCAGCATCTTGGTCCTACCCATCAATAAAGCAGCCCAAGTGACTGGGAGAAGAGGGCTGTGAGGCCTCCAGGCAGGCCATGCAAGAGGCCCCTTCGGGTCAGAGGCCCGGAGACCGCCAAATGCTGGAGGGGCTCCCAGAAGCTTGGGGACCCTGACCCCCCCAGGGGGAGGGACGCGATGTCCAGGGCTCAAGAGCTGCAGAGCCTCGGTGTTCATCCAGCTTGGAGTCCCGGTGGCCGAAGAGGCTGGATAGCTCCACCGAGCGTGGAGTTTGTCTTCAATCGTGGCACCGCTCGGTGAGCAGCTGCTGCTGTGTTGCAGGATGTGTCCGGAAATGCTGCTTTTCTGGCCTTCACGCCTTTCGGATTTGTGGTCCTGCAAGGAAACAAGCGAGTCCACTTCATTAAATGGTGAGTTCTGTGCCAAAAACCTGTTCCTACCGTTACACAGGAGGAAGGGAGGCTTTCCCAAATATACTGACACCATCAGCCTCCTTCCAGATTCTATCAACTCAGTTGCACACCAAATCATTTTAGCATTTTTACTTTTGATTCTTTAAGAGCAATGTGCAATCTATCTTTGCTTCTTTTATGGTGTTCTTTGCAACTGAGCACACTAAGATACATCCCCATTGGTCTTCATCTGTTCCTCAGACAGTGTGGAACACTTTCCTAGAAAAAGAAATGGCAGACTGGTATCAGCCTTTGCCAGTTTATTCCAAAGGCAGCCTCTGCTTCTGGGATCAAAAGCTGGGCCTTAAATCGACTGAAGGGGCGGAAAGCTACTCTCCCTTGGATGTTGAGATGTGGGGTGTTTCGGTCTCCTAGGTCAACCTGCAATCCTTTAGTATATGATTTCTATCTGTCCTCCCAATTTTAGGAGGAAAAAAAAGTGCCTTGTGATACCAAAGGGATTTTGGGTCTTCCCTCCTGATGGGATGCTTCAAGTCTCTGCCTTGCTCTGGGTCAGCAAAGAAGGCTGGCAGGCTGCGAGACCCAGGGTCGGTCCTGGAAAGTGAGAAATTCTGGAGAACTCTTTGTGCAGGTGCAGACCCAGACTGAGAGACTGTGAAGCCCAACAAATCACTCCCTGTGTGTGTAGACAAGAGTCAGCCCCGGACTGGGAGCCTAGCAGGCAGGGGGGAGTTCTAAATCTCTGGCCTCACGTGACAGTCAGGCTTCCGTGTCTTTTTAGCCCGAGAAAAGTTCCCACGGCCACAAAAAAGGAGGCCTAATTTTCCCAGGCTTGTGGGTACAGGATGAATAGACAGGAAAAGCTGCCCTCTTCAGGGTGTGCAACGTCTGTCCTGGGAAAAAGCTGGCCTTCCTGCGTTTGAGCAGGAGGCTGGCAAGACCTGAACTGGCCGGCAGGCTAAGAAGGGGGCGGCTGGACTGGGCTTTTTGCTCCTGGGGAACGGCACAGGAGCCGTCTGCCCATTGCTGCAACCGGTGGGCATCCAAGACAGAGCCAAGGTAGGCCGCAGACCTTGAAAGAAGGGACTTTCTGAAGGAAGGGATCAAAGGTTTTAAACTGGAATCGAACTGGCTTCCTCCATTAGAGGGAGGGAAATGGCCCTGAGCCCCTGGGGAAGGGGCTGCCCTGGCTCTGTGCTGCTGAGAACAGACGGGGGTCCTGGGGGGGGCTTGCGCTGCTCTCGTAGGCCCAGCCAAGGGCCCCCTCCTCCCCCAGGAACAGTCTGGCCATGAACTGGTCCACGTGATGTGTAGTTGGTATCACTTCTCTTGCTTTGTCTTGTAGCCCGTTGTTGATATGCCCCAGTATCCCGTTTGCCCTTTTTACTGCAGCTCCATCCTGAGCTTCACGGATTTTTCTACAATATCCCCTAAATCCCTTTCCTGGTCAGTACACTGCATGACTGTTCCATGTAATTTGTGCCCGCAATATTCAGTTGGTGCCCCCAAATATACCCTCTTGTCCGTTCGTCTGCATTGTCCATGTTCTTGGCACGGCCACCTACAGACCCCCTCAGCCTGCTCTGGATCCGGTTGCCCTATAATTCATCCTCTGCTCACATCAGCCATGCGTGGCTCTCTCCATTTAACCTCCAAATCTGCCAGGCTACCAGGTGCTGCTGCCCCCCTTGAGGCCGAGATGCCTTTCGCCCCCACTGCCGGGGACCCCTGCCCTGAGCCATACACCTTCAGCTTAGATCTGCAACTGCTCTCCTTTTCCAAAAGAAGTTTCATTTAACTTTGTGTTTTGTGCAGCTTAATTTAAAATCTGCCTTTTGCCAGAGCCTGTTCCACGCTGTGTGTGGGCCTGTCCTTGTCATGCAATGCCCCAGACTTTGAGGTGGTTTCCTCTTTCACGGAAGTGCTTTTTCTTCTGCTTGCAGGAACGAAGTGGCCAAAATGAAATTTGAAGGCAAGACATTCTATTTATACGTAAGTCAGAAAGAGGTGAGTGCCTTCCAAAGTGATCTGCTTAATGAGATCAAACAAATCCAACGGTGTCTGCAGATCACCCAAGATATCTCAGCAAGTTGTGTGGATCCAGGTTATACTCTGTATTACCTTACGAAAGCAATCATCAGGCTGAGAATCTGGAATGCTTCCTTGGTTCTAGGCTCCAATTGAACCCAGAGAAGTCCAGCCCAGAGCCGGCTTGATCAAAGGTCTGCTGCTCAAAAGGGATGGAGCCACAGTGTGGATCGATCCACCCACTTGGGTTTGTGGAAGGCTGAGCATTCCCTCTGGATGGAGAAAAAGCTCTCCAGGCCACCTCCAGGACCATCCCAATTGCTGGCCCCTTAGAGCAGCCTTCTCATCCTTGCGAGGAACATCACAGCCCAGGCACGGAGTCCCGTGGGGCTTGAAGTACGTGGAGAGGGTTCTGCCACCCCAACTCCACGAGGGGGCTGAGGCTGGAATCCGGACTGGAAGACCTTTGGGAGTTGAAGGGCTGCACTTACTGCCAGGCAGAGGGAATACTATAACTTATCTTCTTCTCCACCACATTTCAAGATCAATCCTTACACCTCCCCCCCCCCCGCAGACACTCTGCACCTCCCACTTCATTTCCTCAAAGACAGGGAGGGGGGGAGGCAGAGGAATAAGGAGGAGTTCAGGGCAGTGCTGGGTGGGGAGAAACATAAATATTGGGGTCCAGGAAAGACTGCCCAGTTCAGTTACTCAAGTGATGCCTGTTTTTCCAGGCTCTCGCTGTCCAATAGAGCAAGGGGGTCTGCTTTGTCAAAAAGTCAAGATGGTGGCCATCTGCCCTGTTTAAAAAACAGGGTAGAACCTTGATGGCATGATGTAGAGAATGGGGAAGGCGAAGATGAAGAGAGCTATGCAGGATCCCCCAACCCTAACCGTCTAGGCAAAAGGGACTAAAATAATTGTTAAATCTAGAATGCCTGGATAACATTTGGAAATGCATCAGGCTCCTCCCTAATTCACTGGACCATAACGAGGAGCAGGAGCCCTAAAATCAGAGGGACAGAACTAAGAAAGTTCTGTTCTTAGAGCCCACCTCAAATAAAAGCATTTTTAGCCACACTGTGAGTGTGGACTTAGTTTCCTGTTCTGACCTACTACTGGATGTGACCCACTATCTCAATCGTGAACAATCTCCTCCTCCTCCTCCTCCCCCCCCAGGCATCCTTGCAACAGAGCTGGATTTAAACCATGTTTCTGTTAGCAATTATATTTTCAATGCTTTCTTTCAAACAGTGTTAAGAACACCTATAAATTAACCGTAAGGATTTTTCTGGGATTTTGGCAGGAAAAGAAAATTGTTCTGACCTATTTTGCTCCAACTCCTGAAGCCTGCAAGCATCTCTGGAAGTGTGGGATTGAAAATCAAGCCTTTTATAAGTGAGTAGATGTATTTTCCAGGGTTTCTTTATATCCTTAGGAAGGAATGGTAGCAGCCGTTGCCAGTGCAGAGCCCAGCCACTCAGCCCAAGGTGGCAGTGACGTTTCTTGCAGAAACCTGGTCCAGGATTCGCTTCTCTGCTGCAGCCACACCTTGCTCTGTCAATGGGCACCTAATCTGGTGGGTGATCCCTCTGGCTTCTGCCGGGAAGTCTTCCCATCTCCCAAAGCAAAGAAGCCTGAGAAACTAAAGCGTCTGTGAGAAAGAATTTCTTATGAAGAGCATCTGCTGCCCACAAGTGTCTTGTGTCCGTGTCCCAAGTCACCTTGTCTTTTGCATCACATGAATTTCCTGTGGCTCTGTGTGGTGCCTGGACCTGCTTGGAAATCTTGTGTTCAGGCACTCCTTTCCCCTTGTACTAAGGCGAAAGCCGTGGGCTGCATTATCTGACCGATTCTCTGGGTTTTTTAGGGAGGGGCTGAAAAGCGGCCACAATAATTGCTTTGAGGTTGATGCGTGTCCTGGAAGAGGCGAGATATTTCTGCTTTAGTTTTAAGAGCTAATGCCACATACCAAAGTACAGCTTTTAATTATTCTAAATCAATTTGTAGAGATCCACACCAAATATTGTACACGTGCACCAACCAAATCCTGAGTAGTCTTGCAGGCTTGCCAAAATAACACATTAACATTGCAATTTAATGTGCAGCTTTTCCACATATTGCTATAGATTCCCAGGTTAGATAATCACCAATTCTATTAAGTCAAATAAATCTCAACTGGATCAGTGCTACCTAAATTCAGCTATGAAATGGATTCCCCTCAAAGTAGCTCAGAAGATCAAGGAGACGACCCTTGGCATTCTCCGTGCACTGTCTGGTGAGGAGGTGGACCCCCAAGTAGAAATGATCCTTGGCTCTTTTTGTTGCAAAAAGAATAATTTTATTAGAAGTGAATTGCAGTAAATCAACCCAGAGCTAAAGGTTGCAGATGAAGTTTCCCCAATTAACTTTCCCTTTCCCATTCCTGTCCCTTATTGTCCAGTCACATTCAAAGGAATTCTTTTGGAAGTGCTCCCTGCATCTGTGGGCCAGATGGCGAGTGGTTGCATTCCCCTGCCAGGTCTCTGGCTTGGGTCTTGGGAAGGCCGATGAGTAGCTTCAGTTGCCCCCTTCACTGCAGTTCCCCCCCCCCCAGACTGGCATCTAGCAAAGCCAGGCTGAAGCTGAGGATGGCAGTTTGGACAGCGGGCAGTGATGACTCCGCCAAGTGGGATAGAGAAGGCCAGAGAAGGAATGCGATGGCCCCGAGTCACATAGGAGTCCAGCGTGGGAAGAGAAACACAGCTGGGCTTTAGAGATTCTGTCTCAATAGTGGAGCAGCCTTGTGGAGTCTGTTTTGTGGCTCTTCCTGCCAGGCAGGTGCCCTGCAGATCAGGGTGAAAAGTGGGTGGGCTTCGCAGGTGGAGACCCCCCCCTTTAGACAGGGAGCCTTACAGGAGTCAGGCTGGCTGCACTTTAACCACAACTTCTGGCTGGGTTGTTGCTCTGCATAAAGCAATTGGGATCAGCAATGAAGACGGAGAAGTGCCATGAATCCTGGCCAGGTTAGATGACTCTGGCGTTGACTGGGAAAAGCTCCCCCCGAGGCCCCCCAGGCAAGTCTGAGAAGGCACCCAGGCAAGTCTGAGAAGGCACCTGCGTGTCCATAACGGGCATTGTGAAAGCCTCAAAGCTGGCCACACGTGCGCTTCTGAGCTGTGCCGATTTACAGGTGCAGCTCCCATAGGACGAGAGAAACCATCCTCTCTGCTTCGTGGCCATTAGCAGCACACAAGCCAGTCGCTCCCCCAGGGGGCCATTTCTTTATGCCAGTTCTCCGAGCCTTTGCTTCATGTTCAGCAGGGAAACAGCTCCTTCCATCGCAGCCCTTTCAAAAGCCAAGCAACTGCTGATCAACCCCTTTTCCCACCTGTCCTTCTTGCTTCAGGTTGGAGAAGTCCAGTCAAGTTCGCACCGTCTCCAGCAGCAACTTATTTTTCAAAGGGAGCCGGTTCCGATACAGGTAAATGAGGACTCTTAAGGGGCTGTTGCTGGATCTGTTTTGACACATACCTGGTTGTGTGAAGCCTGAGAACTGATTAAGGGAGGTGACAGCACAAAAGCAAAGCCTCCTGAGTTGAGCTGGACCCATTCAGTCCTGGCATTTCCAGGGCCCCCCTTCCCAACAACACACAGAGCCACCGTTTGGCTCTTCCAGAACTGGCAAGGCTGCCCAGGCACTTTTGCCAAGCTGGGCACCCAGTCAAACGCTTTCCAGGTATTGTAGACAGTCCGGTTATTACCAGGGATCAGGCAATAGCCTTGAGCGATGCTGCAGATCTACTCTGCGCAGGATGGAGAAGCACTGCCGTGCTCCTGACCTTCAGGACGGGTGGAGTTTGCCAGCAGAATCTCGGGCTGGGCGTTTGCCACGCTTGTCACCTGTTCAGCTCTCCAATCTCTTTCAGCGGCCGAGTTGCCAAAGAAGTGATGGAGTCTAGTGCCAAAATTAAGAGGGAGCCTCCAGAAATACATAGGTAAGGCAGCTGCAGAGGAGTGAAAGAGTCAAAGGGCCACCATGAGCAGGAAGGATGAAGACAGCGGTGGTGGGAGTAGGACCCGTGATGGACCTTCCTCCAGACCCCACCCTTGTGATGGGAAGGGGAGGCTGCCTCTGCCCTGCACCCTTCCTTTCTTTCGCAGGGCTGGACTGGTTCCCAGCCGGAGCTGCCCCTCCATCCCCCACGGACCCAGGCTCAGCAGCGTTCCCAGGACCAGGAGGAGAGCTGTCCACATCTCCATCATGGAAGGTGAGTTGGCTGCCCAGGTTGGTGATCATGGTTGATATATGTAGTCCTCCTTTAGCAACCACATTTAGGACCAGCAACTTGGTCACTAATCGCTTAAGAGAAACAATTGCTAAGTGAAACCATGATTGTATTTACAATTTTTCTTCAGCTTTCCTTGGCTTTGCTGTCATGCAAAGGTTGAAAATGTGAGGATAGACCATAAGGTTACTTTTTCATCACTTGTTTTGCATACGGTTTCTAAACAAGACAGTTGCTGAACAAGGACTACTGTCAGACTTGGCCCCAACTTACTCCCTAGGAAAGAAGAACCCATGACTCTATAGCTGATAGAGAAAAGGTACTTTTGCTATAGATGTTGAGTGCAGCGTGAGCGCTAAAGAAAAGCTGTGTGAAAATCATATACCAAAAGCCATCTCTAATGTCCAAAACCCTTGGGGGGGGGGAAGCAGTCCAATCAGGTCTTATTCCGATGTTTTGGGAACATGGTGCCTCCAGTGCCACAGCAAATTCCTTTCCCAAGGCCCTTGTCCTGGAAGGCAGGAAGATGACTCGATTTCGCACCTCTGCTTCCTGTCAGGGTCCATGCTCCCCAATTTCCCACAAGATTCTTTCACATATCCAGCACTCTTTCCCTCCTGGTTATGGCAGTTGCTAGCAAACTTCAAAGAAAGCAAAGACAGGCAGCTGACAACTGCAGAACATAGCAACACAGTGCTTCTGGTTCACTGGAGTTCATTTTGTTCTATTGCTCAGATGTCTTTGTTATAGATTTGAATGAGTTTTGGAACTAGGTATCGAAAAAAGCACTCAGGAATTGAGGCTTCAGCTTCACATACCAAATTGGAATGACCAAAGGCTCTGGGCGAACCTCATCCTTCTTCATCCTGGAAACAATATATTTGGAAAACGACTGGCTCATCCTATCAAAAGGGCTTTAAGTTAAAATTGAGGGGGGAGGGTGGCAATCTTCACAACTTATAGAACCCAATTCCAAGCAAAAAACACTAGATAACCAGTCACATAAGGTAAGGATGAAGGCAGTCCTTATGAAGAAACCAGTATGGTTGCACAAAGATCTCTCTGATAAACTGAAAGACAAAGAGAACAACTACAAAAAATGGAAAGAGGGACACATAACTAAGGCAGAATATCAGCAGATAGCCTGAATCTGCAAAGATGAAATCAGGAAAGCAAAGGCTCAGAAACAAAGACTTGCAACAAAAGTCAAAGATAATTTAAAAAAGAGGGAAGTAACAAACAGTAGAGAGATAGCAGAGCTGCTTAACCTGCATCTGTCTTCACATAAAAAAAAAAATATAGCCCAACCTACCAAAAGCATGACTGTAAAATACAGACTAGAAATAAAAATTAATATAAGCAAGAAAATGGTAAGAGATCACTAGTCTGACCTTGATGAAGTCATCGGGACCTGATAGATTACATCCCAGAGTTCTGAAGGAGCTGGCAGATGCTATCTCAGAATCATTGTATCATATCCTTCAAAAATCTTGGAGCAACGGTGAACTACCAGAGGATTGGAAAAGAGCTGATGTGGTTCACATCTTCAAAAAAGGGGGAAAAAACAGACCAAGGAAACTATAAACCAATCAACCTAACATCAATACCTGGGAAGATACTGAAAAAAATAATCAAAAAACGGATCTGTGAACATCTAGAAACAAAGTTATAACTAGAAGCATGGGTTTGTTAAAAATAGATCATGCCAAAGCAATCTTAGTTCATTCTTTGACAAAGTGACTAAATTAGCAGACCAGCAAAATGCTATGGACATACTTAGATTTCAGTAAGGCATTTGACAAAGTAGACCTCAACCTATTTCTTGGTAAGCTAGAAAAATGTGGGATATACCAGATGGATTTGTACTCAAAGAATAGTCCTTAATGGTACTACATCCACATGGAGGGAAGTAAGCAGTGGGGTACCACAAGGTTCTGTCTCAGGCCCAGGACTCTTCAATATCTTCATCAATGACTTAGATGAGTGAATTGAAGGGGAACTCATCAAATCTGCAGATGACACTAAGCTGGCAGGAGTAGCCAACAGCCCAGAAGACAAGCTCAGGATCCAAAAAGATCTTGACAGACTTGAACAATGGGCCCTATCCAACAAAATGACCTGATCCCAAGCGTAAATCAGAAGACAACCAATCAAACAAGGAGATAGGGAATGATGGGAAGGAAGGAAAACTCAAGATATAAAACAGGAGATGTAGAAAGCACACCCAGTAATGCTCAATGTTTAGGGAACAAACAGGATATGAGGGCAGGTATGATATAGCTGCCATTATTGGAACTTGGTGGGGTGAAACTCATGACTGGGATGTACTGCTAGGATATAAAGTGTTCGAAAGAAATACAACTAACAAAAGAGGAGGTGGAGTTGCATTATAAGAAATTACTACATCTCTACAGAAATTCTTCCTCTAGCAGCTTCTTTTGATCAAACCAACTCATCAATGCCTATCCTTAATTAAACTTGCAATACTTATGTTTTCCTATAGGACCTCCTGCTAGCAGAAAGCTGCAAAGTTAAAAAAAAAAAGTTTGTGGCTCTGCCACCAGACCCTTCTTCTTCTTCTTCCGTTCCTTCAGGGCTGGAGTCTTTGCGGGACAGTGCTCACTCCACCCCGGTCAGGTCGACCTCCCACAGCGACACCTTCTTGCCCCACTTGCGGAGCGGCAGGGCAGAGAGCACCGAGCGTGTGGCAGTCATCTCAGATGAGGTCTACAGTCCGTCATACAGCGTGCTGCCCACTCCGGTGGCCGAAGAGAGCCTGGAACTGATGCTGCTGTCCCGGCCAGTTAATGGCGCCCCTTGCAGCATAGAGGAAGAGGAGTCGGAAGCTGGCGCTCCAGCGGGGGAGGCAGAGGAGCTGGGAAGGGACCTCCGCGCCTTGTGCAGCAGTGGAGGAGCCCAGTCAGAACAGGTGAATAAGTTTGTTTTAAGTGTCCTCCGTCTGCTCCTTGTGACAGTCGGACTCCTCTTTGTTTTGCTCCTTCTCCTGATCATCCTTACGGAGTCTGACCTTGACGTTGCCTTTTTCCGTGATATTCGCCAGACCCCCGAGTTTGAACAATTCCATTATCAATACTTTTGTCCCCTCAGGCGATGGTTTGCCTGCAAAATCCACTCCGTACTCAGCCTGATCAATGATACCTGAAGGCAGTTGTCCTCCTAGTAAGTAGCCAGGAGGACTGTGGAAGAACCCTGCTGCCCATTCCCAGAAAACGGGGCTCATCGTGGCGCCATCAGCACATAAATTAAGTCCTCCTCTCATGACTGAAAGCGGCCCAGGAGGGCAGCTTCCCAGCCGAAGAAAAGGATCAAACTCACCATGCAACCGATTTCTTTGCAGGTCCTCTGGTGGGAAGCTCCTTCAAAGTTCTGCTTTCCAACATTCAGATTACTCTGCACTGTTCAAATTTACTTTTGCTTTCGTAGAGGTGTTAATTGCAGAAACTTCAAGTAGAGAGAGCTTATTTTATTATTACTATCATTGGACTAAACGCCAGCCTTCAGCTGGGACGCCAGTTCACGAAGACAGCTGTTACTTTATGCAGGAGCTTTTGTAATGGTGCTACTGAGTTGTAAGTTTAATAATATAGTATTATTTTATTAAAACTGCCATTGTGCACAGCACTTCCATCTTGGAAATGGACACTGAAAATAGGGCAGTTTTATTTCCTTACCAATTACCAGGCTTGATGTGGGGGAGCGACGGGGGGGAGGGGAGAATGATAGGACCAATGCCAATATTGTGAGATCATCTAGCATTACCAATTCTTTTCAAGCAATAGATTGTTATGAGAGGAAGTCAGCAGGCATAAATTTATTTCTTCCCTTAGCATAGAGCGCAATGGCCATTAAATCTGTCTTTGGTGAATTTCAATCCTTGGCCTTTACAATCCCAGAGAGACCTTTTCTTAGAATAGTTGGCAGCCAAAGGAAGCAGGCATTGGTATAGATGGGAAGAGTCAATCTGTGCAACTGATTGTTGATTCTGAAGTCTTGCTGTAGTAGTAATCATCCGGTCTGCATTCTTTGAATGAGATTCTGCCACAGTAAACTATAAATTTTTTGTATTATGAAAGAACTTATTTCAACCTATATTTTAAGAAAAAATATATTTTGTTAATGAACCAAATGTTTTTTTACTTTATAAATTGGATAAATGTAGTGTTGGGATATCAAGTGACAGATACTCACAAGGTTACAAATGTTTTAGAACAACGTGTTAACACTGCATAAACCATCCATTGTTTCTAAAAAGTGGGCTGTTTTGTGCTATTTAAAATGAAAATTAGGAGAAATGACAAGTAACCATCGAGAGAACAATCAAACAATCAAATCTCCAAAGCAAAAGAAATCCAGACTTTTTTGTATTTTGTTTTGTGACCCAGAGAGTACTCTCCAAAAGCAGCTCATTTGTACAGGGAGCAATAACACACGGGAAGAGAGCAAGAGCACGGAATCTGACTGGCAAGGGTTCTATTTCATCTCAGGGAGAGATTTCAGGTCGTTTGGGGATCTAATCAGAAATGTTTCAAGAGGCTGGTTTCATGATGTTGACTCTGCCCGAGCAGCCACATATATGCGCACAGGCCCTCCGAATTCAGCAGAACCGAAGCACTGCCAGAACCCATGGGAAGGAGGCCACGGAGGTGGGACTTTGCGCATTAACTTTTCCTCCACAGCCGGTCATTCGCATTCAAAAAAGAGCACAATTAACAGCATTAGCAATACACGGGGTGCATGCACCTTGGCTAGCGAAGATCCCGGTCAAGTCACCTCAGAGTCAACCATTAAATACCACGGCCAGCCTCTCAGGAGCCAGAAGCAATTGTGGTTTTTGCAAGAGGAACAGATAACATTACACTTTGTATTGTCTATGAGAAGATGGAGGGAGCTATCCAAGGATTTATAATGTTTTATGCAACAAAGCAACAAAAACTTCTAGTGTGGTGTTCCTACCTCAGTCTGTAGTAAATGATGCTTCTATGCAGTGGGGGGAAAGTTTTCATGTCGTAATTCTGCACTCCAGAGAAAGATACAAACGTTCACGTGTTAATTGTTGGTGGTGTTTCTCATGCCTCAAACCTGTCCAATTCTACCTGTAACTATTTCATGCAATACATTTTTTTAATAGACAAGATGCAAACTTTAATGGGGAGAAGTCATTCTTAGATAGCTATTGACCCTAAACAATCCTGGGCCCAATTAAGGACACTTTTTCTTGTGCACTGCAGAATGCACTGGGGGACTAAGCTCTATTTCTGCCAAGGGTTTTATCCAACCCTTCGGCCTTCTGTTTCATGTTTCACTGCTCATTCGTTCCAAATCACAATTGTATGACTTGGGGGGATTTCCACAGGTTGCTGTATCAGAGGAAACAGACTCTGAATGAGGACTAACATGCTGCACGCTGAAGCAGGAAAAGGTCATTTATCTGAAAATGTGAAATTTTCATTTTCATAATATAGATGTTAATTCATGTGCCAAATACTATATGTCACATTTTTCCATCAAAGATGTAAATTTTTCTACATATTCAGCCTGTAGTTAGTGCAAACCATTGATTCCATATAGAAGTATTTTCAAATTTAAATAAATACTTAATTATGATGAAAAAATGCCTTTTGAGCAATTTAATTGGGAAATTATTGTGTACAATTACTAAAAACATTTAAGTATGTTTAAGGGGCACTATAAAAGAAGCATGAATAACATGGGGGGGGGGTTATACGATTGTTTATACCAATGTATTTTTTAAAGATGTTTACGAACACGGGCCATCCCCCCCCCACTGATTTGTAAGAGCCATTTTTCTGATCAGAGCATTTATAATTTCCAATCAACACTAGGAATAGACAATATAAATATGCCATTTGTATTAAAAATATCAAAATGTGCTTTTTATTCATTTTTGAATACACATTTAAAGTTCTTATCACAAAAGTATCAGCATTTAACTTCTAAATGGGGTATTATCTATTGCACAGTTTGTGACACAGATTTATAAGCCTCTGTGATTGACACGAACAGTTTCTCATAACCTGTTCAAAAAGTTACAATCCCAAAATGACAAACCTGGGCCTTATTAATGTCCAACTTAGTAGCAATAGAGGACATCTTCAGATATGTAATGCAACATATTTATTAGTCTGTAGCTGTCTGTGCCCTGAAGCGAAATAAGGAGTAACTAAACACCAAACCCTGATTTGTTTCTAGCATGCTTATCACTCTTTAAAGACGTGCAGGCGGCCACTGGAATTCCCACCCGCAACAATGTACCTGGTGGGGTGCCAGGAATTGATGGAACAAACAGAGTTAAGATAATCCTCACTCAGAAAGGAATGCAGCAGCTCTCCGGTGGCGTGAAAGGCGTGGATCTGCCTCGGCCGGGTCATGCTCCCCACCACGAAGCAGTCGTCCCTTTTGGGGTCCCAAACTGCCCGGAACCTGGTCAGCCATCGACCAGTGTTGTTGTTGTGCCTGTTCAGAAAAGGGAAAAGAGAAATGAATGCAGGGTTTGCTCACTTGCCCTTCAAATTCCTGAATGGCACTTGGATGCCATGGCCTGTTCACTGTGGGAAATTTTGTTCATTTAGGCAATTTCATTCATTTCGTGAGCGTTCAAAGTTACCATGGCACTGAAAAAAGTGACCTAGGGCCATTTTTCAGATTTAGAACCACTGAGGTATCCCTATAATCACGTGATAAAAAACTGGATGCTTGGCAACTGGCGTGTATTTATGACAGTTGCCATGTCCTGGGGTCATGTGATCCCCTTTTGTAACCATGAATGGGGAAGCCATTTGATAGTCATATTACTAACTTAACAATTGTGGGAAGGAAGGTCGTAAAATGGGTAAAACTCATTTAACTGTCTTGCTTAGCAGTGGAAATTTTGGGCTCCACTGTGGTCATAAGTCAAGGACTACCTACACTAAGTCAATCTCCTTGTTTTAACTCACCGAATAGTTGTGAGAATCGGAGCTAAAGATGATAAACACTGAGTTCCAAAGATCCTGTAAGGCAAAAATGAGAGTTTAGCCAAAGAACAAATCCCAGCCTTGGACTAGATTTTAAGGGAACTGAGACATTTAGAGGACCGCTGTTTGAAAGAGGGGTCAAAGAGGCCATCTAGGTCAAAATTGGACATCCCTCTCTCAAGAGGGGGAGAGATCCGACATCATCTATCTCCTGTCTACCACACAGTCCCTTCAGCAGTTCCAAGAAGGCACCACACCCATTTGCACCACTCAGGTGACCCTGAAGACACAGGTAAGCTTCCAGGTAGCTTTAACGACTCGCTAAAAGAATGCAAGTGAACAGCTGTCTGCAGGAGTATAAATCTTTCCGTTCCCCACCATCCAGTCAGAGCTGACGAAGCTTCTTGGATGAGAAGCAAAATGTCTTCAAAGAAAACCAAGAAAGTCCAGTTGCCTCGTGAAAAAGCATCTTTGGGTTAACTATGACCTGGATGACTGAGAACCTCCATAGACCTTGATCTCTACGTAGGTGAGGATTCCCTTAAGATGGCTCATCCCAGTGCCTGAGTTTTCTGAGCATTTGGGAATCCCCTGATGGTTCAGCCTCCATCCTGCATGATATCAAAATAGTTTTTTAAGCTGTCAATCCCTGCTGGCTCCAGGTTTCTTGGAGCAGCTGAAAAGAGCAAAACAGCAGTGAGCAATCCTGGTTAAAAAAAACAGGAACCCCACCACCGAGTGGTAGCACGTGCCCACGTGTGGGCCCCCATTGTGGCAACTGGTTCTTCTCCCCTTTTTCTTCAGCTGCAGATTCTATGAAAGTCCATCCAGAGACATTTGGGAAGGAGGCCGCTGCTGCTGCTGCTGCCCATTTCTCTTTCCTCTGCTTCCTTGGGGCAGATGCCACCTGGTCCCAGATGGGGGAAGTGAATTCAAGCACCTCTCGCCCTGTGAACTCCTATTTGGACTTTCCTGTTCGTGGAATCTGATGGTCGATGGCAGAACCAGAACTGCTCGATTCCTCACAATATTTACAGTAAGGGTCTAAAGGTTTGTTTGTTGAGTCCTCTAGCATTTCGCCACCCCATCTTTCAACCGTGTTCTTGTCTCATCCCCCCAACAAGCTCTCTTTGTTCTGCACACATTGCAAAGAAAAAAGAGAAACGGCTGTGAGGGCAAATCTGTCTCAACAGACATCTGGTGGCACGAGGGTTTCTTGAGCAATTTTCCTGGACGTTTTGTCCTGCTAAATAGAATATTTTGGTTGTAGAGAGTTGCAGGGAAAAAAAATTAGAAGGCAGACTCCCAAAAGCAAACTCTAATACAAAGCCAACTCACACATACCTCAGTGTATCGTCAGCACAAGTTGTCACTACTCTGTTTCCAGTCACAGGTGAAAAATAAGCCGAAGCAACACTCTTGGTATGTCCACTGAGAGCCAGTACCGGCTGACCTTTGCTCTTCAGGTGCCGAGCATCATAAATACTGACGTTTCTGTAACAGCAATGGACACAGGATATGTACCAGGATTGCACATTTTCTTCAAAGATCAGAAGACCCTGCGTAGGGAATCGGCTCCCATCACTCCTGATAAGTGGGACTAAGCAAAAAGAATGCACCTCTCTCCTCACGGAGAACTCAAGTTCCTGGTTGTGAGGAATCTAAGCAAGGGAGCTTTTCAGGAAGACCCCTTGTGTGCTGGGAGTGAAGAAACAGGTTTTCAGAGATGATAAAGGCCAAGAGGATTCTTGAACACATTTTTAGAATTTAATGGGGGCGTCCTCCTCATTACCGCTTCTTTCCTACTTTCCTGTGCATCACCTGCTCAGCCCACGTTGTGCTTTTTCTGGTGTGTTGCATCACCAGCCTGAGTCTTGTTAAACAAACTTTGAGGTATGTGATGGAGCTCCCAGCTGGGCTGAGGGCTTTGGGATAAAGCCACAGGGCTGGGTACTCAGAACTGGAAGAGTGCAGAAAGGTTCTGTATCCTGGGAACAAAGGACTACATCCAGAGTAAGTGACTCTGGAGACGGTCACCTTGTCTATGGATTACTGTAATTTGCTTTATATGGAGTTGCCTTTGAAGACCACTCAAAAACTTCAGTTGGTGCGAAGTCCAGCAGCCTACAGGCTTGCTTGTTATGACCACGACACACTGCCGCTGGGAGCAGCTACATGGGTGACTGCTACTCTTCTGAGTGCAACCCATGTCTGGATGGGACCTAGACCATGGCATCTATAAAGGTGCAGATAGTCCTTGTTAAGCGAGCAGCCACCTAGCGACTTTTCAAACTTAACAATGCCCCCTCCCAAAGCTTCTTACGGCCCAGTTCCAGAGTTTTGATGCTGTGCACACGTCTGCAGTCATGACTGCATTTCAGGCAGTTGGCAACCAGTTTTATCACCAATTGCAACATTCCATGGTCACCTGACCATAATTTAAGTTTTTTTTATGGTTTCCAGCTTTTTTAGCAAGTTCCTGATAAAAACTGCCCACAAGAATTCATAGCTTTGCTTAATGCCCACGCATTTGCTTAACAACTGCTGTTTAAGTAACTCTTATATTTAGACTACAGAAGAGTAAGAGGAGAAAGGTTAGCCGTGTCTCCTTTTTGAAGGTCTACCAAGGAGAAGGGTGTGGATTTATTTTTCAGCTCCAAAGACAGGCCAAGAACTTACTGGTGTAAGCTTTACAGAGGGAGATCCAAACTTAAAATAAAGAGCAATTTCCTGATAGTGAGAACTATTAAACAATGGAACAGTCTGCTTCCTGGAGTCAAGGAGGCCCATCACTGAGGTTGGGCCCCCATCCATTTGCATGAGATGCCTTGGAGATTCCTGCTCTGGCAGGGGCAGGACTAGAGGACCTCGAAGATTCTTTTCCGTTCTATGATTCTGTCAGCTGCTCAATTATACTTCTGATTCTGTTTGCAGTAGGTTCACATCGCCCTCCCCCACTGTGGGAACCTTCACATGGAAACACATTGTGCAAAAAGTGGGTTTTTCTGGGACATGGGGCTGGATTGTTACAGATAGTTTTTATTTTGTAACAGAGCAGAGGAGCAATAATTCTGTCCCCGCATATTTTCTTCTAGCAGGCCTTGAGCTGGGAGGGAGGAAAGGATCTTATGAGGGCCTAGCTTTGGAGCCTCGGCACTATTAATCTCATCAGCAGATAAACTTTTTGGTGCAACAATCACGCCCCAGGTAAGAGACAAAACAAGTTCCAATAGCACTTAGCACTAGCAATAGACTTATACACTGCTTCACAATGCTTTACAGCCCTCTCTAAGCATTTTACAATGTCAGCATCTTGTCAACAATCATTTTACCGACCTCAAGAAGGATGGAAGGCTGAATCAACCTTGAGCTGATGAGAATCGAACTGCTGAACTGCAGGTAGCCAGCAGTCAGCAGAAGTAGCCTGCAGTTCTGGATTCTAACAACTATGCCACACGATAATTCTTTATTCATTACACAAAACATTTTTCTTTAGATTCTATTCTAAATCAAACGGGTGGCCCTTCCCTGTTGCCACCAGCCTAGCACTTTTGCGTTTGTGCGGGAACCTACCTTTCCCCAGCAGCAACAAAGTACTGTCTACTGATAGGGTGAACGTGGACCGTCCTCGTCTTTGAATGAAGATCTACCGAGATCTCGGGGGATGGCACTGGCGTTCTCCGATCCACTATGGCTACCCTTCCATCCCACATTCCTACAACCAAAGTAGAGGCATTGCTTGCCAAGAAGTCAAATGAAGAAAGGCTGTAGCTCTCGTTTCGATATATCTGTGAATGAAAAAGAGGTTTCCATTTAGACTATGCTTGAGGTATCATTCAGCCTGAGCTACTGACTTGACGCCTGCATTTCATAACAGCTTGAAATTAAACTTCCATCTATTTTCAAGGCTCACTTATAGAAATCAAACTTACTGTATAAGGTTACTATAACAGCAGACAGAGGCCTGGGAATAGATTATCCACAAGAGTTAGGGTTAGGGTCTCTTCCAAACATGGCATTATAGGATTTCTAATATTTAATGGGTGAAATATTCACCTCCTCAAAAATTCTTTGAGTTACATCTCCAGATCGTATCGTGCCATCGTGACTGAGAGATAAAAGATGAGCAGGATTAACGGGAGAAAAGTGCAAACAGCTGACTGCCTGGCTATGGGGTATGAAGATGTGGGTTCCATTTTCTAAACCGTAGTCCTGCAAAACACAAACCAGAGCAGCACCACAGTTACTGTCCTGCTTTTCACAATGAGCAACAGAAATCATAGTAGGAAAAAGAGGAATATGTCCTCACACAGGGACATGAATGCTGTGCTCCAGCCAGAGAGCCCCATCCAGGCCCAAGGCAGGTACTTTCAAAAAGTGGGAACATTTCACTTTTTTTGTTTCGGGTAAGCCAAAACAAAAAATCCTTGTGAGAGCAGCATGCTTCTATTTTTCACTCAGATCGTCTGTGGGAGCAGTGCATTCATCCTGATGCTCCTTGATCTCCCAGGGGCTTTCAGAAAAGTTTATCATGGTATTTTTAGGACCTTCTGTGGGGCTTGAGATTTGGGGTGCCACGTTACACTGGTTCTCCTTTCTTTGGGACCAGTTCCAGGTCATGCCTTCAGACTCTTACCTGTGGAGTATAGATAATCTTCAACTTATAACTAGCTTTTGAAATTTTGAGCCCAAAATTTGTGTTGCTAAGTAAGATGTTTGTTAAGTGAGTTTTGCCCCATTTTATGACCTTTCCTGCCATAGTTGCTAAGTGAATCACTGCAATTGTTAGTAACATGTTAAGTGACTCTGGTTTCCCACTGACTTTGCTTGTAAGAAGCAAAAGGTGATCACATGACCCCACACACTGCAACCGTAAGAAGATCTTCATAGATCATTCTATGAGGAAGTCATCACAGACCTTGCAGCAGTTTCTGCCACGCAGTGGGAAATGGAAATGGAGGGCTGGCATCCAAGTCAAAAACCTGCCTTCAGCCAAATGCCCACTTAATCTTCCATTTATAGCCCCCTCATATATTTCCCCATTCTACAGCCCCAGCAAGATGTCCATTTTGCTCTATGAGTTCATGGTGACCTAACCCTAAGTGGAATTTTCCTCCAATGGGATTTTCCCATGTATTTTACCAGGAAACATAGATAAGGCATCCTAGAAAAGTCAGTGTCCTCCTAACCATACCCAAGCACTCTGAGTTTGTTGGCGATGTCCATTTTCCTCTCCGGATTCATGGTGACCTAACCCTAACCCTAAGTGGAATTTTCCTCCAATGGGATTTTCCCATGTATTTTACCAGGAAACGTAGATAAGGCAGGCTAGAAAAGTCAGTGCCCTCCTAACCATACCCCAGCACTCCGAGTTTGTTGGCGATGTCCATTTTGCTCTATGAGTTCATGGTGACCTAACCCTAACCCTAAGTGGAATTTTCCTCCAATGGGATTTTCCCATGTATTTTACCAGGAAACGTAGATAGGGCGGGCTAGAAAAGTCAGTGCCCTCCTAACCATACCCCAGCACTCTGAGTTTGTTGGCGATGTCCATTTTGCTCTAGGAGTTCATGGTGACCTAACCCTAACCCTAAGTGGAATTTTCCTCCAATGGGATTTTCCCATGTATTTTACCAGGAAACGTAGATAGGGCGGGCTAGAAAAGTCAGTGCCCTCCTAACCATACCCCAGCACTCCAAGTTTGTTGGCGATGTCCATTTTGCTCTATGAGTTCATGGTGACCTAACCCTAACCCTAAGTGGAATTTTCCTCCAATGGGATTTTCCCATGTATTTTACCAGGAAACGTAGATAGGGCGGGCTAGAAAAGTCAGTGCCCTCCTAACCATACCAAGCACTCCAAGTTTGTTGGCGATGTCCATTTTGCTCTATGAGTTCATCATGTGTGACCTAACCCTAGACCCTAAGTGGAATTTTCCCTAACCCTAACCCTAAGTGGAATTTTCCTCCTATGTTTTCCCATGTATTTTACCAGGAAACATAGATAGGGCAGGCTAGAAAAGTCAGTGCCCTCCTAACCATACTCAAGCACTCCAAGTTTGTTGGCGATGTCCATTTTGCTCTATGAGTTCATAGCCTCTTAAAGTTGTCAAGATTGAGAAACACTGTCTTGGAACAAAGTTCAAACCTCTTTGCTTGGCTATCAAAATCCTGCCAAGTGAGAGGGAAACGGAGCAGTCTGAATAGCAGGAGGGCCAATCTGAGTATCATTTCCTGGTTGATAATATTCACTTCAAAATGATACCTTGTTTCTCTAAACATTCAACTGTTTCTACCTAACATCAAAGCCTTACTTTATGCTACCTTGAAAGCATAATAAAACATTGCTACAAAGAGTATGAAACATGAAGTACTTACTAAATCCCAGAGGCCAATCTCTCCCCACTTGTCCCCAGCTGCCACCAGAGTTCGGCTTTCAGATGGATGGACAGCCACAGAATAAATCCGGCTTTTCACCACTTTTGCAACATGTTCTTCTCTGAGGACCATCCCACGGAGATGAATTTTGTAACTGGGCAAAATAATGAATATGTTAGCTTAAACACAAAGCAAACAAATTTTTAAAAAGCAAGTTAGAATTAATTTCAGAGTTACCTTTCTAAGTTACATGAGCTTTTCTCACTCTTCTTTCCTTCCACCTAGTTAATGGTTGGAAAACAATGCAGAAATTATTTACATTGTGTGCAGGCTCTCTTTCAAGCGTACTAGTGAATTCTAAAAATACCTGGCTTATTTTTGCCCACATGCTGAGAAACGTGTCAGTTTTTGGCTCCTGAACAGTAGCAACCATTGGATGAGGTCCAGGTGGCAATCGGGACTTTCAAAAAAGAAAAAGATATATAAAACAGTTAATTGTGTTGTGTATTATCAGTGAGGTTCACAGAAAAAGCAGCAAGCAGAAACACAGATTCTTACTCAAATTATTTTGCTTTGTGTGCACAATCCAAGTCACTTGAGCAAAGTTAAATTTAAGATGCAGTCAAAGCTACTACCCGAGTCTCAGTGAGGCAGCAATGGAAATCCAAGACCATCCATTAGGATCAGAAGTCCCTGCACAGGACAACTCTCAGTCAGAAAAGCTTTGGCAGCCAAAGTGCAGAAGCCCCTCGAGTCACCCAGAGGTACAAGCACAAGCACATCTTAACCTGCCACTCTCCCCTCTGAGCCTCTTACATGCTCCTCTTCCATAGGAGATTCCAGCTTTGCTTCTGGCTCCGGGAGGGGAATGCCCAGTGGATCTATTCTCTGCAAACGCATGGATCTTCGACAAGTTGTCTTAGTTTCTGCCTTTGGAGACTTAACTCTACCAAGACAATACAAGGGCACCTCTAAATCTTGTGCTTCAAGAATACATTCACATCATGAAAACATTGGCTATGTCCTATTGGTATTTTCAGTTACTTGCATTCTCGCTGTATTTTCTACTATCATTTCCTCCCTGTGACATTACACAGCACAGCAGAATAATCTGAAGATGAGAATTCAGTATGAACTTGGCTAGTTGAGGCTGGAGACCAAGAGCCCTGCAACTCTTCCCCAACTGCCTAAGCAGATGAGTGTGGATCATTTCCACTGGGGTACGACACAGAGGGAGCCATCAGATTTCTCCAAGGATGTGGTCCTCCCTAGAAAGTGAATTATTTCCTCCAGCCAATATCCAGGACCAAAAAGAAAAAAAAAAGCCTTAACATAGTATTGCTGATGCTGCTTAAAATATTCATTTACAATTCTTAAAGAGTGAGATCTGTAGTAAAAATATGCATTTAAAAGATTCTTGGACAGATCCATCCTTTTGTGCTTCTTTCTAAATAACTCTTTTTTCTGACTAGTCTACATGCATTTTTCACTGTGAGCTGCAGAGGGCAGGACAGTATTAAAAGAGCATTTGAGTTGCAAGTGTCCAGGGAAGCCACCAGGCTCTGTCCCCTGGTAAGCAGAACTCAGGCTCAGCCCACAGAGATGGCTACCCACCAGTGAAAGGTACCCATTTCCAATCTACTGATAGTTTTCTCCCTTTGTGCCTGCCCCCGGCACTTATTCTATTTGGCCTTTTTCCTGTCCTCCAATTTTCCTCCCCCCCCTCCCCCTCCCAGCTTTAAGAATTATCATTGAGTGCTGCTTCCCAGTTATTTGTCCTGCTTTGGGATCCTAGCAGGCAGTTTCATTTTTTTGAAATTTAGTATGTGTATACATTCAGTTTAGTACATTCATGTGATTTACAAAATTCTCTTGTAAGATAAGCATCATTATGCCAAGACATAAAAATACTGGGGGGGGGGAGGGAAATGTGCCCTTTTCTCGTTTCCACCCATGTGATGCATGCTGTTCACTCCACCTTACCCCAGTCCATTCTTACTTCCACAGTCCTTACTGCTTCCCCTTTGAGGATGTCAGTAACTTCATGTAATGATCCTGACTTTCCCTTCCTCCCAATCTATTTGCTCTTCCTTCATATTTTGCAATTCATTCTCTTTAGGCAACTACCATCATAGTTCTGCTGTGTTGATTATTCACTTTTGTATTCAGCCTATATATCTTCAGCATGTCCTTACCCCAATCATAAACCGTTTTATATTTATCACTGAGATTTAAGTTCTGTATAAAATGTAACCTTTTAAATTTAAGTTTTACCACAGATACCACAGGAAGGGCCACAGTCACCTGCCAACAAGAACATTTCCCATGGTGGGGATGTCTGGATTTCTGTGGGGATTGCTAGATATCTGAACTTTGCCATGGGTTAATGGACATGCAATATACAGTTTTACCTCTTTATTCCTGGTGTCTTCCTTTTCAAGGTCATTTTACGAAGTCTGGCAGCTGACTTGAAGGAGAAAAAGAACAGAGAAGCATGAACTTTCAATGTTTCAACACATTGTTTTAAAACTAAGATGGCAAACTTTTGACATCGTGATGTGACATATGCTATGAAGAATATGCGGCCAAGGCGATGGCGGCCGGGCAGCCGCGCACGACCCCGGGCTGGCTTTTAGATCTAAACCTGCTGAGATTTCGCAGACTCAAGCCAGCCCTAAACGTTAAGCCGTTCCCCCCCTCCTCCCACAAATCTTGGCCTGCATCCCGGCGCCAGGAGGGCAGAAGCCAGCAAAGCGGCTCCGCGGCTGAAGCGCTTCTTTGGGCAGGGAAGGGCCCGTCCGCCCCGCCACCGGCGCTGCGCAAGGCAGAGGCGGGAGAGGTTCGTCTCTTCCCAGCCCCTTCACGGCCCCTCGCGAAGAGCGGCCGGAGCGCCTCCCGCACCTGCCCGGGGAAGGCGCCTCGCCCACCGCACCGACCTCGAAGAGCTTCAGCGAGGCGAAGAAGCGGGCGTTCTCCGAGATGTTCTTCAGCCGCTTCCTCTCGTAGGCCGACAGCTGCGCCGCCTCGCCGCCCCGCAGGGAGGGAAGCGGGCCTTCGGGCGCCTCGTCCCCCTCCGCTCCGGCCCCTCCGAGGCCCACAGACGCCGCCGCCATCCAGCCGCTTTCCCGCCACCCCGGCAGACGCGTGCGCAGGCGCAGAGGGCCCGACCTCCGGCCGCCCGGCGGGGGGGCTGCTGGGGGCGGGGCCTCTCCGGCGGCGTCGCCCTCGGGAGGGAGCGCGGCCTATTCGCTCCCCCCGCGGCGCGTGCAGGCGGCGTCTGCTCCTCTTCCTCAGATGAAGTCCTGCCGCCCCCTCTATAAAGGCCTTGCCTGTGATGGAGGGGGGGGCACAAAAAGACACTTTGCAAAAATGCTTCTGTCCCCTGCAGGCCGCCTGAGCTGGATAGACCACCCTGGGACCCCCGCCCCTCTGCCTGAAGCGCCGTCCCGGAAGAGGAGCAAGACCGCAGGGGCTGCAGGGTGGAAGACAGACCCCATGATCCCCCCCCCAAGCTGTTGGCAGCCTCAAATTGAGGTCCTCACTGAGCCCCCCCCCCCGCTGTTCTGGCCCTGGAGAGGCACCCCCCCCCCCGCCTAGGACTAGTGGCCACCGGGTGATCTCTGTCTTGCCAAACTCCCTTGCTCAAAGGGCTGCTGCTCATCACTGCATCATTTGGGATACAAACCGTCCATTTTAATCCCTACCAGTTACATTTCTACTCTCCCGCCTCCCAGACATTCATTTCCTATTTAGGGAATTCATACCCACAATTCAGAAGCTTTCTTATGCAACAGCTCACAAGAAGTGACTTGATTTAAATGCTTTACTTATGTAAAGCAAGTTATGAAACATGAATACTTAATATAAAAGTCAATGAAAACTTTAATACTTTTATGCTGAATAGCATTTACAAAAATGAAAATAACTTTTAAGGGCATCACAAAAGTATGTAAGAAGGTTTAAGGTATTGTCTGCTTTGGGGCTTTGGCACTGTCATCATTCCAGGCCTCTTGCCAGCTCCTGGCTGGCCAGGAATAATACAGGAAGTAGAATTTTTAGAACCAGCCAAAGTGCTTTTGCAGGCTTTGTAACTCCTAGGAAGAGAGAAGAACAAACAGGCTATTAGAGCATCTTCATATATCTTGTTTCAAAAAATCACAGGGGCTTCTGTCAGACAGTTTAGTTAAATGGTCACTTCCAGATAGAGAAAGGAAAATTTACATAGCGACATCAGCAGAGAGACTCCTTTTCCCATCACCTTTTCTGAATCCTCAGTGCTTAGGTGGTGTTTATACCTCTGTGGCTTACAATGGGGAGGCGGGGGGGGGGGGAGAGAGAATTTCGAAGTGGTTGCCAATGATGGAATTCAACCTGCAGGCCTACTAGTGGATATCTCCAAGGAACTTTTCATGATGTAATAGGTAAAAGGTGCTTCATTAGCACTATGTCACAGTTTGATTCAACCTTTATGAAGAATCGGAAAATGTACCTCTTACAATAAGCCTGCTGTCCCCCAGATCCTTTTTTTTTCTTCGATTCCTTAAAAAAATGAGACTTCTTCCTCTTCCTTCCCTTGCCATTTTTGGTTTGGAAATATATGGACGTTGTATTCGTTGCTTCTTCCTCACCTTCACTATCACATCTGCTAAAGTCAGTCTCTGTGGCTGTGAGAGGCTTCTTTTCTGCTGCAGTGAAAAACCCAATATTCCTTAATACAAACTTTTTTCTTAGTTTGGACAGCATTTCTGCATTAGGGGTCCCATTTGCATGACTGCCACCAAAATACTTGAGGAGCTTGCTAGACCAAAGCAACTGAGGTGTGTTAGTGATAAGGAAAAAAGTCAACAGGACAGAAGTTAACGTTTTAGCACGATTCTGTGGCAATGTGACCAGCCAATGCATTAAGTAAATGAAGCTATTTAAATACCTGGTAGTATCTTTGAACAATACTTCTGCATCACTTCTATTATTTCTGCTCCATATTTCTCTAATTTGTCCTCTGTCACACCATCAATCCGAAGCAAAACTGCTGGATCTGAAGACAAAGTCTCTGGAAAAAAAAAAAAAAAGAATCTCAATACAGCTTTTTGGCATCCTCAATACCAAACTGGCTTGTCATCCCTATCTTCCAAGAACTTTTTTTTAACTTCCCAGTTTAGGCTACAGTACAATGTCTCGCTTCCAAGTCTAACCAACCAACCCTGCTTAGCTTTTTTGAGATCAGCCAAGAGCTGCTAGATGTTGGCCACCTGCTGTAAAGGCCTCCCTGTTGACATCATGGAACATCCTTGTTACTCCACTACAATACAGAAAAGCCTTGCCATTTCTGCCTTCAGGGATGTGATTTCCAACACCCTGTCAGGACTCAGTGACATCGAAAGTTTGACTGACATTTTCATTGAGCGTATTATCATCCTGATATTGCCTGAAGGTCATTAGACAGAGATGAAGAAATCTGCATGAAAAGGAGCTATAGAAACAGGGCACTTTGAAAGCAGGAAAATCTGGAGACAGACAAATTTTACAACTCTTTCAGCATCCTACCAAGTAATAGATTTTTAAATGTCAGGTATCGTGGCCTTTTCTTATGTAATTCAAACTTATGCAGAGAAAACAAGTGAGAAAAAAGGTGGAGATGGCAAATAAAGGAAGATAAAATAGCGAGGATTGCTATTTGAACAAGTGTTGAATTTGTCGTACATAAGCTGAGCATTGCACTGAAGTGTTGGAAATTGTACATTTGGCATGTCAGTGACTTTGATAATGACAACACGCTTATTATTTTTATTGTAACACATATGGTAGGACTTATCCTCAACTATATCATGCACATTTTTCCATGAAGATATAGATTACCTGCTATTCTTTTTAATGTGGCAGTGTTAAAAATATTAAAATAGTGGATATTAAACACTTTCCCAAGGTTTTTACAGACATCTGTGAGTTCAGAGAGACATTTCTTAATCATCTCTTCCTGTAGGGACATCTTGGTCTCCAAAGCCCTCTGCTTCCGAATATTGCTGGCACTTTCTGTTTCACAGAATTCCACCTAAAGGGAACAAAGAGGTATGTTGGTGTGTAATAAAAATAAGCATGCTTCTGAAACGCTGTTTACAAGAGAAGAAAGAAGAGGGAACGGTCCAGCACAACAGATGGCTGACAGCAAGAAAACCCCTTTTCAGCAGCCCCCTTTGCTATTCTGCAGCTTCACTCCACGCTGAGGGACAGAAGAAACTTGGGCGGCTGCCTCTGCAGTCACGCACCTGCAAGAAGCCATTCAGCAGAGCACCAGCTTTTTCCCCCAACTGGATGTACGCTATCGCTTGATCGTTAGCACTAATGTACAAGTCTTCATCCAGAATCCTGTCCAGCACCAGCTTCCTAAAAAGTCGCTCGGCATTATGCCGTGAGTAGGCTGCTCCCTTGCCAAAGAGGCCACACTGAATCTTTGCACTTCTTGAACCTAGGAAAAGGAACAGAGTATAGCCTATTTTTATGCCCAAGCTGACATCATTTTGAAAGTTCTCGGCCCTTCTTCAGAAAGAACAGTCCCCAGGATTGGAAACCTCTGGCGCTGTACAAAAGAGTAAGGTCCACATCTGGATATAACCCGCTGTGAAGGTATGAGCAAGAGTGTGCTGACTGGGCAGCCTGGAATAGGCACATCTCTCCGGGTTTCTCATCAAAAGGGGAAGAGAGCCCAGCCCCTCCTGATTCCTCCTTTCAGCTCTCCCTGCTTCCTACACAGGTAACCAGGGCAGCCGAAGGGACTATGCAGACCCTCCTCAGGCAACTCACCCTGCTCCTCTGTGGCTGAAAGGGAGAGAAGACAACCCTCCCTCCATCCCACAGGCAAATATGGAAGGAGGCACAAATTTCACCCCACCATCTCTGTCACGTGGACAGACTGCTATACTCGGAGCCCCAACAGAAGACAAGGAGGGTGATAAAGTGAGCCATGGGATACTCATGGAAACGACTGCGCGCGAGGCCAGGCCCATCCTTCTTTGGCAAAAAGGGGGGGGGAGGGCTGGGGAGAAGAAAATGTCCCAGCCAGTTTTACAACCTATCCAGCACCCAATGTTAAAAAAAAATATTCAGGAGTTGCGTACGTATATACAAATATGTATAATATAGAACTTACCCAAGAAAATGTCAATCATCATATTGAGGGTATATCTTCCTGCAGTTCTCTTGATATTTCTAGTTCCTTTTTCACCACAATGTTCCTTAACAAACATCACAATGTTTTTTACTTCTTCAGTCACATTCTTCAACTTGTACACCTAATAAAAAGTTTTATTAATTCTGTATCATGTATGAGCCGATAGACTGCAGAACTTTCATATACCATTTAAAATGTAAACCATGTAATCATAATTAATAACGTAATAGGAATATCATATAATAGCTTTTTTGGGATGAAGAACAACGATAATGAGGAAAAATGGTATGCCATCATTGGAAAATAACTTTTCACTTGGCTGCTTTCAGCCCTTCCCAGGAAGATTTATTTGTTTAGTATTTATATTTCGTATTTCTAAACTGCCCACTCCCTCAGAGAGGGGCTTAGAGGCAAACTCTGGGGCAGAGCTGCTTACCTGTTGCTTGCAGCAGTTGTCGCAGCTTACATCAGGGTGCTCCTTACAAAATCTAGGATTAAACCCTGTTTCTCCAAAGTAGGCCAGCAACTGTATCCTCCGGCATTCCATGATGTTCTCGCAGTAATGGACCATGCTGTAGAGGTTGTTGAAGTGCGTCTGCCGGGTGTGGCTGTTACCTTCCCTTTCCACTGAAACGCAAGCAACATGGTCCTTGTGAGAAAAGGTTCCAGAGGAGCAATACCTGGAACGAGCAACTGAAGTTTCACAAAGCTGCTGCAAAACCTCTGATGAACCTGGTGAGCGTGGAAAGAAATACCCCACAGACCTTGGAACTCCCTTCATGGCCATTGTCCTGGAGCAAGGAGATCCCTTAGCTGCCAGATGGTCCTGCTGGATCAGATTAGGTTGTGATAAGGACCGTCCCAGAGCTTGCTGGGAAAAGCAGCTAGCAATTGTGGTGCATTTTCCATTTTTTTGAAAAATTAATTCTTACTGTTAAAACCCAAACTGTTCCCAGTCCTCATCCTAGACACATAGATCCCTTGGCAAACAGAAAACAAAAGAAATCAGCCAGGCAGGTGTTATAATCAGCTGCTAGACTAATTCTGGCTGACTTTCTAGGTAATAAAAGTGAAAGCCAAATTATGAAATGCTGGAATGCAACGGCCTCTCATATAATAGTCCAAGCAAGATAAAGTCAGTCTTATTTTGGCCCTGAATATTGTTGGAGTGGCAGGCAGTGAGCGTTGCTCTAGGAAGGGCTGCTTGCATAGTGAAGCCCAGAAAGAAGAACGCCAGTGCGTCATCGGCTGGACACGCTATTTAGGTTTAGGGTTTTCTGTTAAGCGTTAACCAACTGGAACCTTTGGGAGCAAGCAGCACCCTGAGTGGGGCAAGGGAGAAAAGGTCTCCAGCTTGAAAACCCCGGGGCCTGCTTGACACGGCCCAGGGCTTGAAACAACACTTACTCAGGATGAGCCGTCTCAGCCTGGTCACGTCGCTATAGCTGTAGAAAAGCAGGCAGTGGGAGACTTCGCCATCCCGCCCGCTTCTGCCAGATTCCTGATAATAGCCTTCAATAGATTTAGGGAGGGAGGCGTGGATCACAAAGCGCACATCGGGCTTGTCAATCCCCATTCCAAATGCAATGGTGGCACAGATAACCTGGAAGACAAGAGAACAAGCCCCTTACTCCAGGCGAGGGAAGCACAAGGGCACTGGACCTTGGGGGGCTGACCCCCGGGAAGCTGCCTCTGATGGGCTCGCGTGTGCCTGTTAGATTATCTCACTGGACTGACTCTGGCTCTTGCCGATCGCTCCTTCCAAAGCTCAGGCTGGGCAAAGCGCTTGCCATCCTCTGCCATGTTCCCTGCCCGTGGCCCTGACTGCCTCTTCTACCGCACCGTTCCCTGTTGTGCATGTGCTGGTGTGGCTGGGAATCAAGGTGAATCCATGGCCTCGCTAGGGAAGAACCAAAGGGAGAGTCCAGCCAGCTGACTGGCAGAGCCGGTCACTAGTTCATTTATTGGCCTATCCCTCATTGCTGGCCCAGAGAGATGCTGCCAAGACTGCAGGCAAGCCCTCCCTCTCTCCAGCTCGTCTTCCAAGCCGTTCCAAGGAGGGCAACGTCTAAGTACACCGACAGCTTCATCAAGGGTGAGGGATCCAATCAGGGAAGGCAGCCCAATTGCTGCGTTTGGCAGTGTCACAAAATGATGGCATACTATTTGATCACCTGACCATGAGGATGCTGCAACAATCGTAAGTGTGAAAAACAGTTGTAAGTCACGTTTTTCAGTGCCATTGCAATTTCAAACGGTCGCTAAACAAACTGTTGTAAGTCGAGGACCGCCTGCATTATGGAGGTACCACAACTGGAAGCAGTATTCTAAGTGTTCTTATGGCTTCTCGTCTTCCCAATCACTTTGTTCAAGCCACAGTATTAGTCAAACAATGAAAAGCCACGTTTAGCTGTACGCCAACAGAATCTGTGCCAGTCTGAGCTCTTCAAGCTCCCTGCACCTCTTTGTAGAGGCTGTCACGTGGGCCCCCTCCCCTCTCCTCCCACTTGAATTGCTGACATGGTTGCGTGACTTGATCTCACTTTCTCACGGGTTATTCTTTCTACCTGGCATCCATCCTGGTTAATCCATTTCTGCTGCACGAGATCTCTGGTGCCGTCAGGGAGACCAGCGTGGTAGGCCAGGGCAGAGAGGCCGCCCCCTTGCAGAGCGTTGGCCACGGAGTCACATTCATACCGCGAGAGACAATAAATGATTCCTGAATCACCTGCAACACACAGGAAAAGGCTCTAAAGATCTGTTCCAGTCTTTCTCAACCTCAGCAACTTTAAAATGGGTGGACTTCAACTCCCAGAATTCCCCAGCCAGCTTTTTTCCCAGCAAAGCTGCCTGGGCAATTCTGGGAGCTGAAGTCCACCCATCTTAAAGTTGCTGAGGTTGAGAAACACTGGACTCTATTCAAGAGGGCAATACAGTTCTGAATTCCATCTGTTGGCTTTCCTTAATGGCAGCTTGTAACTACTCATCGTTAGATAGAAACAAACCCCACTGTCTTTAAACTTGACATTGTTCCTTTATCTCCCTCCAGAAAGGAGGGACCTGCCCAAATTCCTAGCCTTCCCAACAAAAAACACATTTGAACAAAGAAGTATGCATAAAATCATTTATCCCCTTCTTGACTGTCTCCAACTGGAAGCTGGACAGCCTTCTCTCTCGGATGCCTGCGTTTGGATTTTTTTTTGCCTTGAGTAGGCAAAAACCCTCAGTGGGCCTTAACTCCAGAAAAGCCATAAAGGGAGGGAAATAGGGTGTTTCCAGCCTTTTGTAGCTGGGACATCCCTTACATTGGTGCTATTACCCAAATACTTTTCAAAATTAAAGCCCCCCGAATTCCAAAAGGATTGGAGAAACTTGCATTAGCCACATGGCACCACTTTATTTATCAACACGGGACATTTTTGAATAGGTTTTAGATGTCTACAGAATCATTCCACAAGGCTTACCTATTTTACTAAGGAACACCAAAATATCAAATATCTAATCTCTGGGTTTAAAATAACCCCATACCAGTAGACGTTGGCCAAGGAAGAATGGATGATGACTTACCAGGGTGGTATTTCCTGATCCACTGTAAGCAATCTAGAGCAACGGTTTTGGGTTTCTTGGGTAGTACGTCGTATTTCAAGTTGTGCCTGTTAAAGCTCATAGTAAACCTGGAAGGTTATTAGCAATTTAGTTGAAGAAAAGGATTATTGAACAACTACGTAGCTCATCTATGCAGCCGCCCCAGGAAAGCCATCCCTCTTCCAAATTTCCCAGGGAGGAACTCTCTCCTCCACCTCCGAGTCAAACTTACACCTGGGGCTGGTGCATCTCCAGCTGGTTCAGGATGTCCTTCTGCACTCTGGGGTTGGCGGTGGCAGTAAGGGCCATCATGGGAACCAAGGAGAACTTCTTTCGGAGCATGTTCAGCCGCTTGTAGTCTTGACGAAAATCATGACCCCACTAGTAAAAAGATTTCTAAAAGTTACATTTATTTACACGGTCAGGTGAAAAAAAGTACACCCTCTTTGTGTTCTACGGTTTTACATATCCAGACACACTAAAAATCATCCGATCCTTACCAGTTTTTAAAAGTAGGTAAATACAACCTTAGATGAAGAAGAGCACATGTCCCGATACGTAAAAACATAGAATTCAAACAGGGTGTACTTTCTTTATCGTATGGCTGTATTCCGCCTCTACTATTTTTGCAAATAACACAAAGCCACAAACATATCCATTCCTACAACAACAACGCTGTGAGGTGGACTGGGCTGAGGGAGGGGGACTAGTTCAAAGCCACCCAGCTGGCTTTCATGCCAAGGGTGGGAGTCACAGGTCTCCTGCTTTCCAGCCTGGTGCCTTCAACGCAGGTGAAAAAGACGCAACTGTTGTGACCGTCCGCCCCCTTTTCAGTGAAAACAGATCACCTGACTGACGCAGTGGGCCTCGTCAATCACAAAGCGAGCCAAGAGCTGTCGCTGGTACAGATTCTCCAGCGCTGACATCAGCTGACCACTGGAGCAAACCTGGGGAAAGCAAGTGCAGCAAGAGGCCCAGATGCCGCAACGTCACAACTCTGGCACGTCTCCGTCACCCCCAGGCCCCATCAAGCAGGCAAGGGCAGCCAAAACCTCCTTGCCTTCAGAAGGATCCAAGCCCCTTGGGCCAGCTGGAGCATTGCTGAGCGGCCCAGGCCTCCATACAAACCTTCTCTGGAGTAACGTAGAGGAGTTTTATAATGGGGTCCTTCTTGGAGAGCTGCATGTAAATTTGGGATGCTTCAGCACCAGTCTTGTCACCTGTGAGGTACGTGGCTGAGATCTAGACAGAGAAGACAGCAGCTGTACCATTGGCAGCTAGCAGAGCTTGCACGCGAATCTTGGTTGCTGTTGACCACTTCTTTTGGAAACTGGTCAATAGTAAAGCCAATGCTTATGCTCGGAGTGGGGAAGGCCAGACCTGTGGTCTGCTGTTGGACAGTGCCCGCTCCTTTAGACTCGGAACCAAATTGTAAGAAGAACCACACAATTCTAGCTGGACCTGTACTTATAACCCTGTGAATAACATTTGGAAGTCACTTCTATCTACCATTTTTCTTACTTTTCTATTGTTCCTCCATGTTTTTTCTTTGTCCTAGTCTACATCTTTTTGCTTAAAAGTTTCAATAACAATTATATGTAAAAAACCCAATTCTAGCTGGACCCATAAGTGTGAGGAGGCCAAGGCTATGTTGTTCTTTTGCTGAAAGCAGTTATACAACAGATTTTTTTCCTAGATTTTAAACAGGACTAACCCACTAAATTTTGTATGAATACAAATTCTACAAGAATTTAGAGTTTTATATTTGCACAGTCACACTGCAAAGAGCAGAAATCCAGATGCCTGTGACAGATACAAATTATCTTAATATGGCTTTGCATTTCAGGCAATTTACAGAAAATCAAACAGGAAGCCATCTTGAACTCACATCCATGGAGGTCAACTTCTGAACTTGATCCACTATCAGGGACCTCAAGGGAGAGATGACGATGGTGACTCCCACTGAAACACAGGCTGGTAGCTGATAGCACAGACTCTTGCCACCTCCTAAGCAGAGCAGAAGCACAGGATGAAAGCTCTACTCATGTTCTACTCCACTACTAGTTCTAGACACATGAGTTCTGCACACACAACCACGGGAGGAGGCGCAACACTTCCACTCACACTTTCTCCATCACCTGTGTTACCATGAAGATTAAAATATGGCCCGAGAACTGAGATGCAAAAAGAACCACTAAGTTCAATCTCCTGTTTGGTGCAGGAGTGAATCATTCCTGGAAGGTCCTTAACCCTTGTTCAAACAAAATGCAATTATTTCTTATGAAATTTATTTTAAATCATTCCTTAAGTTTTTATTTAAAGTGCAGCCAAAGATTTGATTGCATATGAATTCAGTTTGTTACACACACCGACTGAAATCCTGAAAATGATTTCTAATCATAATAAACAGCAATTCATACATTAATATCAAAATAGAAAATAGCTTTATAATGGGCAGAAGAGCGTTCAGCCTGGGCTTGTGCAGGGAAATGTGTAATTCAACGAAGTAAGAAATCAAAGTTTCATTTATTCTGAGTAAAGTTTAAAATTGATTTAGAGTATGATTACTTCTTATAAAGTTACAAAAATACTTAACTCCCTCTACCCCCATGCCTTACCCACTTTAGTGGCTTTGAGTGCAACACAGGCAGGGCTGTAAGATCCAAGGAGGAGGGGCAAAGCAAAACTCCACCAAGGAACAGCTATTCTGTCTGCATGACTGCCACAGACACCGTGCCCTACAAACCAGATTTAAACCCCCAATAGACCGCACAGCTAGATGGCAAATAACTCAACAAAGCAGGCGAAGAAAACTGATATGGCTGATAATTGTGGATGCTCACCTCAAAATAAACAAATGCCAGCATATTGTAGATAACCTCAAGCAGCACCTGGAACAAACCATGACTCCAGAACACACAAAAATGCTGACAACCACCATCAAGATTACATCCCTCAGACAAGCTGGAAAAGGGAAAACGAACTCCAAACCAAACTGCTCAAGCTAAAAGCCAGAAGCAAAGAGGCACCTGAATCTAAATGGTTTGTCAACATGCCCAGGAGCCCAATCCACCACAGAACACAATATCCCAGGGAAGGGCCTCAACTGTAGATAATGCTAATCAGTTAGAATTTTTTACGCTTTAGAAGCAGCATTTAAAACCACAGGACTTGCCACAGAGCCAAGGAAATGTAAGCCAGGCAACCACACCACAGACCAGGAGAATGTATCAGCAACTTGTTTTAAAACCAATTATTGTAACTGCTTTTTTTCTCGATTATTCCAATCGCAGCCTCGATTCTCCCTGCCTCTTTCTTTGAAGGCAGTGGCCACTGAGAGGGGGCCTCTGCTGGAAGACTCACCTGTGGGCATCAGGATGAAGCAGTCTTGACCCAGCAAAGCAGCATTAATGGCTTCAAGCTGATTGGTCCGAAAATGATGGAGACCAAACTTTTTATGAAATATCTTCAGCATCTCATTAGAATGTGGAAATGCTAAACCTCTGAATGGTTCCAGGGTGGCATTTCTGGAAGGTGTGTTCTTAATTAGTGGAAGAACTAGGAAGAAAACAAGTTTTTATTATGAGACAGAAGACAAAATATACTTGCTGTTTCCAGGATTTGCAGCCAGCCAATCAGGTGCTGAAACTTAATTTCATAAACCTGAAAATATATAAATACATTTCAGGGGTAGGAGGAGGGAGGGAGGATGTCACTAAACCACGTCAATGATTAAATCTCAGGAGATTTCACCTACTCTGTTTCCAATCATGTATGTACCGAACAATGTGAGATCTTGAAGAGGACTCAATTTATATCTTGACACGCAGACATGCCTACGGCTAGCCAATTTGTGAACTGTGGGAAGCATCGCTAGCAACTATGTGGTGAGTGTCTACATGTTTCTAAAAATCCAAATATACTCAAAAAGGTTGAGGACAGTTAATGTGTGGATAAAAGTATCTGATGCAAGATTGTTTGTCAAACGAGTTAATTACACTCTTCGCAGTAATTTCTTACTGCAGCTTATTTTCCAGAATGCATTAAAAGAAGAAATAGTGCAACTTACCAGGACAACTCTCGCCACTCACAGAACGGTCCGTGTAAGAAACATTGCTACGCAAAAGATCGGTATTTGCCTTGGAGACTACACGGTTTCCTTTCAAAAATAATTGTGCAGGGGAAGCATCTGCAGCAAGCTGGGCTGGCCCCTCATAAGCGTGTCTGGTTGTTGAAGCACTCATTGCCTCGTCCAAGTCATCAAAATCAAAATCATCATCAAGGCTAAGCGTCTGCCCTCCAGTTGCCAAAGAACTCCCCCTTTCAACACTGCTCATAAACGGAGTGCGCTTCCCTTGGCTCTCTGGTTTTGCTCCACTCAGCGTTGAAGGCCACCAGCATGTCTTTGCTTCTAAGTCTGGATTCCCCCAAATTCCACCGGCTTCCCTCTTGGGACAAGATATGCCTGAACTTTCCATGGCCGAAGAGGAAGCATCCAAGGTAGGATCTTTCACGGAAACAGAGGGATCGGCGCTGGCTGATCCTTGAGAGGGTGGCAGATGAAAGCCAGGCAGGGGGGGGACATCACCAGGCAGCTTGCCGGAAAATGGCCCAGGAGTACAAGCACCCCACTGAGGAAGAGCGGGACACGTTTTTCCCAGCTGAGAAGAGCAAGTTCCATCTCGGGACCCACCATGGTCGAAATTACATTTGCGGTTGATATCTAGAGGTGTATCAGCACCGATTCTGTTTCCATTTCTGGGGTTGCTCAACAGTTTTCTTCTGGATATAAGAAAATATAAGTTATTGTTATTTGCTGTTCCCATCTCAGAAATTCCTCTTCTTTTACCTGACTTACAACTCACAACCCAATTTAGAACCCTGCCTGTAAAACATAATTGATGTTAAAATAGCTGCTTTAGTGTATTATATAAAAGCATTTTCAGTTTTGATTTGGCCAATAAAGTGAAGCAATACTATTATCCTATATAGAATATATCTACCCTTAATAGCAATGTATTGTCCTGTGCAAATAGATACATTTTCAGTCAATACTGAAATTGAACAATTTCAACAATTCAGTCAATACTTCTGATCCTCGATGGCTATGGATAATAAATTGCTGTCCCATTTTAAAAGTTTTTTTTTAATTATTATTCACCCAAGGGTTTCCTATAGAACTATGATACTGGAGTATTATCTGGTCATTAAAAACTCTCTTGTTCTACAACATTTCTGTTTCTCTAATAGATAAGTGACCATTTTTCCCCCTTGTGGACGAGGCATATTTTCCAAAGCTGGAACTTCTGCAGAGGCTTTACAGCCTTGGACCGAGGAGGCACTGGAATCATGAGATATTAAATCCCGATGAAGAGACCAAAAGAGAATTTATTTGCACAATTCTGCTTCTGAAATAAATATGAGTAGGACTCCATTTACCTATATAACCTGTGACAAAGAACTTTCTTTCTAGAAGTTATCATGCATACCTTAAAAAAACTGACTTGCTTTATACAGCCTGCTTTAAGAACTACAAGAATCTTAGGGGACTGAACACTTTGCAGCTTGGACAAACTTAGCCCATCTTCATTTCTTAACTTAACGTAAAGAAGCAAAGGCCCTCATTGCATTCCAAACCAGCCTCAACTCCCAACAGACCTGCAATCTCTAAGCCGAAGCAGCTCTTGACCGCCTAGCAGAGACTTCAACTCTTTTTCTGGAATGGAATCCACCAGTCGACAGATATCTTCCATTACACATACGAGGGACTGGCCTGAAATGTAACAGGGTTCAGTCACGTACTTTGCAAGATACACGCAGTGCGAAGCTATCTGACTATCATCAAAAGAAAACAATTGGAACACGTCACAATGTTTTACCTTCTTTCCTTCCTTCGCTCCTTTTGCTGGTTTCTCCAAACTCTGGAAGTTGATTCATCGAGAGTTCAGGACTCAGTGTTGCCTCATCAGCTGTCCTTTGGGGAAAATGCCTAACAAGGTTAAGAATTATTAAGAAACCCAGACATATATCACAAAGTAGATACACTTTATGCATCTAATAGAATTTTAACGAGACCATGATTTTATACATACATCCACAGTATTTCTGTCAATCAAAATTGTATACTGTATATTTCTATAGTCAATAACTATTAGGAAGGTATGGAATTAGTGGAAATTAAATTTGAGTAAAACAACCGTATTGAAGTTTGAAAGTGTTAATTTTTCAGTGAGTGCTTCTTCCCATTGGCTTAAATACTACCAACCAGAGAAAGGAATTATTTGATTTTCCAGTTTTTTGCAACCGATTCCCTTTTACGCCCTTCTAACAAGTCAGTGGGAAAGCCAGATTCACTTAACAACCGGGCTACTAACTGAACTGCAGCGATTCACATTACTGTGGCAAGAAAGGTCATAAAATGGGGCAAAACTCACTTAATAGCTTAACAGCAGAAATTGTGGTTGTGAGGACTACCTGTATAGTGGGGAAAGGGAGAAGCCTTCCGGATCCATCCCCTTCTTGCCCACTTCCCCATGTGATTTTGGTGGGGGGGGGAGACACTGAGCTTGATTCTACACTGGCAGCTGCTGGTAAACACCTCCCTTTCCTCTGGGGTTGCTTAGGGTCCAAACTCATCCACTCTAATACCACCACCTGCCTTCTTAGAACAATTTGATTGTTTTACCCTCATTGTTTTATCTTTAGGGATAAGGCAGAGCATTCAGAGGTATAAATACCAACTATTTCCCACAAGAAAAATGCCGTCTGTACCCTTAAGATAAATCCTAGTGTACCTAGTGCTCTTCAGCACGAACGAAGCAGGCAGCACCTCCTCCTCTGGGGATGGAGGAACGAAGTCCACGTAGTCTTCAGACTCACTGAATACTTGAGGGTCATCCCTTCCATCCTCAGACTCTTCATTCCCACTTAAAGGGAGGCCAGAATCATTTTGCTCTTTAACCAAAAAAGAGCACATATTAAACAAAAGACCAGTGAAAAATAATGAATACGTTTAATCGTTAAAAATATAAAGTTAAATTATATCAATAAGAGTCATGGTGGTGCAGTGTTAGAATGTCGTATTGCAGGCTAATTCAACTTATTGCCAGGAATTTGATCCTGATTGGCTCAAGGATGACTCGGCCTTCCCTCCTTCCACGGTGGGCAAAACGAGGACCCAGAATGCTGGGGGCAATACGCTGACTCTGTAAATCACTTAGAGAGGGCTGTAAAGCACGGTGAAGCGGTGTATAAGTCTAAGTGCTATTGCTAATCAAGTAAGGAAAAGCATTAAGTACATCTAATGATTTTCTGTGATTAGATGTGTTGATTAGCGGGGACATGTACTCAACTCTTTTTAACCTAGTCAAGTTGTGTGATAGGGAACAAGGTCAGACTTGGACTAGGGAGAACCAGGTCAGACACCAATAGAGCCACAAGTTACTTGGTGAGACCTCAGGCTGATGGAGACTGATTGGTCTCCCTAACGCAGCTGACGTGAAGACAAATGGGAGGGCATTTGCTGTGAGCTCCCCGGGCAAGGAGCACCATGGCAGAAGACCTCCACATTCATCCTGACTAGCCCTGGAAAATAAGCAGCATTGCGGCTGCTTAGCTCTTAGATGGGGACCTAATGAGGAATTTCAAGGTTGTAAGCTAGACTGGAAAGTTGAAAAACATTGCAGAGAAACTAATGACAACCTAAATCCATAAATTAAGAGGAAGTGAGCTTTACTTGAGTCTAGCATAAGGGGTACCTGCTGTAGTAAATTCATTTTCCCAGAAGGTATCCCTGTTACACAACTGGTTAGAAAAAGAGCATTTACCAATCCAAGATTTTTCTTTTTTTCCTGTCGGGAGACTTTTCAAAGACTTCTCCTCTTCACGTTCTCCATTTGAAAAATCTCTTTGACTGGAATTTGAAGGGACAAGACAAGGAACAGGCAGGCTGCCTCCCTCTTGTTCCTTATGAAGCATTTGTGTTTTCCTATTTGTACAAATATACACATCGTTACATTCTTCATTATCTCTTTCTGTGCTAGATATCTTTGATTTTCCAGTAGAGGGATTCAGGCTTTTTGCAGTCTTTCTATTTTTTACAGACCACTTATCTTGAAACGATACAGACTGTTGTGGACATCTTTTTTGTGGTCCAGGTGTTTCAAAGTCCTCCATGTCTTCCCAACTATCAGTAAGGTCAATAAATGAGTTGTTTGAACAATTATGTTCTGGAGTAGGGATCTCGGATCCCCCTACTTTACAGCCCACATCACTTTCTTTCACAGAAGAGATAAAACAATCGAAATTTTTGACATGTTGATCATTTGAATCCTCTTTTTTTCCTTCTTCAACTTTCAGTGTTGTTTCAAACAGCTCATTAATTTTGGTTTGCTTATTTTTAATACCATTTTGTTTTTCCAAAGAAGAATTGGTATTTTTGTCCTTTAAGGCCGTAAGTTTTGTTCCACCCATATATCCTGATGCGCAGACATCAAGGCAATTCATCTTTCTGAATACAAATCCCCTGCAAAAATGGGTAAATTTAGACTTTAGCCAGTCATAATGACATAACTTTTAGAAGCAAGTGAGATCTAGTTCAAAGTACTAACTTTTGCCACTATTTTGGATCTATTGCAGATACACATTTGAATATTCTAAGAAGCTGCGCTATTATGTATTCATTCCGCACCTACTTCAGCTCTGAGAAAAATGTACAATACCAGATGAAATGCAATTGCTACTACTATAAGCAAGCATTTTATGGCAAAATTCAAAACATCATCTTTAGTGTCCAGAAATCTCTTTTCCAGATTCATTGCCAACATATTTATATTAACAGAATAATAATTAAAAATAAATACCGTGTTTCCTTGCTCCACATCTCAGAATAGGTGATACCATTAAGGAAACAGGCAGGGTGCTTGGGATCGTTAGCCCAGCTGTCTGACACTCAACATGCCTGGGATTGGGAAAGGGGATTCATCCTTGGGGGGAGGGGAGAGGGTCCTGCTGCTATTTGTTTACCTTCCTCAAAAACCATTGCTAGATCTGACCATTTTGAATAACTCTCACTGGATCTCCAACCACGCCTGGTTGTACTGGTAGAAATGGATTATCTGGATCCTTTTCTGTCAGGTTTCAGATGACTGAAACACGATCAATTGCATTTGTGGGTGACTCTAGCAAGAGTCAAGTGGAGCTAGTGTGTCCATCCCGGATCTCCTTATGTAATGATAAGAGGTAGTGACCTTGGGAGGCAGGAGGAAGAGCTGCAGACTGGATAACTGGCAAGTCAATGATTTCTCAGATCACCAAAAGAAAAGGGGTATATCCTGCATTGGATCCTTCCAGACTGGTTCCAGGGATGAGGAATGGGAGAACGGCTTTGTTCAGGATCTCCTCCTTCCTGCAGAGCTGGTTCCAGTTTGCGGGAATGGGGAGGAAGGATTCTAGACCCTGGCCTGTTTTCGGTGGGGTATCTCAGGGTTGGATGCTTTCCCTGCTCCTATTTAACAGCTGAGGCTTCCGATGATATCCAGGTCTACATCTGCGACCCGGAACAACTGGGGTGGGCTCTGGGGGTCTGGCCTCAGCGCCTGGGGACTGTGGGGATCTGGATGGGGAAGAACAGGCTTCGGCTTAACCTTCCTGAGACTGAGCGGTTGCAGGTTTTGGGCCCCCAAGGACCCGGTGCTTCTCCACCGTTGACTCTGGACGCAATCGCACTTTCCCAAAGAAAACTGGGCTGAAATCTGAGGCACCCCGGTTTGGGTGTGGCAGCCCTGGAGAGGAGCTGAACTTGCACCATTTTCTCTTGCAGTTGCGCCTTTTCCTGCACGGGGAGTCGCGGCCCACCGTCCCCTCAGCCCCCCAGATTGCCGCAAGGCGCTCTACGGGGCCGCCCCGGAGGCCGCCGCCAGACCAGCTCTCCCCGCAGCTCCCATCCCTCCCGCAAGGGAACCGGACAACCGCCGCCCCGCCACAGCCCCTCCCCGGAGCCCGGTAGCCCGCCTTTCATCGGCAGCCTTCGCAGAAGAGCGGCAGCTCCACGCGAAGCGCGGGGCCGAAGGGGAGGCTGCCCGAGGCGGCTCCCGCGTGGCTCGCCTGCCTCGAGGGCTCCATCGCAAGCGGCTCGCCGTCCGTTCGCGCCCTCCGCCCCGCGCCCCCCTACTTGGCGAGCGCCGACTCGACGCCCGTCCCCCGGCGGGCCCGACCCCGACCCCACTCACGCGGGCCTCGGCCTGGGCTCGGCGCGCGAGCCGAGGGCGCCCCTGGCCGAGTGACGCTGCAGCTGCTCGCGCAGGTTGTTGCGCGGAAGGGCCGCCATCCCGGCGGAGGCTTCGGACGACGCGCCTTCCCCGGCCCGGAGGCGCCCGATTGGACCGCGCAGACCCCGCCCCGGCGCACGGAAGTGTCGTCGCGCGCCTTCCGGCGAGCCGGGGGCGGTGCCGGGAGATCACGCCTACCGCCCCTCCCCCGACACGCCCACCACACGGGTTCTTGGTTCGAAGCTTTTATTTTGCCCGCCGAGTGGAGCCCGCGCCGCGGTCGGAGCCGTCGGGGGCGCGCGGAGCGCCGGCCTCAGAGGAGCGGGACCGGAAAGGAGGCGCAGTCGGCGAGGCCGCACATGTTCTTCCCGCGCTCGATGTTGAAGTACCTGCCAGGGAAAGAGAGGGAGCCCGTCGGAGCGGCCGCTTCTCTTCGCGGGGTTTCCGACCCCGAAGCGCCCCGCCCGCCGCAGAGGGGAGGGCGCCCGACTCCCCCAGGAAGCCGCGGGACGAGCCCAGAGGCGGGTCCCCGGGAGCCAATTCCCCTTCGGCAGGCGGGTTTCTCGTGGGGACCCGCAGCGGCTTCCCCCTTCGCCTCCCCCTCCCCGAGAATGACCCTCGCAGGCGGCCGCCGATCCGCAAAGGCCGGCGCCTTGCAAGGGCGAGGGAAGCCGCCGGGGGCAGCGCATTACCCGTCCAGGCCCCACGAGGTGCCCCACGAGTTTTTCACGATCCAGAAGGGAACGCCGCCCTCTTCCCCGTAGCCCACGGCCAGGACGGCGTGGTTCACTTTGTCCGGGGTTTTGTCGCAATCCGTGCTGTGGGAAGAGAGACGGAGCAGCGGTTGGAGACCGAGTCGGTCTGCTTTACCGGACGTTGTGCAAGTCATTGAGGGAAAGAACCACATCCCTGGCCCCTTGGAGAAAAGCGTAGGATGAAGTGTGAAGGGTGCCTAAGCGTTCTGGTGGGGATCTGAGGGCCACAGAATGGGGGCCATTCTTGCAGGGGGCTGCCAGATGCTGCTTCAGGGAGCCCTGCTGGGAAGAAGCTGATCATGGGGCCATTGAGCAACATCCTCTTGGCATGAAGCGAATGGGTGCGCCAGCAGGGACTCACCTGGTGTAAACCCCCTCCTGATAGTGTACAAAGTCCTCCCTCACTTCAAAGGCAATGCTCACTGGGTTGTAGGTGCCCACCGCTTGCACCAGGCCCTGCTCATCATACTGGAAAGAAAGGGCCGGCATTATCAGACTAGGGCCTCTGAGCATGTGCAGAAAGAGGGGACATGGCTTCCCGTCAGACCCAAGTGAGAAGCAGACCATTTTCAAGTCTATTAATCTTTTTTTAAAAGGGCAGTCAAGGCAGACTGCTGGGAGGGCCCTGGGCCTCCGCTTTGTGGGACGTGAGATGAAGGTTGACCCCCAAAGGGGCAAAGGGCTCTTGGCTGCTGCTTGGCCTCTCTAGGGAAGAGGCTGCGGGTTGCTTACCAGTGAAATGTTGACCACGTCTTTAATGAACGCCACTGCCTTCTGGGGCTGGAATTTGCAGGTGCCGTTCTGCAGGTAACCAAAGGAGCCTTTTTAGATGCAGCTTCGCAGAAAAGGCAACTTGCCTGCCTCGGATCAGAGCCCCCCCCCCAATACCTGGGCCCGATAAGGGTATGCCTCCTCCTCCATGAGCCCCTTGTTGTACAGGATATATTCAAAAGCCTGGCTGGGAAGCCCCCTGCGAAGGAATGGGAAGGTCTCACCAAGCGCCATTTCCGGGGAACCCCAGAGGTCGAGGCTAAGATGGAACTGGAGGGAGGGGAGGGGAGGGGCTTCCTGAGGGCATCTCTTACCCACTGCAGCCAAAGTTGTTGAAGTTTTGAGCACAGTCAATCAGCTGCTGCTCTGCCTGGGAGAGGAGACATGTTAAATCAAAGCTGCCACACCCTGAAGGGGCCCCTTCCAGCCTTCCTGCCCGTCTCTTGAGCAGCCGGCCTGGCCTTGCCTGGTGCCACTTTCTTTCCTGGAGACTGGGTGTCTTTGCACATGAGGGGCCGTCCCAGCGCTCTGCCACTGTGCTTGGCACCTGAGGAAGCCTGCCCTCGAGTTGCTTCTGTAGGGTCCGAGGGTGCCCAGAGGAGGCAGAGCGGGGCCCGAGCCCACCCTGATCAAACTGAAGCCCAGGATAGAAGCCCACATATACAGTTAACCTTCTGGGCCAGGCTGTTCTGCAATAGCTTGTGTCCCCCTTGCTCCTCGGCAGCCCCACTGATGGAGAGGGACTTGCAGGTTGAAGTCAAGTGGTGAAGGCACCAGGCTAGAAAGTGGGAGACAGAGTTCTAGTCCCGCTGTAGCCATGAAAGGTGGCCAGGTTACTTTGGGCAAGTCTCTCTCAGCCCATCACAGCTCACAGAATGGTTGTGGGGAAAGTAAGGGGAGGAGAGCGTGTTGCATACTTTCGCTGCCTTGAATAAATGCAGAATATAAATAAATAAGGACAGTGATCAATATATGTAAGGGTGTAGGTATATACATATGTTGTATATAGTATGTTTTTGTGTGCGTTATGTTTGTGTACACTTTTGAGAGCAGGCAAGAGAGTTTCATTTTTAATGTGTGCCAATGTGCCCACAGTAAAAAATAACAAAGATCTATCTATCCATCCATCCGCTGGGACTCAGCCAGGGCTGCTTGCTCTCCCTGCCACAAATGCATGGCATGAAAGCCCCCGCTCCGCCCCTCTGGCCTTGGCAGGAGAAGGCTGCGTTTTCCCAGCCAGGGGTTTGGCCTCCAGTTAGCTGGCCCTGTGCAAGCCGCCTACTGTCTGGAAGAAGGGGGGCGCTGATGAGCTTGGGTTGGGAGCAGCATCCCTAAGAGGGCAGCACCAGGTGGGTCCTGCTGAGCTGCCCTTTGAGACTGGAAGGTTCCCCAGGAAGACTTGCAAGGGAGGCTGTGGATTTCAGCCGTTGAAGAAGTCACCTGTACTTAGGCTGATTTGTGTGGTTCTGACTTTATCCAACATAGTAGGCCCTGTACCAAACGGCCCTCATTTCTACTTTGCCAAAATCTTTTAAAAAGAGTGGAGTGCAAATGAACAGCCTCACCAAATTCAGTAGCTTCCCCGTTTTTATGGCAATGGCAGACTCCAAGCAGCCGGTGGTGGAAAAGGTCCAGCAGCTGCCACAGGAGCCCTAGTGGGGAGGGGGAAGTGGAAGTAGAGGAGAGGTATGAGAAGATCCCATCAGCTGGAAGGGAGACCAGCTTCTTAGCAAGGCTCCTGGAAGGCCAGAGGGAAGTTCACACCCCCCCCCATTTAACTCCTGCTGGCTGCCCAGAGTGCCTTGTTGGGATGAATGGATTGAATGAGCGAATTACCTGGTTTTTCACGGGGCTCACAAACTTTCCTTTCTTCCTCCAGTCGATGGCCTTCGGACAGGGCCCAGCGCTCCTGGGGAAGTTGCCCATAGTAGCAGAACAGTTCTGGAGGCAAGCGGGAAGCGGTCACTGGCCAGCAGATGAGCCCCATCAGGCCAGCCCATCCCGCTCTCCTGTGCCAGAACAGACCATGGGAAGGGGGCACAGCCTGAGCATACTCTGGATGGGCCCCTGGCCACCACTGCTAGCCTGCTTCTCACGGATGGGGCCAAATAAAGGATTGAATGAATAAAGTTTCCAAGGTCAAGAAACGTCCCTCTAGCAGTCCAGCTGATTGGGGTCTGGGTTACAGTCAGACTACGGCTGCCTCTGCCGACTGCCTCATCCGGCCCAGGTGGCCTTACCTGGGGTTCTTGCCAGAGATACTTCTTCCTGAATTCAGTGAAGGTCATATCCGAGAACTGGTTCAGGCCCACTGGAGGGGGAGAGAGAGAGAGAGGAGGGGGGGCGTCAGGAGGGGCTACAACCGGGGGAGGGGGGCGTTTTTCTTAGCAGCCAATGGAAACCGGTGGAGGGGGGTGAGCAGCGCCCCTACTTCGGAAACTGGAGTTGCCCGCGTTGTGCTTGTCGATCTTCTGCTTGTTGTCCAGGAAGATCTGCAGCCGGTGCCGGAACTCCTCCTCGGAGCGGTACGCCCGCCGGTGCTGCAGCGCCGAAGAGAAAGCGAAAGCGAGGCGAGGGTTCGCGGGGAGGGGGCCGCTCCAGGGAAGCGCCTCCAGCCTGGGATTCCCCCGCTGGGCAGGCCCTCGCCAGGCGCCCCCTCCCTAATCCGCCCCGCTGCCCGCGCGCGAGGGGGGGCGAAGGGCGCCTCTTCGGGGCTGCTGCTGGCAACGGAGCGGTCGCTGCGCTCGGAGGCGGCCGGTCCCGCCGTCGCCCCTGCCCAGCGGCGCGGGCGGCTGCTTACCTGCGAGGCCCACGCCTTGAAGAGCTGCTCTCCTGCGGGAGGAAAAGTGCCGGTCGGGAGTGGGCCTAGCGCGCGCCGCCACCGCCGCCCCTTCTGGGACGGGCGGCGGCGGCCCAGCCCAGCACCGCCCTGCCCTGCGCCCGCCGCCCGTACCGGTGGCGGATCCGCGCGGGCCGCCGCGGCTGCTGCTGGCGGCGGCGGCGCAGAGGCAGAGTCCCAGCGCGAAGCAGAGCAGCGGCGCCGGCATCGAGAGCGGCAGCGCCCGCGGGGCCATCCTGTGCGCGGGGCGAGCGGGACACGTCTGGCTGTGCGTTCGAGCGGCGCTCCTCTGAAGTGGCGGCGCGGCTGGGCGGCTACTTGGGCAGCCGGAGGCTCGGGGTGGCCCGGGCGCTGCCTCCGCCCCTTCCTGTGGCTCCAAGGCAGCGCTCCCACCGGCCGCGGGCGGTTACCTGGGCGGCGCCGGCGGGCCAAGGGAGCCGCGCTGGGCCGCCTTCGCCGGGGCCCCTGGCCGGAGAGCGAACCCTCCACGGGGCTAGCTGGTGAACTTGTCCCGAGGGAAGGAGGGTTCAAAGCCCCGACACTCGGCTGGCAGAGCCGCAGGGAGGCCGGAGTGGGAGAGCCCGGCCGAGGTAATCCCGCGGCTCCTTTCGGCAAGGGGGGAAGCGCCAGCTGGATAGGAAACGCCGAGGCTCCGGGTCTCCTCGCAGGAGGACGAACTTGAACTAAGGAATAACGACGGAGACTCCCAGTTACGGTTGTCCCAAAGGGGCTTTTCCAAAAGGCAGCCAGACGTTCTGGAGCTGAAGCAGCTTCTGGGGTGAGAAGCAAAACGTTCCTAAAGAAAAAACCAGGAATCCGGTTGCCGCTTGGAAAGCACCTTTGAGCTAAGGCAGGGGTCTTCAAACCTGGCCCTTGGTGACTTGTGGACTTCAGCTCCCAGAATTCCCCAGCCAGCGTGGGCCAGGTTTGAAGACCCCTGAGCTAAGGTAACAGGCCCTCAGAGCCAGGCTTCCCCTGTGAAAGCCGCACTGTCAGAAAGGGTGAATGGAAAAAAATGACTTCTGAATTACGTTGCTGGAGAAAATGGTTGGGAATGGCTTAAAAAATTACTCCCAGGAATTAAATAAAGTAATCCACTAAGCGTGTGTGCACCTTTGTGTGTGTGCTTGAGAGAGATGGGTGAGGAAGGCCAGGGTGTATGCCAGGAGTGTGTCTCCCAGCAGAGTCACCCAAGATGGCATGAAGGTCCTCCCAGCTGCTCAGTTAAAGCCAGCAGACCCCACTATGGGGCAACCGCAATAGAAGCAGCTGCTGGGAGCGGAAGATCGCTTTTGTGGCAAAAGTGTCCATGTTGCATGGGAGAAGGCCATGGCAAGCCACTCCTGGATCTTTATCAAGGAAAACAGATGGAAGATATAAAACGATTGAGGGTGCAGTGCGGGTGATGGCTTCTCCGGTCATATGGCCCATCAGATGCCAAGGAAGACCTGAGGATTTTTCAGGGTGCTAATGGTGTGTGCAACATGGCTCAATTAAAGTGTTCGGGGGGACTAGTTGCTGATGATGCCACACAAAAAAAGATCTGAAACTGCAAAGACAGAATTACAAGGGAACAAGAAACAGGAACACGGGGAAACTCAACCCTCAGAAAGATGAAATGAAACTACTGTAAATTGCCATATTAAGCACCAGGGAAGTGAGATGGGTGGTTGCTTTCTGTCACACTACTCAGAGTGGGGGGAAAACAAAGTGCTTGATTATTTGACAAATGTTTATTAAAAGGCTCTTGTGACTATAGAGCAGTAGTTCTCAACCTTTTTAATGCTGCGACCCCCAACTGGTCGTAAGTCGAGGACTACTCAACCGGTCGTAAGTCGAGGACTACTTAACTGGTGCAGCACCGTTTGCAGAATGGGACTTTTGGCGGGCTCAGCAGGGCAGAGACAGCCTGGACAATTCCTATTGGCTTTTGAAAGCCAATAATTAGACCAGCGGTTCTCAACCTATGGGTCGTGACCCCATTCGGGGTCGATCGACCATTTTTCAGGGGTCGCCAAAGGTGGCGATCCGCCATTTTTCGTGGCGCTGTGCACGCGCGCCGCACACGGGGGCGCCACCGCGCATGTGCGCCGTGCACGGGGCGCCACCGCGCATGCGTGTCGCGCATGGCGGCGCTGTGCACACACGTCGCGCATGGGGACCGTCGTGCATGCGCATTGTGCATGGGGGCCGTCGTGCATGCGCATTGCGCATGGGGGCCGTCGTGCATGCGCATTGCGCATGGGGGCCCCGCCCCCATGCGCGCGGCGGCGCGCATGCGCAGAACATTTGTGTGACGGTGGTCGCCGTCACACAAACGTTGAGAAGCACTGAATTAGACTCTATTCAAGAGAGTCTATTCTATTGGCTTTCAAAAGCCAATAGAATAAAAGGGAGTAGCACAGCTAAGGAAAAGGGGGAAAAAATAGCGGACTGCGTTGTTTGGCGATCCCCATGAAATGGTCGTTCGACCCCAAATGGGGTCCCGACCCACAGGTTGAGAACCACTGCTATAGAGGGAAGGGATCTTGGAGATCTAGTCCAACCCCCTGCTCACTCCAAATGGGGCTTCCACAAAGACGAGGTGGTCAATTTATTTTCCAAAGCACCAGAAGGCAAGACAAGAAACAGTGAATGGAAACTAATCAAGGAGAGAAGCAACCTGGAATTAAGGGCAACTTAATTCCAGCCACGCCTTTCTAGCCATTTCCACGCCACTGCCAAAGCCCTCGTTTTGTTCCCTCCGCTGGAAAGGTTTGTCCCCAGCCATGCCACACACCTCTCCCACCCTCTTTCCATTTCTCCTTTTCAAACTTGCCTTTCCAGCCCACTGGCTGGTCTGTAGACATGCTCAAAGCCATGGTTCACCCTGAGATAGAATAGATTTATTAGCAAGAGGTAATCAGGAAACATATATTTTTACAAAAAAATGGAAATTTTCTTTTCCAAATAAGCTGCAGGTTGAAATATTTCAGGTCTTGAAAGACAATTCTCATACCAGAGGGTATTGCTTACAGCAAATGGTTTCTGAATTTAGTTCCCATAGAGCATGCCTGCTACTCAAAAATTCACTTGGGTTTATACACTGTACACTGTAAAAAATACATGATAATATTCACAGAATAAGCACTACATTACTATATTCCTGCTAGCAAGTGGTTAGACAGGATTACAGTATATGTAATAAAAACACCTGGCCATTTCCCCCTCTAATTGTACACCATGTTACTAAGACATGTCACTATGTCTACAACGAAGCATACAGACAGAAGCGCCAAAGTGGGGGATGCAGCAGAAATGCTCAAAGGGACAGAGGGCCTTTCCCTCTCAGGGCCTAAGGCAGGAAATCCAAATGGCCTTCACGCCCCCCCTCCACCCCAGGGCTGCCATATGAGGCCCAGAACCCGAGCTTTTTTGCACAAGCCAACCGGCCCCAGGAACTTCGGAGAGGGCCCCCAAAGAGATGTATCCCCAATACGGACGGGAGGTGTGGACCAGCTTCAGGCTCCTTCCAAGCCAACCACGGGTGCCTCCTGCCTGTGTCTCCTGCCACCCTGCCTGCCTTGGGCAGTGAAGAGAACACAACGATCCTGGGAAAATGGATCCCATCAAAGCTGCTCTGGAAAAGCTGAAGAATGTCCAGAGTAGCTCAGGTGGCGGCTGAGTTTTCCACACTACAGGGGCATCAGGGCCAAAGTAAGTTGGGGCTCCAGGGCAAGTGAGGTGCCTGGCCCCCAGCACCCCGTCTTGAATCCCTCCAGTCCGGTTGCCCCCAAAGAGTCAACAGAGAAGAAAATTGGTTTGATCAAAATCAAGCCTGCTCGTTGACAGTGCAAAGAATGAGTAGTGGGGGGGAGAGAGGGGGGAGGAAAGGCGGTGGGAGGAAGTCAAGAAACAGAGAGGAGAGGCAAGACACATCTCTGGGTGCCGGGCTGGTGGCTGCAGCTGCTGTGTTCTTAGGTGGGGAGCTTTGGCTCTATCTTTAGAGACGCATCATAGAGACTCTCTTCATCCATCACAAACGACTGATCTAGGAGGTACTCAGTGACCTGGAAGAGAGAGAAGAGCAGGGGCAGAAGAGGCCAGGGAGCCCAGGGGGGCATCTGCCCCAGGGCCAGTCAGTGGGGAGAGGGAAGACTGGGCCAAGAGGGTTTCCCCCAGAGCATCCTCCCTGGGCGCCAGTTGCTGAGCAGCAGGAAATGGGGGCCTGAGACAGGGGTCTCTCGGGCATGTTGGGAGAGGAGAGGAGAGGAGCCACACTGGAGAGGCAACGTCCTTCACCCCACCCTTTTCAGGAAAGAAGCTGCAGGAGGAAAGCTGAGACTTTGCTGGCAGCCAGCTGGGCTGGAGGCTTGCCTGCTTGTGTGTCACTGAAGGACCCCCGTGTCTAAAGCAGGACTCTGCACCCCCCAGACAGCTTCTCTTCCAGGACAGGCCATCCCGAGAGTTCAGGGTCAGCCTGTGCCCCAGTAGCACAAAGCCCTGCCTCTTCCCTGGGGCCAAGAGGCTCCCCCCAGATGACGGTCTTGTCCCCCCACCCCACCCCGGCCCCCTCCTTGCGCAGGGAGCTGAGCAGCCGCAGGATCCTACCTTGGCCTGATGCTCGATCTTGTAAGCCGTCTGCTGAAACTGCCGGATCTCTCGGATGATGTGGGAGATCTGCAGGGAGAGAGGAAAGAGGCCCCTGTGCCCAACGGTTGCCAAACAGCAGGCGATGCTCCCAGGGAGAAGGGCTGGGCTGGGAAAGCATCGGCCCCGTGCTGGGGGTGTTCTGGCCGAGTCAGGCAGGCCCCTGCCAGGGAGCTCACCATCCTCATTTTGGAGAAGTTCACCAGGCCGTCCTCGGTGTAATTGGGAGTGCCCTCTTCAATGAACGCCAGGTCCGTGAGGTACATGCCCAGGTAAGGGACGCAAGGAGGGTCACAACTGAGAGGCAGAAAAGAGAAATTCAGCTGGCAGGATAAATGCAACAGGGCTGCCTGGTGGTTCTGCCAGGCACCGGCTGCCCGGGCTGGGCAAGGGCCTCCTGGCCTCCAACCCGCAGGCGGGAGCAGCAGAGGCAACTTACTTTTTCAGAGCTTCCCTCAAGTTTTTAAACCGTCCTTCTGAAGATACCAGCCGCTGCAGCTTGTCGATCACAGCTTTGGTCTGGGAAGAAGGGAAAGAATTAGAGGAGCCCAAGGGGGAAGGTAGCCTGGGCCGAAGCGGCCATTGGGCCCCCCGCCTGGCTCCCAGGTGGGCAGAGAAGCCCCGGGGGCCTCAGAGCCGGAACTGCCAGATGGAAATGGAGATGGGGGGCTAAGCCTTAGAGCCCCTGGTGGCCCTGCAGAGCCTGATGATCAAACATCATCCAATGCTACCTAGCATTGAAGTGCACTGATGAGGTTACCTATTCAGGTAATGAAACATCTGCAAGCAAGCAACCCAGCTTGGAGAGCGCCAAGGACCCACAATCAAAGAATCAGTCCAGGAAGCGGAAGAATTAAGGGAGAAAGTGCAATGGCTAACAGATTCATTCATTAGAGGTCAAAGAAACAGTCCCCTCCTTCTGGGTCTGAGTCCCGAGTGCGCAGCTTTGGCAGTGGGCTCCTTAAGCACTCACCGGCTTTGACACCTTCATCCATGTCTTCTTCAGGCGGAAGATGGCACTGCGGTTGAAGGCCGAGGTGATCTCCAGAACGGCATTGTAGTTGTGCAGACACCGGCAAATGTCAGCCACGGCCACCCACTTCTCGATTGTGCTCACCCGGGCAGCCATGTCCTCACTGCAGAGGATCTCAGAGGCGATCAGGTTGCTGATCTGCAGGGGTCATCAGGGAGGGGGGGTGGACATTACAGCCCCTGAAGTGTTTGTGTGCACCCCCAAATGATGAGAAAAGCCTCTTGCCTCCACGGAGAAGGGGGGGGAACCGAGGGAAGCTCAACCAGGTGCTGGTGGGCAAGGCTGCCCCACATCATCCTGCTCAGAGCAGAAGGGAGACCCCCAGTTCCAGGCAGTGTTCCAGCATCCATTAGGGCTCAATTACTCTCAGCAACTTTATCCTTCCAAAACTGAGTTTAACATCACCTTCCTGGCTTGGTTATGAAGTGCCCAAATACGTGCAATAAAATGACACTTGAAAATGATCTGTGAAAATCTGGGCACAACCATGCAACTGTCTGCCACCTGGCCGAGAACAACCTTGACTGTTATGCAAATTGCTGAATGGAGTGTGCAGGAAGTTCAAAGGTCAATCTAAGAAAATGGGGCTTCCCAATAGAAGACCCCGTGATTGAAGGCAGAGAAAGCGATTCCCCTCAGACGGGCTGCTGTGCCTGGGAGATCCTTCAGCGCAGGTGGAGGGAGACGTCATGCTGACGAGAGAAAATGCTGGGCCTGGTAGTAGGCGAAGGGCATTTAGATTTAATCTGATTTATTTATATACTAAACAGCAGTCTAAACTGTCACCCAGCATATTCACAGCCAGTTATTCAAAAGAGCTCCTGGACTGCAATGCTCTTAAATTTATCTGGGCCCTTTGGGGGATCATCCCGAAAGGAAAGATTGCTTTTTGTAGCACTGTCCTCTCCAAAGGAAGAAAGAATTCTCTGGCCAGGAAAGGACCAGCCTTTCCACGCATCTTTCACACCCTCAGAATAGAACATTGATAGTTGTCCAGAGGAGCTGCCCTCTAAGGAGTCCCCCCAACGCAGTGGTGGTGGTGGTGGAGGAGGAGGACTTTTGTAAACAATGCTGAACAAGAGGGACTTTTAAAAAACCTGGGCAGACAGGCAGTTGAACATGGGAAGCCCAGTGCCTTTCAACTCTCATTCCAGCAGGCTGGAATATTTTCCCCTGGAAAAGGAGCCCAGTTCTACCCATTAGGATGAGGTCAGTCTGGACAAGCAAGAGGAACAAGAGTCCCTGTTACTGCATGTTCTGCACAAGGGCAAAGTCTGTGTCCTGAATTCTGAGCTGCCCTTGCAGGGACCCACAGCCGTGGCACTCACATCATTGAAGTGCTTTGTGTTCATCAGGATATAGGGCGTTCGCTCGTTCTTTTCCACCTTCATCCATCCTTGTCCAAAGAATTCTCTGAAAACAAGAGGTCTCAGGGTGAGCTGGGCCCTCCAGAATTTCTCCCTGCCTAGCCCACCCTGTCCTGCACAGGAAGTACTTGAGGAAAGGCCCTCCTCTTAAGGTCTTTGCAAGTGGAGGGGGGGGAAGCAGACTTACTCCCACAAGCCCCGTGGATGTGATGGGGGTAACGGTTGTCTAGGAAAGGGTGTGTCTACGACACATTCATCTTCATCTTTGTTTAGACCTGTATTTGCAACATCAGCCACAGGAGCCCCCTGGCTGAATGCAATTCCACATTCTTCAGCTTGGCTGCACTTCCACATACTCACTCATAGGGTATTGTTTTGAAGACCAGGTGATCCAATAAGGTGAGCTGCTCAGCTATTTCTAAAGCCGAGTGATTTTCAAAGGGTTCAGCCTTGACCCCCATAGCCTGCAATGGGAAAAGAAGGGCTGCTTGGACAGGGGTCCCCAAATGAAGGCGAAGCAAAAGAATACGCTGGGCCAGAGGGAGGCGGATCCTGTCGGACGCAGCCTCTTCCTGTTCTTGGGGAGGGAAGGGGTTATGCCAGGCCAGGACTTCCTGGCAGGACACCCCAGTGCACAGGCAGCAGCTGCAACCACACGTCTTCACCTCCCAGAACACCCCAGACCATACATGAAGGAAGCAGCACCAGGTATTCACTGAGGGGTGTGGGGGGGGGGAGTGGATTAAGAGGTGAAATGCACGCTGTGTCCAGGAGAACTCTCCACCCCAAAAGCCCTTCCCCCCCAGCTGCCTTTATCCTGGCAGGCTAGCAGGGGCATATTGGGGCAGGAAGGAGGAGGAAGGGAGTGCCCATCTGACCTGCCCCCTTAACCACTCCCTGACGGCTGAGACCCCTGCCCAGTTAGCCTTGAGTAATTTGCAAAAATAATAAAGACAGGACATAACTAACTAACTAACTAACCAACCAACCAACCAACCAGCCCAGGCTTCTTTGTGACCCACTTGGGGACCCAGAAAACATTACCATTTGCAGGATCTCTTCCAGGGTGATCTGGTTGTCTCCGGGGTCATCCTGGGTCAGGGTCCTGGCAGACAAGTAGAAATGGAGAATTGCAGCAGTGAGTTTCCAGTGGCAACGGCTGGGAGTTAATGGCTTCAGCGTATTCTGGGGAGGGCCTGTGTGGAAGCCGAGGGTTTCTCTGGCTCTCAGCTTCTCCTTCCAGTGCCTCAGGGGACAGAGATCACGGGAGTCTGTTCCCTCAAAGCAAAGGAAGATGAAGCCGCCTCAAAAAACTTCTCCTTTGCATCAGAAAGTCAGGCCACGGGAGCAGCCGCTTGTCCTGAGCTAACGGCCCAAAGCACTCGCAGCCATCCGGGTCCCACCCAGTCCCGTCCCCGGCTTGGATTAGGACCCCCATCTCTGGCAAGAGTGAGATGACAACTCTGCGTTTTGTGACCCGCGTGACTTGCCTTATGATGTTGCCGGCGGCTTTTCTCTCTTGAGTCAGGAGTTCTGGGTCGTGTATCACTTCCTCCAGAAAGCTGATCACTTTATACTTGAGTTCCTCGTTGGTTTCAAAGTCCTATCAAAGAGATATTTTCCACAAGCCACAATGAGGCCAGCTGGCCAGGCAAGCACAGCCCCCTTCAGCCCAGGGCTCCGGAGCTTTCTTTGCCGGCCGGGCCGTACCTGGGCATGTTTGGAGACCCAGTGCCTCAGGACGTTCAACACCCGGTTGGTTGCCGCCCTCCTGATCACGAACTCTTTGTCACTGTTCCTTTGGTCAGAAGGGAAGCCTGCAGGGCGAGAGAGAGTCAGCCTGGAAACCCACCCAAGAGCCAGGCTCTATGGGACCCAGGCAGGATGAGCAAGGGGCCTGTAGTGGCCTGCCTGACCCTGCCCTGGAAGATGGCCCCAGCCGTTGCCTTGCCTCCTCCTGCAGGCAGCAGCTCTTCCAAGGCTCCCTGGAAGGTCTGCGGGGCCCGGGAAAGGGAGGAACCGCCCGGCCCAGAGGACCCTTCCTCTTCTCCCACCTGGGCTGGCCAACGACATTCTGCGGTACTTCTCCTTGGTCGGGGTACCCTCGTTGGCTCCGGCAGTGGCAATGGCGAACGCAGAAGCGGCCGAGAGAGCGCTGCTGCGGCTGTTCTCCAACTCTCGGCAAGAACTCATCACCATTCCATTGTTGTAGGAGAACAAAGGGAACTCTGCAAGGGGTGGGGTTGGGGGCAGGCAGTTCAGGAGGACTGATCCCGTCCAGCAAGTCCCTCCCCTGGGCTTCCCCCGAGAGGACCAGAAGGCCTGTCCGCTTGGGAAAACAGCAGCGCACAAGGGCTAATGCTGACCCTTTGCACCCCCACAGAGGCCAGGACCAGCATCACCCACAGATGCTCCCTGCTGTGGTGCACTAGAACACCCCAGAGTGGTCTCCTGCCAAGAGTGCAGATGGCTTCTCTTGGCCATCTCCCCCTTCCCCAGAGTGAGTTTACCTGAAGAGTTCTTGCCTCTGACCAGTTTTGGTGTGGTTGGAGACTTGGTGGGTGATGCCTCTGGGTCTGCCTCCTCACTCTGGGCTGCCTCAAAGGCAGAATCTTCTCGGGGAGACTCTTCGGAGCCTGGCAAAAGAAGCAGCTTTATGACCTTTCTCCGAAATGTTGTGGGAGAAGGGGAGGAGGAGGAGGAGGAGGCGGCGGCTTTGAAGGTGGCTGAAGGTTCCATACCTGTCAGCCCCTCTCTGCTTTTAACAGATTCACCCAAGTGTGGGGGATAGAAGCCACTCGCTTGGGTCTGTCAGATTTCTTCATCCAAAATTAATCCAATGCAGAAAACAGCGCCAAGAATCCAAAGCTGTGCGATGCCCAGGCCTGCACTGGAGAAGGTGGCCCCAAACCTCTTCCCAGGCTGGCCCGTCTCCTGAGATTTTGCGGGGGGGGGGGGCGTGAAGTCTCACTGCCACGTCTACCCGCCCACCTGGCACCTTTCCACTAACTCTGATGTGTGAGATAACTCCTCCCCCTGAGCTGCTCTGGAGCTCCCGGACGGTCAGAGCGCAGAAGCAGAAACCGTCCCTTGGGGCTTCCTCCACGTGGCTCCTGACCACCTTTTGCTCCTCCCTGCCAGAAGACACTCACCTGTCTTGCTCAGAAGTGCTTCCTCTGCCTTTTCTGTGCTCCCTTCTCCCTCATCGGATATTTTATTGGAGTAGCTGCTGGACACGTAAAGCTTGTTGATGTCCAGGGTGGTTTTGCTGAACGGCGACATGGTGGAGGAATACATGCTTGCATAACCGTTGGAAGAGCAGCTCAGGGCGGCCAGCTCCAGGGCCTTCCCTCCTGTGATAATGGGAATGTTCAAGGACAACTTTCTTCTCCGGCTTGGTGAGGATGACTTGGTGATGGACAGGGGGGGAGGGGAGGAAAACTTCCGGTTGGCACGTGGAGACTTGGGTGGTTCTCCGTAGAGGAGTTTCGTGTTCTGGCTGCTGGCAAACAAAAGTTCCAGGGACCTGGCAGAAGATATCCAGGGACAAAGCTATCACGGGAGCGTCTCCTTCCTCCTCTACATTGCAAAGCCTATAAAATGTCCCTTAGACCAGAATAAAGCTCATCTCTCCCTCCCTCTCCCCTCCATTTCTTTCTCTCTCATTGCTTTAGGATTTCTAGGCAAAGAGGCATTTCAGGTGCCCCCACCTGGGTTCTGCAGCCCACCTCATTTCCCTATTTTGAGCTTCACCTACGTGGCTGACAAAGGCTCACCTAGCAGGAATTGCACTGATTGGTTTCTTGTAGATGGTGATCAGCTTGTCCAACACAGTCATAGCTGTGGTGAAGACCCGGTAAGAGTGCAGGAAGGTGTTGAGAAAGTCAATGCTGAGGAATCTCAGGTCTGTCAGTCTTTCCAGGAGACGCCCCACGCTGGCATAGCGGATCTGGAGGACCTTGCAGGAGTTCATGGTCTTGCTGAACCGAATGTCAACGTCGTCACAGTACAGGCTGGTATCCGACCTGGAGAATTGAGAGGGACGGAGGGATGAAGCACAGAAAGTCAGGCTCATCTGTGGTAATTGTATCTTTTCAGGCAGCCAGGAGCTCGTCAGTATCTCTCTGGCCTGAACCTCCGAGGGCTGGAGAGGAAGCTGGCTGGGATGCTGTGGCTCAGCAACCTCAGCATTCAGAAGAGGTTGCCGCCATTTTGAAATGAGTCCATGCTATTTTCTATTACAGAAAATCCCAAAGTGATTTACAATATTATTAAATAATAGATAACAATCCAGATATAGTTAATTCATTTATTTCTTTTAAATTGCATTTACTTGCTAGTGGAATTGATATAATTTCAAGTGACCTCCAGCTCTGTTATTCTAAAAGACTTTTGGCTCCAGCCAAAACATCCCGTCTAGTTTTCAATTCTCAGAAGTTCAGGGCAGTGAGACACCAGCGACCATCTCCATTGCCTGAAAAGATATATGCACCACAGGTGAGCCCAATTGTGCAGTTTTTGCCCTGTCCTCGCACAGCTCTGGAGCACTGTCCACGCTGTGCTATTCAATACACAGCACTTGACCCAGAATAAATTGTGATACCAACTCCCCGTGTTATCGATGGCTTTGCTGGTAGGAAGCCTTTCTAAATTAGGGGTAGCACTAAAAATGCCCCCAGCAATTCTGGACAAACACAACTGCATTCCTTACTTGATCATCTGCGGAACAGAAACTTTTGAATTTTCCTCAAAGGCGTTCATCATGAGGCCGTTGCATCGGATGTTGTCTACACACTGAAACAGGGAAAAGAGGTTTCAGGAAGCAGGACTGATGGGAAAGGAAGCAGTTGTGCTCTGCTAGTTTTTCCAATGGATCTTTGGGAGACGTGTGTGTCTCTTGTAGATATTGGCTCGTTTGGCAACTCTTTCCTCTTCCAAATGTGATTATTCATCTTTGATTTAGTCCAGGGATGCCTTGCATGTTGAAAAACAGTGAAGGATTCTTCTACAGCCCCAGGTCCTAATATCCCCAATGCTGCCTGGCCAGAAAGTGTTGGTTCTTCATGGTGAAACTGTTCTTACCTGGCTGATATCGCTGGTCCATGCAGCCTTTTCTTGCCTGGATGATGCCACCAGGATAATGGTGTAGGGGGCACTGTCTTTAGGTTCCACCACGATCTTGAAGTCAAGGTGCTCCGTATCTTGCCCAGATCCTTTTTCTTTTATTTGAGGAAGGAGAGAAACAATTTAAGAAGATGACCATGGGAAGAGAGAGAATGGGGGTAAGTGAAAGGAAGGGAACAAGCTGGGCTGGGCCTTTAGCCTCCAGCTTGCGCAGCAGGATGTTCATTTTGGTGCAAAATCCTTTTCACCTGCTTAGGGGCTGGGAGGGCAGCTCTTTCAATGCGCAGCAGCCACCCTTTTACGGCTTCTGGTGCAAGAATGAAAGAGTGTGATAGCAGAAACTGCAGGAGTATCTTGGAGTCCTAGTGGACAATCACTTAAAATATGAGCCAACAGGGGGCAGCAGCCGCCCAAAAAAAACTATGCAATCTTTGGCTGCATTAACAGAGGGATCTAATTAAGATCATATGAAGTGTTAATACCACTTTATAAAACCTTGGCAAGACCACACTTGGAATATTGCATCCAGTTTTGATCACCGTGATTTAAAAAATTTTGAGACTCTGGAAAGAGGGCAGAGAAGAGCAACAAAGATAATCGGGACTGGAGGCTAAAACAGTTACAGGAATTGGGTATGGCTAGGTTTGTGAAAAGAAGGCGTGGGAATGACATGATAGCACTGTTTCAATATTTGGGGGGCTGCCACAAAGAAGAGGGGGTTGACCTATTTTCCAAAGCACCAGAAGGCAAGACAAGAAACAATGGATGGAAAATAATCAAGGAGCAAAGCAACCTGGAATTAAGGAGAAATTTCCTGACAGTGAGAACAATTAACTAGTGGAACAGCTTCGCTCCAGAAGTTGTTGGTGCTCCATCACTGGAGGCTTTTAAGACGAGATTGGACAGCCACTTGTCTGAAATGGTACAGTGTCTCCTGCTTGAGCAGGGGGTTGGACTAGAAGACTTCCAGGTCCCTTCCAACTCTGCTATTCTGAGAGGGATGGATGAGGCAGCTGGTGCTCGGCGGAAGGGAGCAGGGGAGAAATATTCCCCTCCTCTCCGCAGCAGCCCCAGGCTTGTGTTTTGCTTCTGAGATCAGCTCCCTGTGTCATGAACTGAGGCATTCTTTGAAGTGAGAAACCCCATTAAAAGCCTTCATTTAGCAATGGGAAACGCCAGTGAAGGCTGTCGATCTTCTCTTAGAGCTGCCTGCTGCGCTTTCCCTGGCTGCCTGCTCTATAGGTTTGGGGGCCTCTCGTGGCCTGGATCACACCTCTTCTGCTTGGACAGGGGAGTCTCTGAAGTCCCTACTCCCAGGTATGCTCATCCCAAGCGTCCATGGAGGAGAGAGTGTATAAGTGCCCTAAACAGACCTGGCTTATGGGGGGGACAGGGAATCCCAGGGCTACGAAGGACAGCAGGGAGCCAGGAAAGAGCAGCGGGGGGGGGGTGTGCTGCTTAAGGGTCAAATGCCAGCTGGGCTGGGTGGACAAGCTGTGCGCCAGGTGGGGCAGGTGGGAGAGTGGGGCTGCTCCAGGGATACATACGGTCCTCATCCGTGCTTTCCGTATCTTCCACCAGCGTGCAGTCAATAAGTGAAATCACCCCGCCATTCTGGAGAAAGCACAGGGGAGGCCTTTCGTGAGACCTCTCGTATCACCACTGTTCCCTGATCCTCCTGCGACTGTCTCCTCCACCCAACAGGAGAGAAGTGCTCATTCCCCCTCCACCAGGCGCACTCGGCATCCTGTTGCCATACATGTACCCTACAGTCAAGTCAGTGTGGGGGGGGTCCCCCTCACTGTGCAGTAGCTGCTGTAGAAATTGTGTGGCCTTCAGTATGTGAGGTTGCAGATCAATGCCCCCCCCCAGATACACTGCTTGATGCTCTGCCCCTCTCACCTTCGTCAAGTGCAGCTTCCCTCCGGAGCCGCGGGTGCAAATGATGAGGTGCTTGGAGAAGAGGAAGCACTGCCTCTCCCCCTCCTTCCTCAGGGACAGGGAGCCCAGCCGTCCACGCGTCACCTTCCCCTTCTCAGACATCGGCACTTGGATGAGGGACCCTGTGGGAGAAGAGGCACTGCCATCACAGCCCTTGGCCCCGGGGACACCGGCTCTTCTCCAGCAGCGCATAAAGACAGCAGACCAGGGTGGCAGCCTGGGGTGGGGACCCTCTGCAGCCCAAACCCCTGCTCAGGGGTTTCCAGAGGGGGTCTGCAGGGATGGAGCTGAGAAGAACGGGACTGAAAACCTCCCAGGTCTGCAGCAGCAGCAGCAGCAGCTTCCTATCAGAGGAAAGCTATAGTATCCCTAACATAGCCTTGGGGAGCCTATTCCCAGTGATTCATCCTTTCAGGGTCATCCATGGGCATGGTTACAGGCAGCCCATGAAAGGAACTGGGCCATTCCTCGATGGCCGAGGCAGCTTTTTCACTTTAATAACTCTTGTCCTGAATCTCCCAGCCTTGAACTTCTCTGGACAAGCCCCGGAGCTATCTGAGAAAGAGGAGCTGCTGAGCCCACTCAGGGCTCCCTCCGGGGCTGCCCTTTCCTGGAGGATCTCCAGCTCTTAGGTCTGGAGGCCAGAAGGCTCGTGGGCTACCTTGTCTCACGAAGGTCTGGCTGGTGTCCAGGAGGATTTCACAGCCTTCAGTGATCATCCGTTCGATTGCCAAGTTCTTCCGAATGTTCTCTGTTTCACTCACTTCATCGTGCATTATCCTACGCAGGAAGAGACCAGTCAGCCTGAAACCAGGACTTTTCTTGCTGGACGGTCAACTCGAAAAGGCCTCTGAAGGTGGTTTTTATACATGGCAGCTGCAGCGAGATTACTTTGTGCCAAAAACGGAAAGACTAAAATGCTCCCAAGGGAGGAAGGCTGGTGAAGTTGGCAGAATGGCAGAGATGGCAAAACTGACTTGTTTGATCAGGGAAAAGACAACAGTGACATTTGTCAAAGATTGGAAATATTTTATGGAATGCTTTTTGCTGAAAGCAGAAAGAATGAACCTGGGATTTGATTATTAGAAAGGGTAGAAAATGGAAAGAAGGGATAATTTTTAGAGTGAGAGGACAAAATATAAATGCTGGCTCAGGAATTCTGGGAGTTGAAGTCCACGAGTCATAAAAGAGCCAAGGTTGCCTAGCCCTGCCCTAGGGGAAAAGCTGGCAGCCCATCCGGGCACTCGCCTCAAAGAGAAACCTGGGGGGCCACGGGGGCCACTCTGGGAGGGCCCAGAGATGAAGGGCAAGCAGGAGCTATCAGCTGTTTGAGGGAGCTGAGCTTCAGCTTTGCCTGCTGATAATGGGGGCCTGATAAAAATAAGCGCCTCTGAAGTCCTCCAGAGAGCATTTTCTCTCCCTGACAGGCATTTGGGAAGAAGCGTCTCTGCAATTCTAAAATAACATATGTTGCCTTGTCATTATCTGCTTCACACATCCTGTACTCTGTGTTTCTGCTTAAGTGCAGATGGCTGCTTATTCTTCCCAAAGTGATAATTATACAAAAATGTGAGAAATTTGGCATTTTTTTTAAAGATGATGAAGATCTTCATATTGTGGGGAGACCATTTCTCGGATCAGCTTCACCAGCCTTGTGCCCCCCCCCCAGCTACAATGACTTTTTGTTCCTGGAAGACCAGTGCCTGCTAGTTATGGGCACTGTAGTCCAACCCATCTGGAGAGAATCAGTCAGGAGACGGCTCTTGAACGACTGCTATTGCATTGGTGTGCATAAAACTCCCTCAGAAAGATCAGCACCAAAACTCTGGGCCGTGTAAACGGTTTCAGAGTCGGAGGGCAGAGCACCAATCCTTCCCTGACTGGAGCTCAAATGGATCCTCGTGCCATAAAAGCCTCATTGAGAGGCTGCTTCACCAAGCAGAATCTCCCCCAGCTTTCCTTGTGCAGCTGAGGAAAGTGGGACCGAAGGGGACATGAATCAGGAGGGCTTTCTCTGAAAAAGGCCCCCAGTGATGGGTACCAAGGGGGCCCTGGGTGCAAGGGGGCCTGCTGCCCGCATTCTGCTGCCCCCTCCCCACGAGGCAGCCATCAGCCCCTCTGACCTGGAGAGTTCCTCCAACTTGGACTTGGCGTAGTCCAGGCTGTTCCTCTCGACGTGCTCGTGGGGCGTGTGGGCCAGCAGCTCATGCAGGGTCAGGATGTATCTGGGGATCTGGTGGAGACACAAGAGAGAAGAGAACCAGGGACTGAGTTGGTGCTTTGGCTTGCCCAGGCAAGGCCCCCCAAGCTTCAGAGGGTTGTGCCCCAGTTCGACCGAGGCATTTGTGTCCAGCCTTCAGTTTGGCATTTCCAGGACACCTTACAATGACCCAAAATGGGGCTTTCTCCAGGGGCGCATCATGTTAGTGCCTAAGCTGACCTGGTGCCCCACAGCTTCACCTGAAACATGGGGTAGGTCAGGAAAGTCTCCAGCGTCCGCTCCTCGCAGTCAGGCTTGGCCTCGTAGTGCTTCAAGAGCTTATCGAAATCCCGGTTCTGCTTGCAGTGGGCCAGGATCTGCAGGCTGTACTGGTGGTTCCGAACAAACTCCTGGTAGATGTTGAGCATTGGCAGGAGGATGTCGAAGAGATCCGCTGTGGGCAAAGGCAGGTGGGCAGTGAGCGGCTGAGGGGGGAGAGGCAGGTCCAGGCAGGCGGCAGAGTCCCACTGCTGGGGGAAACTCCATGGCAGGGCAGAGGGCTCGGCCATTGCATTCTGGGGGGGGAAGACCTGCAAAGGAGCCTTCAGGTGCTCCCCAATACTCCTGCTGAAATACTGTGATGGGTGGATGATAACCTGGGCACAAAATTGTGGGGAGGGGGCAGCCACATTGCTTATCACATGGGCATATTCAAAGTCTGGATTGACATTTGGCAGGGATCAGCTCAGGTGCAGCCCAGACAGGCACGAGGGAGCTCAGCCAGGAGAGTGGTGAACTTCATGTCGGCATCTGAGCCAAGGACGAATAGAAAGGGCTTGGACTCAGCAGTGGCAAACAGGTAGTTGCCTGTGTGTGTAGTTGCCCAAGTAGCTGAATAAAAGGTGCAGGTAGCCCCAGGTCTGGGGGCAAATCTAAGCTCTGAAAAGTACAACAGATCTTGGCTGCACCTCTGACTGGAGGCAGGAAGAATCTCCTTCCCAAACCAGGGGATACTCAGAATACTCAGTTTGCCTGGAATGGCAGCCTGGCACCCCCCCCCCCGGATGCCTAGAAAATAGACGCCTAGCACTTTGCTGAAGGTCCTACATGTTTGGTTTAATCTCGAACTGGGTAAACAGCAAATTTCTTTACACTCACCAAGCACCAAGGTTGGCCAGCTAGAGATGCGTGCTTTTAAGCCCTGGTAAAAGATCTGGTGTAAAAACATGATGGTTTCACTAAAAAAGAAAGAAATACGGACCAGGAAGTTAGGAACTGAAAACCTGGCACTGGAGGAGGGGGCAAGTGTGTTTGGCTTATCCCCTGTGAATACTCATTTTGCTGGGAAGAAAATGTTAGTTGCCCACAGGCTGTTCCACAGTGCACAGCAGAGGAGGAGAAGACGCACACTGAGTTTTTCCTCAACCAAATCTCTGCATTGGTCTTCCAAATCAAAGGAAAATTATCTCCAAATCTTAAAGTCTGAGAGAGCAGCCAATCATGGGGGAGCATCACCCGCTTATGAATTTGTCATCCCAAAGCTGCTTTTTCACGAGACTATGACCTGGATGACTGAGAATCTTCATAGACATTTGCTTGTTTGTTAAGGAAGCGCAACTGGAATCTGCCTTTCCTGAACCCAAATCCGTGGTTTCACAACCTGTCACCTTGGGAATGAGAGAGTAGAAGTCTAGACCTTCTTCAGAGAGAATGCCTTAGAGATCCTCTCAGCTATGGCCTCCAAAGAGACTTGGAAGATCCCAGTTGAATTCCACCCCTTTTCTGCTCAATCTCAATTCCCTGCTCCTAGATTCCTGAGAAAGAAACCCCTCCCGCCCCCCACCCCAGGTTCCCTGACCTGTTTTAAAAGGGCACGAGGCAGGGCACTGACCGGAGGGCAGGCGCCCAGCGGTCTGATGACATTTATGAGCAAGGGTGAAAGCAGTGGCTTTCCTTGGCCAGACTCCTTCCTACTCACCTGTTCAGGAAGATGCTGCTGACATCGTCATGCGTGATGGGGGGCTTTTTAGAACTGGCCGCCATCCTCAGTGGGCGCAGGAAATTGTTGACGAGGATGTGCAACTGCTGCACGTACTCGGCTTCGGCTTCCAACATGCTGAAGACCACCTGGTTCCTCTTCCGCATGCTGTCAGCGTGAGGGGAGCGGATGTAATCCTGGATGATGGTCTTCCATTTCCTTCTGCATAGCCACCCCCGGAGGAAACTCTGGACCTGTTTTCAGAGAGGAGATTCCAGATTATTGCCTGTCAAACGCAATCCCAGATCCTTCCCTGGATCTATTATCTGGCAGTCAGATCCTTCCATGGGAAATCTTGTGTTCAGTGTCTTGAAATTATTTTTGGCTTTTGAACATTGATTCTCCAAAGTCTTGCATTATTTTCATCAACCATTTTGGTGCAGTTTATGGTTCTGCGATGGTTAATGCTCCTTTATCTGAGCCATATTTAAGCTTATACAGGTAGTCTTCAACTTACAACAGTTCATTTAGCGCATTACAAAAATTCAGACACTTGGCAACTGGCTCGTGTTTATGACAGCCCAGTCTCCCTGAATCAAGAGTTGCAAGACCATGTCCAAAGGGCTGGGTGAAAGCGCTCCTCAAAGATGAGCTTCTAGTAGGGAAGATGGCCAGAAGTGGGCTGCCGCTGAATGGATGCAGAGCAAGGTGAAGCCCTGAACCCAGGGAATGCTCCTGAGGCTCACTTTGGGGGCCTGGTGGCTCAGTCCCCGGACTGAGGATGTGACTTGGAATAGTGACTGATCAGGAGGAGCTGGCGGGGGAGGGCTCACGTCTTAGGCAATGAACACTTGAGTCTTCCAGCAATATGCTGGGGGGGGGGTCCCTTCCGGCCCTGAGGAAAGGAAAGAGGCCTTCAGGAGTGGGCAAGGAGACTTATCACGGGTCTGAACGTGGGCTTTTCCTCCACCCCCGTGATGGAGCTGGGGGCAAAAGTGGCTCCTCACCTTCTTGATCTTCTTGATGTCGATGTCATCGTCGTTTGGCACGTTGGCCTGGTTGGCCTGGATGCGCTCGTGCTCCTTAAGTAAGGCGGCCATCTGCCGGGACGGAGAAAAGTAGAAACAGGCTCAGGCAGGGAGGGCAGCGAAGGCCAGACACCACCGGGCTGCCTTCCTCAGGCACAGCCCAGGCTTACTTTGGAGGTAGGCCTTATATTAAGAGCATGCTGAAAAATGAGGCTAAGGCTTATTTTCTGATCGGGTCTTGTTTATGGGGAAACACGGTAGCTATAATAACCAATAACTACTATAGCAATAAAGAGTCCTGCTTACAAGAGGCCAAAGGATCTATTTTCTGTGCACCAGACACCAAAGGTTTAGAATCCTTCAAGCAACGAGGGAGATTTATTTATTTATTTATGAGACTTATATACTGCTTTAAGTGCAAGCACTCTCTAAGCGGTGTACACCAGTAAGCAATGTATATATATATATTTACATTGCCCCCAACAATCTGGGTCCTCATTTTACCTACCCCGGAAGGATGGAAGGCGGAGTCAACCTTGAGCCGGTGAGATTTGAACCGCTGACCTGCTGAACACAGTCAGCTAAAGTGGCCTGCAGTACTGCACTCTAACTGTTGCGCCACCTCGGCTCTTTATTGAGATATTGGCTCAGGGCAGAATCAGAACTGGAGCAAACCAGAGGAACCTGCTAGTTCAGCTGCTGCCATTCGGATCATGAATTCTGAGAGAGGAAATATGGCTCATCAGGATGAGATGACCAATCCCGACCTTCACTGGGCAGTCGGTGGCCAGGCAGAAGAAGCAGACCGGGGAAGGTTGCAAGGAGCCGTGACTTCACCCAGGGTGACCGGACAGAGGTGCCCAGGTTGAGCCAAGGGACTTTCATGAATGGGAGGAGGCTCCTTCTCCCCCTTGTAGCCTGGACTGGGCAGGGCAAGGAAACAGGGGTCAGCGATGAATTTATTTCTCCTGGATGGGTCACCCGGAAAGGTAGAAAGCAAACCTAGACATAAAATCTGAAAGTGTGCAAGCAGCACAGCACTCAAATAAACCAGAATAAAACCAGTAGGAGGAAGTAATGGGGCAGCGAAGTTGCTATCTAGTGCTACCACTAAACCTCAGGAGCTGCTTGTGGCGCTGAGGCAATTCTGCGCTTTGACTTCCCTGCTTCTGAGTCCTTCTTCCCCCCAGCAGCAAATGCTCAGCGGCGAGCAAAGCAGATTTACTGTGGAAGAAGGAGAAACCAGGGTGCGTGGAACAGCTTCCATAAACCTCTCCACGGGCCTGGTGTTCCAGCTGAGATACACACACAGAGCTTAAACAGAGGCCTTCTCCATCTTGCTAAACAGGCAGAGGTCGCCTTGGGTGCCTCTGACAGCCCACAATGCCTCCATCCCAGAGATGAAACAAACTGCCCAGGCAAGCCTTGCCCAGAGCTCCGCCTCTGGAAGACTCACCTGGCCTTTTGGGGAGCACACAGGGCAGCCTATTTAGAGCTGTCTAAATAAATCATCTTGGGATCAAAACAGCCCAACTCCAACACAATCAATGCAATCTTTGGTATTTGCATATGCATATAAGGGGCCATTTGATCTGCACTTCAAAGAGCACAAATGGAAGCGCAACAAACATTTGAATGCAGAAGCTCCATAATCAATCAAAAAGGTTGAGATTACGCTTTGCTTGGCCTTTTTAAATAACTGTCACACTTTCCTAGAGTCTCCTACTGTGGACTTCCGGGCTTAAAGAGATTTACAGTCTAAGCTGTCAGAATACAGACAAAGGACATTTCCAGATATTATGGAGCCAGATTTTTCCAAAATCCCTTGATGTACAATTTTTGTCCTGCCAGAACTATACTCTATTCTCTTCCAGACAAATACTGCAATTTTTTGCTATCCACGGATACCGTGTCTGCCCTTAGGTCTCAGGAGCTCCACAGAGAGGGTTTTTCCAATCAAAACCAATTGGGTCACAATGGCTTTCAACACAGGAAGTTCCCTGTCCCAGGAACTCCAAGTCATGGAGTCTCGTGACCCACTGAGTGCCTCCCCAGATGCCTGTTCAGGATCTGCTCACCATTTGCCTCACCTGTGCATCAGGAACCCTCTTGCTGGCAGGAAGCCAGGCGCTTGGAGGCGTTTGGCCAGGGCCCCTGCACGCGAAGCAGGCGGCATGACGGAATGGCGCTCAAAATAGCCACATACCCAATTCCCTCGCACTTCGAGCTGCTGGCAGCACGTTTTGAGGCTGGGCTCCCTACCTCTGATTTCAGGCGCTCTGTCTCTATTTCTCCATCTTCAATTTGTTGCCTGAGTTGCTTGGCAACTGTTTTTTCGGTCTCCACAATCTGAAGTAAATGGAGGTACTTCTGCATTAAGGCTTCGTGCTCTGTGGCGAGAGTCCCGTAACTGTGAGAAGAGACGGCAGAGATAGAGGAACTGTTAAAAGTTGTCCTCCTTTCTGCCAGCTCCAAAAACCCCCCAGGCCTGACATTTGTGATGCCCCCAGCCTCGCTGCACAGCAACAGTGGGCTCCCGGGCCAGGCTTTTCCTGTGGAGCAAATTATTTTCAACCTGATAATTCACTTCCAGCATCTTTTCTGATCATCTGCTATTGCTAAGAAGTTTTACGGAATCATAGGATTTGGGGACAGTTGGATTGGAAGCAACCTTTGAGGCCCTCAGATGCAGCCCCCTATTTTGTGCAGGAATCCAAATGAAAGAACTCTGCCAAAAGGCTCTTTAGCCCTCCTTCGGCACAGCCTTCAATATGCAATTCTTAGAGGTAGCTATCAAGCAGGAACAGCTTTTATTTCTTTGTTTCTTTGCTTACTATGTATTTATATTAATTTATTACATTTGATTGCTGCCCATCTTATCACAAGGCTACTCTGGGCAGCTTACAAGGTTAAAAGCAGTGCAACTTTGTGGGATCCACTATTGTTCAGACCCCCACAGAGGAAATAGACTTTGAACTGCTAAGCAAGAGGGTGAAGAATGGATCCCTGAAGGACAGAAGAAAAGCAGCTATCCCTGGCCAGAAGACAAGAGGGCTGAGAGTTGCTGATCTATTGCTACAAGGAATAGAGACAAACAGATGCTGACCAAATCCATTAACATATGAGGACTTTCCATTTCCAGAAATTATACTTTCTGCTACTGCATGTGGAGACAAACAATTCTGTCAAGTGCAGCTACAATCTTTTCATCATAGACTTCAAATCTTAAAGACAGAAGGTTAAAGTTTTAGGGGATCATGTAATTTTCTTGATCATCCTTCCAGTAACTGGATGATACCTGATAAGAACAAATAAAACCTAGGGTGCCTCTACCCGTCACTTGTTCCCTTTTTTGTTTTATTACTTTAGCTAATTTATAGAGCCACCCATCTCACCAAAAGAGATTCTGAGCTGCATACAACAAAACTAAGAACAAAAGAAATATGTATTACCGCTTTATAAAACCCTAGTAAGACCACACCTGGAATACTGCAGCCAATTTTGGTCACCATATTACAAAAAAAATGTTGAGAATTTGGAAAAAAATTCAGAGAAGAGCAACTAAGATGATCAAAGGCCTGAGACTAAAACATACAAAGAATGGCTATAGGACTTGGGTTTGGCTAGTGTCTAAAGAAAAGAAGAAATAGAGGAGACATGAAAGCAGTGTTCCATTATCTGAGGGGCTGCCACAAGGCAGAGGGGGTCAAATTATTCTCCAAAGCACCAGAGGGAAGGACAAGAAACTATGGTTGGAAACTGATCAACGAGAGAAACAACCTGGAATTAAGGAGAAACTTCCTGACAGTAAGGGCAATCAACCAGTGGAACAGCTTGCTTCCAGAAATCTTGGGCGTGCCATCACTGGAGGTTTTTAAGAAGAGACTAGAGACAATCACCTGTCTGAGATGGTACAGGTTCTCCTGCTTGAGCAGGGGGCTGGACTAGAAGACCTCCAAGGTCCCTTCTATTCTATTCTATTCTATTCTATTCTATTCTATTCTATTCTATTCTATTCTATTCTATTCTATTCTATTTAAAACCACTATCATTATTGATTATAAAAGCCTTAAAACTATTAAAAAAAGCAAACCAAGAATTCTCAGAGTGGCTGCTTGTGGACAGCTCATGAAAGATGGAAGCCCCCTGCGTGCCCCCTCCCCCACCAGCCCCTCAGATAATGGGAAGCAGCAAGGCAGCCCTTCCCTCCAGCTTCTCTCCCTCCCTCAGGCTCAGCCTGTCAGGAGCTGTCCTGGGGAGGCATTGCTGCCAGAGGTCCTTACCTGGCATGACTGATAGCTGCTACCCACTCATCACAATCCTTGGCATCCTCGGTTCTCAGCTCCAGAGTTTTCTGGTTCTCATGATTGAAGTTAACCGTAAAATAATGCTATAAAAATAAAGAGAAATGGTCTTTCTGTTATTTATTATTACATTCATACCACCCCATCTTTTTCTTCGCAAAGATTCAATATGGCTTAAAATAATAAAATTTATAGAACATTAAAACCAACAAACTAAAAATCAGAATCACAATAAGTGTCAGGGCTGCCTCCAATCAATTCCTAGGAAAGAAAACCCTTGGCTCCATAGATTCAGAGAAAAGGTACTTTTACTAAGAAAGAACAGAATGCGGCAAAAGCCAGGCAAGGTCTGAAGCCAACACACACGAAAAAGACAAATTGAAAATAACCCACCACCCAATAGTCAGGCAGACGGAGTCCAATCATCGGCCAGGAAGAGGTTTTGGGAACGTCTCTGGTCCAGATGCTCCCCACCGCCCTCGTGCATGCCATTCCCAGGACGGCTGGCCTTGAAGATGTTGAACAACCCAGGCTGGCCTCTCTGAGTCCAAGCCTCACCTGCATGCTTCCCCTCCCAACAAGATGAAATTCAACAGAGATAAAGCAAATTTTTACTTCTGGTTAGGAAAAAATCAAGGGTCAGGATATAGGTTAGGTTAGGGAAAATCATAGCAGGCAACAATATATAGAGAAAGAATCTTGTGCCTTGCTGAATCCTAAGCTGAATATGAGCTAACAGTTTGATGTATTTGGGAAAACCACCCAGCCAACCGCCAGATGCAATCCTGGGCTACTTCAACAAAAACATCAAGACAATTCTTTTTTTTTTTTCTACAGGCTGTGTTGGTCATGAAGGATTTTCACTGAAAAATTGGCACAAGTCAGATGTGCAACCAAGACAACCAGGGACTTGGAAGGAGTCACTTATGAGGAACGACTGAAGGGCAGGGCTCAGCCTTGACTGCAGGATGGAGGACTTTGGGGAGAGACGTGTCACAAGATGGAGCACAAAGCTGTTCCCTGGGAGAGGATCAGAAAGTACAAGGAAAGAGATGTTGGTGGAACATGAGCAAGAACATCCTGAGGTTAAGAGCTGTTGCACCGTGGAAGAGGCTGCCCTGAGGGGTGTGGAGTCTCTGCAGTGCAGAGAGGAATCAGGACGGAAGGTCTGAAAGGAAACTTAGAGGCAACTGCTGTGGATCTCAGAAAGGCCTTTTAGCACGTCATCTTCGATGTCTTGGGTATTGCCCAGTGCCATTAAGATGCATTAACTGAAGAGCTATTGACCTATAAACTGCAGTTCCACCACCAAATACCAAACGATTACATGACTGCACTGTATGCTGTGAGCCTTTAATAGTTTTTAATAAATAGCTTTGATCGGATATTAATTATTGCTTTAATTCTAGACTTCATGGACGTGTCAGCCTGTTGAATAAGCCCTGGTGTTTGGTCTCAGCCAAACAGAGGGGGGAGGCCCCGGTTTGTTTCAGGCTGCCTTGTCGAGGAGCTGAGCAGACTTAGGACAGGCTATTTTTAGCTTCCTTTGGCATTTATTCTTGTTGTGTTAATTTTCATCAGGGAAGCTTCTAGCCCAGCAAAAGAGTTCTTGCAGTTCATTTGCTCTCCTTTCTACAGTCTCCTAGGAAACGGAATATTCTGGATAGCCACAGATTCAATCGATTAAGTGGGGAAACAAGCAAGGAAGCACTTAGCTGCCCCCTTCTGCTTCCACAGCTCTAATCAGTGGAGACTCCAAATGCAACCTGGGGGGAGATCCTGGCAGGCAGAGATCGACCCCCAGCTCCCACAGTGGTCGGGGCTGCCAGGTGGTGAGCACAGGGGCCTTCCTTGCCAGGTTGAGACTGCTCTGGGCAATTGCTCCACCTAGCACTGCTCACCGCATGTTCCTGAGCTTCTAAACAGGCGGAATAGGGGTGTCGGCATCTTTGCCAAAATAGGTCAAGAGGCTGCTTGGAAGGATAATGGCCACATTCTAACTGAGCGCAGCCACGGCTCTTGCCCTGCGGACGTCCCAGAGGAGTCCAGAGAGGGATTGCCACCCAATCAGCAAGTGCTCAGGTTACCTGGGCTTTGCTCTGCCTGATTAATGGCTTGGGACCAGTTTCCTTTTCCATAACACTTGGATCACTCCCGATACATCTCCGCCTTTTCCCTCCCGAGGCCTTTGGGTTCTGTGCTGAGAAAGAAAGTGCGACAGAAAAAGCAAAGAGCAGATCGTGGCTCCCTTTGCTGAGCCTAGAAATGTCACCTAGACCTACACAAGAGACGTCGGAGCTTTGCGTGGCCTTTTCTCACTGACCCCACCTGCTATGAGACAGAGCACTCAGCAGTTTGGGGGGAACTAAGGGGTAGAGCTATGCCAAAGGATGGCAGAGCTCCCTGGAAGTGTGCCAGGTCATGCCAATGGCTCTTGAGATGCTGATCAGCCAGGTTTTTGCACTGGGGAGCTTCCAATTATCTCTGTTCCCCCCCCCCACACACACACAATCTGGCTTGCCTGCTTCAAGGGCATCCTGCTGGATACAGTTTCAGCAGCACCCTGGAAACATTGCGGATGAGGCCAAGGAGATGAGGGTTTTCTCATCTAAATATAGCTCTTCTCACTGGCACATGCTGATTACGTGAAGGGCAGCAAATCATAGCACACGTCTATGCCAATGTGTGCAGGGCCTTATCCTGCAAAAGATATGCCGTTCTTTCTGATCTTAAATCAGAACTGATTTCTGAATTGATGAAAGGACAGAGGGCTGCATGTCTTCTGCTCACTTCCAAATGCCTCCATGCTTGCACAGGGACAGCTTCCCAAACCGAGGATCGACAGGACTAGCACCTTTAATCTACTTGGTAACGCTTCAGCCAGCAGTTGTGCCTGTACCAGAGGACACATAAGGGTATTTATAGATCTTGAGCTTTGGGGAAAAGGGAGGGCTGTGCGAAGCATGAACAAGAGCCAGGGGGAGGAAACAGTGTTCCTCTTGCATTCCTAGAGAAGGAATAGGCTATGCCTTGAGAAATCCATTTCCTCAGCCCAAGAGAAAATAGAGAAAGGACACTCTAAAAGGAGACTTGCAAGACTTATGGTGTGCATCTCCAACTTCTGAGCACAACTAAGGAGTCCTTTGCAGCAAACGCAGGCTCCGGTGCCTGAAGGAAAAAACAGCTAGGAACAGTGAGTGACTGTCTGTCAGGTCATAATAAAGAGCAAAGGCATGCTGGATGAAATAAAATATATATAACAAAAGGAACTGGTGTTCTCTGTGTGTGTGTGTGTGTATGCATGCGCACACGCGCGCGCACACACACACACACACACACGCAAGTGCCTATAAAAAAGAGACAAGAAGGACAGCCAGAAATGAGAAATGGAGAAAGTATTTTGTAACCCTGGAACTCAGAATCAAATTCAAACCCTAACCAAAAAAAAGAGGTGTTTAATCTTCAGTTGAGGAAAGAGATTCTGGAAAGGAAGTCAGGAGAGTGGATCCCTGAAGGGCAGAAGGAGTCACAATTCATCCTGCAAAATGGCATACCTGGAAGCTGCTGATTCCCTTCAATGTGGAATAAAAATGAAAGATGACAATAAGCCCAGTGTCTCATGAAACAAGTTTGTCTCTCAGGAGCACAGATTAGCAATGTGACAGAACAATTTCCAAGATTTATCAAGCTGACTGTCAATTTCCCCTTTCTGCTATTCTATATGGGGAAAGATGATTCTGCAGTAACAGCTAGAACTGCATCATTGTGGATTCTGGAAGGAAATCAATATTCTGGAGTTTCAGGTGGTTTCTCATTCAGGAAAAGGGAAATTGCCAGTTAAACTGAGCAGTTAGACAAAGGCCGTGGACAGTAGAGATTTGTTTTCAGGAGCCACTGTCTTGAACGATTGGCTGCGGGGCACAAGGAGTAGTTAAAAATGTGTGGTGAAGTGTGGTGACCCTAATCAGGAGAATTTTAGATTTAATCTTTTGAGGTACAACTCCAACTAAAAACCTTAGATAAATACTTATGGGCTATAGTAAGAGGAGGAAGAGGAGGTGGAAGGCCAGGGAGAAAGGATGAGCAGGGAGGGAAGGGACCATAGAAGCTTTTCCATGTTGATGAAGAAGCCTTTCTATTGAATCCTAGAACATATGATTGGGAGGAACCTTCTAGTCCAATCCGCTGCTCAAGCAGGAGACAGTAAACCATTCCGGACAAATGGCTGTCCAACCTCTCCTTGAAAACTTCCAGTGATAGAGTATCCACATCTTCCAAGGTTGTCTTATTAAGATTGGAGATAAAACTCCAGAAGAATTTGAAATAAGGATTTGTATCCTGCAGAAATAAAGGAGACAGCATAATTATAACTATCTCTTCCTATTACACAATGAACAATCAAGAATATTCCCAGCTCATGGCATTATCCATCACAATATGGGAAATATGATCAAATGAGATCATATTTGGAGAGTTGGTAGGATGGCTCTCATGACTGAGAAGGAAGAAATGAATCTTCTTGAAAAGAAGTTATAGAAGGAGAGGAGGAGGAAGAGCAGCAGCAGCTGAACTATAAAATCTACAGTTCAATTCAAGGAAAAGTACTTGTTGGTGCTGTTAAAAGTATATTGTTTAAAGCATTCAGAACAATGAATAAAAGCAATGCTTATAATTGCTATCTACTACTGACAATTCAACTACGGAAAAAATATGGAAATGATTACCAAAAGCAAAGATCTTTCCAGAGACATGAAATGGTAATAATGGGAGACTTTAACTGCCCTAACATGTGTTAGCAGGCAAACTCTGCCAAGCATGGCCCTTTGAGGAAATCCCCAACTTACTATTTTGCTGGCATTTTCTCTCTCAGAAGGTAGAAGAAAGTACATGAACTTTAGCTATCTTTGCTTTACCTGACTCAATCAGGAAATCTTACTAGGCCAAGTGGATGCCACAGTAATATTAGGATAGGGAACCATGTATGGAAGATTCTCCTAAGGAAATCAAACTCATGTTGAAAGTATGTCTACCAGAAAGTGGGTTTTAATCCATACAGAACAATTAGATGTAAATGAGAAGATGAGCACAAGGTGGACAGAAATTAATTAAAAAGGAGATGCTAAAAGCACAGACTATTCCAAATGAGTACCAAGGGAAGACAGCCAAAGAAGCAGAACAGAAGAGGGCACATTCTAGAGAAAGAATCACAAGTACAGCGGGAATGTCCAGAATTTTACAGAGGTTGTTAGAAAGTTCTGGTGCTCAGAATGAGTTGAAGGGAGCAGAGGATGCTCAAAAGAAGAAAAGGGTTTGCTGACAATGCAAGAAGAAGCAGAGTCAAAACCAATGGAGCCCAAGCAAGGCCAGCAGAGAGCAAAGAAAAGGCAGGACCCTTGGCCCCTTTAGTGGACCTGTTGTGTGAGAAGAGGCTGGCATTTCTAGGTTGAGGAAACAGGGTTGTAAATTCATCTTGACAGAAATCTAATCAGGAAATCTCTAAACCAGGGGTAATCAACCTTGGCTCTTTTATGACTCGTGGACTTCAATTCCACAAGTCATAAAAGAGCCAAGGTTGACTACCCCTGCTCTAAACACTTTAAAACTCCAGGGCCTGCTATGTTGCATCTTAGAGCACTGAAGGAAACACCTCATCATTGGGCTGGTAGTCGATCAAAATTCTGGCAAAGATGATGACAGGGACCCTAACCCTTACCCCAAACTTTCAAGAAGGGAGAAGGAGAATAAATCAATAGCTGATAAAGCAATTGATCTATTAAATATCTAAAACAATACATGGAATTATTGAATCTAGCTTGATTAACATTTAACTGTTAGATGTTAATTTAACAATTGTTATCTCATATTTATAAAAGTACAGAGCTAATATATCAAATACAGACTTAATACAGGTAGTCCTCGACTTATGATCACAGTTGACTCCAAAATTTATGTTACTAAGTGAACTGAATTTTGCCCCATTTTACGACCTTTCTTGCCACAGTTATTAAGTGAATCACTGCGATTCTTAAATTAGTAACACGGTTGTTAAGTGAATCTGGCTTCCCCATTGACTTTGCTTGTCAGAAGGTCGCAAAAGGTGATTATATGACCCCGGGACACAGCAATCGTCACAAATAGATGCCAGTTGTCAAGCATCCAAATTTTGATCACATGATCATGGGGATCCTGCAACAGTCAGCAGTTGGACTGAGCTCCCTTCCAGCCCCCTGCCCCTCCCTCTGGTGCTGTTGCCTAATAGATTGGCAGAGACATGCACACAAATGCATGCATGCATATATGCATATAGGGTGCCTATATCAGAAAGGCCAAAGTGAGGCGAGAGAGAGGCTGCTTAAAGAATAAGGGATAGGAAGAAACCAATGCATTTTCAGGGAATTACAGTAGAAGTCACTGGAGCGTTTCTCTCTGCATCCCGTTTGCCTCTGCAGCAAGAAGCAGAGAGCCAGGGGGTTGCTGAGTCCTTCCTGCCTATTCAGCTGGCAGCCGTTCTTTGGCTCTTAACAGAATAACCGAGCTGGAAGGGACCTCAGAGGTCTTCTGGTCCAACCCACCTCTTAAGCAGGAGACCCTATACCATTTCAGACAAATGGTTGTCCAATCTTTCCTTAAAAACCTCCAGTGTTGGAGCACCTACTCTGGCTTTGGAAACTGCTTAAAAGGTAGCCATGCTTTCTCCTACTCATGACTTACACTTAAGCAGAGCTGAGACGATGACCCATCACGAAGACTCAGAAATGGTCCCCAGAACATGTACATATACATGGAGCAGAAATAAGGCAGAGTGGAATAAGATTCTGCAATAATTAATTGCAGGGAGTCCTTTAATTGTAATTTAATGCAGTTGTTTTGGTGTTGATCTGAGACAGGAAAAATGCTTTGAATAACCAAGATGTGGAAGACTATTATGTCCACAGAAAACTTGAGAAACAGATAGTCCCTTGTGATCATCTGTAGCAAAAGATGATCTAGGACCCCACAGTTGAGGGGGGTTTCCCAAAGCGCCCCTGAGGAAGTAGGGGCCAAGAAAGCAGTAGCAGCCAATCCTCCAAATGAGCTTTCTTGAGAACCTCACTGGCCTGGCCTGAACTAGACGTCTCCTGCCATGTGGTCTGGCAGCTGGCCACTTGGGCCAGAATGAGCAGTTACTAGAAACCGGCCCAGGTCAGGTCCTTCTCCACCTGTTTTCTTCCTCTTGGTTCCTAAAATACCAGCAAGGAGGACATGCAACAGGGGAATGGATGCCCTGGCATTCCTATCAAGGGAAGCTGTGCAAGCAGCAGACCAAGTGACCCACCTTTCATCTGACTCCAGAAGACGCAATGTGGTTCTCTTCCTGAACATGTTAAGACTAGATTTCCTCCTTTAGGCAGTCTGGAATCTCAACAGTCTCACCCCTTTGGGATAATATGGGAATGGCCTGGGCTACCATTCCAAGAGTGTATTGAGGTAATGAAATGCTTTGAATATTTAAAAACACCAAATAAATATTGCTGCCGAGATTATATTGGAAATGAATGGTGAAAGCAGAAAAAGGTTTTGAAAACAGGCTTTCTATATAGGATACCAGAGAGAGAAAGAGAGAAACACCTCACCACAAGAGGGTGAAGTGGAAGAGGCAGGCAATCTGCCCATCTGCCCCTTGGCTATAAAATCATTCCCATTTGGGAAAGGAAGGTCTGCCTTTCTGGTGCCCCAATGTCAACACCTTACTGGAGGACAACGCTATCCGTGCGAGGCCCCCTTTGCTCTTGGCTCTGGCTGGACGATCCTTTCCTTCTTTAATCTACCAAATCTACAGAGTCATGTGAGGCTCCTCCTTGTCATGAGACACCCCCCCACCCCCCCACCCAGACTCTTGCTTCCCAATATCTGCACTTGCAAGCTAGCCTCCGATATGGTCTCCTGGGTTACTGAGTATGCTGGTTCCAAGTAGGATCAGTTCTTCAAGGAGCTTCACAAGCTCTTCCAATTTGCAGGGCTGGGGACAGAGTCTGGGGGTGCATTTCCAGCATGGAGCTGAGGTTTCTCTCGCTGTGCAGTGCAGCCCAGGGGGCAGTTTGGAACTCCTGAGCAACTGGGCTGAGACTGACTGGCTCTGGGCCCAGGAGATTAGGAAATCTGTCAAGGCTGGGCTGCTTGCCAGCTTTTTGCCACTTCAGGCCTGTGGGCTGGCCTGGGCTGGCTTGAGGGAGGGGTCGAGAGAGGGTGGTGGGGCTGGGGGAGGCAGATTTGAAAGAAGATGGGAGTGTGAATGGCTGCAGATGAGCACAGCCTCCTCCTTTCCTCCCCCAGAAAATCAGGAGGAGTCTGTTAGCACTTTTTAAAGTTAACCAATTTTATTAAAAGGCATTTTATTGACCCTTTTAATCTGAAAAGATGTTACTAGACTTTTTTTTTTTTTGCCACAAAGACTAACAGAGCTCTCCTCCTACAACATCCTCCACCTGGAGCATTGTATTTTAGTATGCTGACTAATTAATTTTATAAAGAAACAGGCAGCTTCATTTAACTTATTTTCTGGCTGGATGTCTCCAAGATGGGGAGGGGAAGCTCCTGCCATTTGAGCCTTGGGTGCTGAAGGGGGGAGGATCAGCTTCTGATGCAGCTCATTAGGCAGCAAAGGGGGGGGCAAGGAGGTTTGGAAAGGGGGAGGATGGTTATCACAAGCCCTTGGTGGTGAAGTCTGGGTTTGCCTGCAGCCAAATGCACCTGAGACATTCCCGAACATGATCTCTCCCTGCAGAGGGGCACCCCCAAAGAGGCTGGCCTGGCTCAGAGTCCACCAGCCCCTCTCCTCTTCTCCAGCAGTGTGCCCTCTCCCTCCCTCCCCCCTCCCCGACATACTCCCATCCCACCTGCTTCTCCAGCGGATCCTTGGGCTTGGGTGAAGGAGCTCTGTCGCACAGGCACCCTTCCAACAGGTAGAGGCCAGCCGGCCGGGAACTGGAGTCATTCTCGAAATAGAACAGCATGTTCTGAAGGAGGGCGAACCACTTGGGGTGCCATTTGGTGTTGTCGGAGCTCCTCTTGCTGAGGTAGCCCCGCGGGGCCCCGTCCTTCTTGGCCAGCAGCCCCAGGTAGACGGCGTGCCCGTCGTTCAGGCGCAGTGCCTTCTGCATAGTGCGGGCACAGGGAAGCTCACAGCCACAGCAACCGCAACGTCGTTCGGCTCAGCGAAGCCCCAGCAGGCCGGAGCCCCGCGCGCCGTCCGCCCGCCTGTCGCATGCCCGCCGCCGCCTGGCTCAGCGCGGTCCGGCCGCCTCCAGCTCCGCGATCACCTGAGCGGCAGGTTGGCCGGACAGCGCCGCCGCCGCCGCCGCCGCCAGCTCTCAGCACCGCGGACAGCGGAAAACTGCGGCAGCGCCGCGGCGCTGGGAGGCTGCGCGCGCCCCGCCGGCCCGCCCGCCCGAGGAGCACCGCTCCCCTCCTCCCTCCCTCCCTCCCTGGTGGCCGCGCGCGCCGCAGGAGGGGGGCGGGGCCGGGGCGGGGCGGGGCGGCGCAGGTGGCAGCGGCGCAGCCCGGGAAGCGGCTCCCTCCCGGCCGGGGCCCGTCCTGGCAACCGCGGCCGCCGCGCGGCTCGTTGCCCGAGGCTTATCTTGAGCTTCCCTCTGGCGCCTCCCAACGCCAAGGAGCCGCCCCTTCCCCACGCCTGCAGACCCGGCTTTTGGCGGGTCGGGTCGAAAGGGGCCTCGCCCGTGCGAGATGGGGACGCTGATGCCCCCCCCCCCCGCAGGGGAAGTTGGCACTCCTCGCCTGCGTTCCCTGAACCCCGGGGCCATCTGGCGGCCGGTGTGCCGCCTCAGCCCAGCTGGCGCCTCGTCCGCGGGTGGCTCTGCGCCTCAAGCCCCGGGGTAAAGGAAGGAGCAACGGGCGGTCCGCCTGCTGGGGGGGGGTGTCAGCGGGGGCGGCTAAGAGTTCCGGGCTGAGGCAAGAAGATGCCCAGGAACAGCCGCTGAGCTCAGTTTAGTCCAGTCTTCAGAGGCGGGAAAGACGCGGCCGCCTCCTTCCCGCCAGCCTCCAGGCCTCCTCTGAGGAGGCCATCCAGAAGGCCACCTTCCTAAATCCCCCCAAACTCAGCCAAAGCACCAGGCTCACACTAAAAGGCTGGGTATGTTTTCGCTAATTCCTAAAAAGTAATGCAGAGGGAGCTCCCATTGCAGTTTGTTTCTTAATGGGGGCTTTACTGTGGAAAAAACAGATTTAACTTGTTGAATGAAATGGCAACAGGATTCACAACAGATGCTTTCTGATCATACAAGTGTTGGGATTAGGTGATTTTTGAAAATAAAATCACAGAATGTAAGTGTTGGATGGGACCTTGGAGACCATCTTGTCCTACCTCTGCCCAGAGCAGAAATCCACCATATTGTTAACCCTGAGAAAGGCCATTGGATTCATTTGAAATACCTCCACAAAAGAGAGTCCCTCATCTCCTGAGGCACCTATCCTGGTAGGCGCCAAGGAAGAGGCGCATCAGCTCAGCAGGACTACATGAAAATTGGTCGGGATTGCGCAGAGACGCTGACATGAACTTGTAGCTTTATATAAATAAATACATTTAACATTTATATTTACAATAGACAAGATAGTCAGGCACACCACTACATCATGAGGTAAATCATCAGGAAAATCACAGAACAGCAAACAGAAGAAAAAAAGGCGGGAAAAAGGGAAACCTCCTTTACACCCAGCAACCAGTCATAACTTAGATTGCCTCACTGGGGAGCCTCCACTCTCCAACTGATCTACCACCACTGTGTGTTCTGGCCCATTATCCACTTTACTGTTCCAGCTATTAAATATCTTAACAAACTTGCCAGATCTGCTCATCTTTATGTACATTATTCTACACACAACACAATCCTTTATTTCTATTCTGCACAGAAAATAATGTCCAATGACTAGAAAGCTCCCATGCATCATTAAATATGCTATTCAGATTTCATGGAGGTAGCTGTATACCTTAACATGGCTTTAACAAGGCGACACAGAAAAATGTATCCCTATTTCAGGCATCTTGATACTGTGGAGCTGTGTAGATAGGAATTATCTCAAAAAAATCCCCAGAGGTAATGAGGGCATTCTTGGGGATGGTAAGGCAGCTAGATCAAGATTGGGCGGGGGGGGGGAGATCTGGGGCTCCACTTGATGTTATCCATATCTTGATAGTAAACTAGGTAAGCAAGATAAATGAAAATCATACTGAGTGTCAGAACCCATTCTTTCCTTTTATCACCTTCTCCTAATAAAAGTTCCTTTTGGAAAGAAACTGCTTCCACGAGTCCTGCTTTCTTGGGATGAGGCTTTGAAGTGGGCCCTGACACTGAGTTCTGACCTATTAGCCCTTGGTCTATTTGAAAAGAGTGTGTATGCAGGCTGATGGTAGTAAACACCTCCCATTTCTTACCGCTGACCCAGATTGAGACTTCTTTAAATAGGCTGGAAGAATATTGGAGAAAAGATGTGAATTTGTTGTTTTGATGGGAAAATGTGGGTACCACTCCAGTGACTTTAATTAGGTCATGAATCACCATGGTAACATCCAGGAATTGTCTAGAAACCAGGAAGGTTGCTGGGATTGGAAACCTGTTAGCGGGAGGATTGGAAAGACCATGGTCACAGAAATCCTGGAAAAGGAACCCAACAGATCTCTTGAACACCTCTGTGGGGAAGAGAGCCAAAACTGACCAGCTTCTTTCAGGTTTCCTCACTCTGCCACTCCAGGCTTACAGTATGAAATAACATTAAAAAACAACAACCAGTTTCTTTCCTCCTAATTCTTACATTTTAAACTCATGATAATCTTTCTAAAATTGAATATTTAGTAAACCATGATACAGAAAACAGTAAAAAAAAAACTCTGGAAAAATGCTATATAAATAAATAAATAAAATTCCTGAAAATACATAAACAAATATATAGTATGCAGCAATAAATACAAATGAACAATAGGATTAGTAAATGAATAAACAATATGATAAAAGTATCACCCAGTGATTACAGAACAAACCTTTAATATATCTGTCAGAGCAAGCCAATCACTTTTTTGGGCAAATGTTTTCCACTTCATTAAACAAAACTAAAGAATACTTAAAACGGAAAAAGATAATGGAAGGCTTGAAAATATGTGTCATGAACAAATCTGAAAACTTGACAAGGAGAGTCCAGAATCCACTCCCTTGTCCTTCTGTCCCAGAAATAACTATGTGAAACAGGCAGCCAGGAGAGCAAATTCGGGGCACCCCAGCCCACCAACCCCAAAGAATATTGCAGCGTTCAGGCAATGTCTGTGCATCAGAGGAGCTTCTTTTGCCTCTGCTGCCATGCGCCACTGCACTGGGCAAACATTGTTTTATGGTGCCAGTCCCAACAGGAGGATTCAGAGGGAAAGGGCGGCTTTGGGACGCGTGGAGACAGAAGCTGGCCCTTGCTGCAGGGAGAAATAGGAATGGCTTGCATTCAGAGGTTGTTGATGCTCCATCACTGGAGGTTTTTAAGAAGAGACGGACAGCCATTTGTCTGGAATGGTAAAGGGTCTCCTGCATGTGCAGGGGGTTGGACTAGAAGACCTCCAAGGCCCCTTCTACCTCTGTTAGGTGTTATTCTGATTTGTAATCATCTTCACTTCTACAGACTTGGAAACAAGGAGAATGCCCAGGAACACCATGAGCCAATCAATTCTCCCCTCTGGTTGACCAATAGGAGTAGTAGAAAATGTCATCCAATCAGTATCCACCCCCCCAGCTACTGCAGATCCAAGGCAAATTCCTCATTTCCAGTTTGTACAGAGGCAAAGTAAAACAAATTGCAGCACTCACAATCTTGTTTTCAGCACCTGGTACATTTGTTTCATCATGACCTTGAGGCCATTATTCCCAAGCCGGCATTGCCCCAATTTCAAACCATGGAACCAGAAGTAAGCTGACAGCTCCTGAATCTTGCCCATGTCATGAGCTCTGGGGTTGCTGCCAATCTCCTAAATGAGGTGCCTGAATATAGCATAGAAAGGATTTCCAGAAGCTGAACATTTTTCTTACTGAAAAATGTGGCTGTGCCAGAAGTTTATCCGTTGTGTGACTTTTGTCTTTGTGTTTTGTTAATTAATATTAACAAATTGGGCTTGACTCCTGGATGGTGATTATATGGACAAAAGCCATCTCAGTTGGCCAAGGACCATAATCCCTGATATGTCCATTCAGACACTTGGTGCCTTCTCTTTATACTCTCTTTGCTTTTGTCAAACCTCACTGTCCCTCTCTTCCATCACTCCCCAAAGCAGGTGATCTTCTGCTTGTTGAACGAGGAAGCACCGATCAACCTCAGTTTGATCCAAGACTGATTTACAGTATTGGGTTGTGCTTCAATCAGAATAACCTTCCCCAAAGCTCATAATTCTATCTTCTTTCTATCATTTTCCTTTCAGCCTCCACTTTTTAGAGCCATGGTTTTCACTGAACAGACCACGGTTTAATCACTGTTCTGGTTGAAATCTTTTTCGGAGCCTGTCATTGCCTTCCTCTTTTAAGACCAGTCTTATTACTTCTCCACCCACCTTCGTTCTTGAGTTTCCCCAGAGCCCCACCTTTTGCCATCAACTGTCAGTATGTTCACCCACCAGGCCAGCTAACATTATCTTTGTCTTCTTAGTATTTAATAGTCCACTCGCCATTTTCCAATGAATGATTCTAGATCTACTTTAATTTCTGCTAACAAAATGGGGTTGTCTCCATATGGCAAATTGTTAGCCTCCAATTTTGATTCCACCTGTCATTTCTTTCAGTCTAATTACCCTTTGAATGTGTTTGCTGCACACTTAGATGTAGGAAAGAGGGGAGCTTTCCTCTCTTCCCCTTTCCCTTTGTTATCCTTCCTTTCAAAAGTGCTGCATAGCAGGCTCTGGACTAAAGATGTTATATTTAAATGTACCAAGAGAATGTGATTTGGGGTGGAAAGCAGCTTGGCTTTCTCTCGCATAGGCAAAACGTCTCTAAATATTCTCTCAATATGATTTGCTGCTAATGCTAACTTCCAGTGTGTGTTTATGCAGCTCCCATATGCTCTGTAGCTTTTCTAGTTAAGGCAATTGATGGACCTGTTTTATATATTAAAAACATGAAGATTACTTCTATCCATAGAGGGAAACAGTATCTGTACATTCTTCATGACGATAGTTCAAAAGGGGCCTTGCTAGGGCCTGGAGACAAAAACATATGAAGAACAGTTGCAGGGTTTGGGGTGATATGATAGCAGTATTCCAGTATTTGAGAGGCTGCCACAAAGAGGAGGGGGTCAAACTATTCTTCAAAGCACCAGAGGGCAGGACAAGAAACAATGGATGGAAACTGATCAAGGAGAGAAGCAACTTCGAATTAAGGAGAAACTTCCTGACA